TTGGTGGGGGTGTAAGAAGAAGAGGAAATGTTTGTTTGGAATTAAAATAAGTAAGTTATATTATACTATTATAGAATATATTTGTTAAATTTATAAAAGATTAGCATGAAATAGTAGAATAAATGTTTTTATATAATAATCACAAATATTAATAAATATACTTTAATAAAAATAGTTATTAAGATAGAAATGCTTAAAATAATTAATTATAACAGTTATAATAATTATTGGTAGAGAAACCTCGAGGCCAATCCATGCCAAGGCATATAGCTAGCTCGTGTCTCCCACTCGAGCGTTGATTTGTTGACATGGTGTTTAAACTGGTGTGAACCTGACATATCAAACCGGGTTTAACCAAGACATCTCATATATCTAATTTTCAACAGAAATTCTAGTAAATCTAGAGATCTCAATTTGACTAAACAAACCTTGACAAACTTACTTTGGGAGTCAAAGGTTGACCACCGAACGAAGCCTATATGAATGATAAATGTAATAAAAATAATAATTATAAAATAGGTGAGTTATACGGTAGCTATGCTAAAATCTGGGGTACCGCATACTTTAAGTATGAAAACGCTATCCAGACCTTGAATTGATTGATCTTTCGGACATGAATCTATACTCTAACTCTTAAAGATCAAAATTTAGGTCTTAATTCTCTAAATCTTATACCCTAAGATGATTTTAATTAGAAACAATAATCGACGGTTATGATTCGTTCAAATATAGGCAAAAAAATCTTGCTAATTAGGACCTAGGGTTCACTCAATAAGGTTAGGGTATGGTACCCCGGATCTCACCATGAAGTACCGTCGAAGCCACCCTTATAAAATAATTAAGAAAAATAAAAATTCATAACCCCCTCTATTCCACATCTCCTTCCTTCCCTTGCAAGTTGTACCTCAATTTGGGGTAAGCAGAAATACTAACTTTACCCTCCTCTCTCTTTACCACCCTCTGCATTGTTCTAAACTATCCTAATAATGTTAATTTTCTAAATATTCCCATTTACGCCTCAAATTTACCCCTCCCTTTACCCTCTTCCAAACAGAGTGCAAATTTCCTCATTTCAAGAATAGAGGGTTAGTATAATGAAAATGTCATTGGTTTAATTAGGAATCAGGTTGTCTTTGGGATGTTGAGTCATGAAGATAGGAGTAGCTTATGCCTGCTTGTTTGAGGGGGATTTTTTTTGTTAGAATATGTTTTCTTGCTTTGTTGTTATAATTAATGTTGAAAGCACTAGCGAATGATATTGCATGTTTATCTGCCATTTTAGCATCTGTGGACGAGTTGACAGTAGTTAGGCAGTTCCAAATCCGAACCTCTCGTTATTAAAAAAAAAATCTGAACATCTCATGGTGGAAATATCTTATCTCTCATGCTCTATGGCCGATGTATGCATTTTTTTTTTTTTTTATGTTTCACTCCTTATTGGATCAAACCATTAAACAATTGAAAAGATTCTCATAAGTATGATTGCTTAAATTATCTAAGCCTTGAGGGTCAAACTCTTCCTTCACAAATCACAATGCATTGGGGTAGTTGATCAAATTTTAGAACATGTTGTAAGCCACTGTTAAAGATAACTGCTACCATTAATTCCTTCTCTACGTAATCTCTGTTAGACACAGTCAGGCTTAGAGGTTGGAGAGTTCTTGCCAAATACTAAGTCACTAAATAACTGCGCGCCACTAATGAAGTTGTGAGTCCATTCGGATAAAAAAACATGAAGTCCTTCCCTTTTTGGTGATGTTTTAGGTTGAAAACAATGAAGTAGCAGCATAATATCCATGAAAAGTCTTCTGTAGCTTGCACATAAGGCGAATGCGACTTTAAACACTATACAAACAAGATGGCCATTAGAGATGGCAATTAACCCATTAGGATATGTGTAAGGTACGTATGGGTTTGGGATGGGTTTGGATATTGCTTTCATACTCTAAATGAGTATGGGTTGTGTTTGGATACACATTGACTTAAGGTTGTTCCTAACAACACATACAAACGGTGGACCTAATCGTAAAGTTTAAAAAGTTTAGGTATCAAAATATAACACACAAAAACTTTAAGTGCCAAAACATAATTTTCCATCAATATTTTGAGGAATTATATGCAAAATTAAATTAAATTTAGGTACTAAATGTAAAGATCTATTAAGTTTAGGTACCAAACTATAATTTGCAAAAGGGTATGGGTACAAATCCAAATGGGCCAAATCCATGAAGTAAAAGCCCAACCGAACCCAAATAAATGGGTATGGGTATAAACCCATAAAGCTCTATCCATTTACCATCTATATGGATTTCATACCCAACAACCCAATTGGGTTGGATAGTAAATGGGTTTGGGCAAAATTGTCAACACTAATAACCATCTCGGAATCATCATCTTATCAGGTCCGTGAGGTTATTTTTAAAAGTAATATTTTCTGCCAAAATAATATTGTTAACTAACAGGATCAAGATCATTGAAATGAAGTTTTTTTTCTGTCAAAAGATATCATGTATTGATTCAAAAAAAGACAGTTACACCTTGGAAACCAGCCAGGCCTGGAAATCTAAGAAGCGACTCATAGTCGGATACAAAGAAAGGGCTTTCCTAGCTACCAAATGAGCTAAGCCTATTGTTCTCCCGAACTACAAAGCGCACACTAAAGCCAGGCTGCGTACGAAAATAATGACCGATCTCTTCCAGAACAGCACCCAACCGGCTATCTCTTATATCTCCTTGATTAATTTTGTCAATAATCACCTTCACATCGCCCTCAAACCGGACCTCTGACAAGCCTTGTTCCACACACCAAACAATAGCTTCCCTGAGCACAAGCAATTCCACAACAGCAGGGTCATCCATTTGGGGAAACTGAACTCCTCTAGCCAGAAGAAGGGTCCGCGCTGGGTCAAGAAGAACCATCCCACCAGCCGAATGCTACCCACCCTTAGTAGCCCCGTCCCACATGCAAACCAAATGGGACTCTCCCACTTACGTTGTAGGTTGCATCAACGGGATCGCCACCCTAGGAGCTTGGTCCACTGGTAGACCCACCCATTCCTCAAACTGTTGATTAAAGTGCCGCATGAGCGCTGGGATCCCAAATTGTTTGCCTTCAAAGACTACCCAATTCCGAGATCGCCAGATCCTCCAAAGGATGTCAACAACAGCCATAACCACTGACGGTTGATGAATCAGCGCCAACAGGCGTTTGAGGAACAAAGGAAAAGTGTGCCGAGGCAAACCCTCCCCCAGTTAATCCAGCCCTGAAATGTCCCAGAGAGCCCGCACAACAGGACAATAAAGGAACAGGTGTTCCATCGTCTCCGGACCATCCCAACAAACTGGACACCGTGGTAGGACCTGGACCTTTTTCTCAATAAGCGCCTCCATAGTCGGAAGGGCCCGATTGAGGATTTGCCAAACAAACACCTTCAACTTCGGAGGGATATTCGCCTCCCACACTCTAATCCAGCTCGGCTTATCCATCCAGCTAACCGAGGATCGCCACCCACCCCTTCTCCTGTCCAGATAGACAGCCAAATGGTAAGCCGATTTGACCGAGAAAACCCCGTCTGCCGTAAAATGACAAATAAGCTTATCAGGCACCTCCCTTCTTGGGAGAGGAATCGCTTTAATAGCCCTACAGGTGGGCGGGTCAAACCATTGGCTAAGCTTCTCATCAGACCACCTCCCTCCCCCCTCACAAATAACCTCCGCCACCAAGGGATCACCCTCCTCAGAAAAGAACCGCGGATTATAACTTGGGGGATCAAGTTGATATCTAGGAATCCAGTTAGAATGAAAGTGAGAGACCGACTGACCATTACCAACCGGCCATCTTAAACCTACATCCAATAAATGACGCCCATGAAGGATACTCTGCCACCCCCAAGAGGGACGAGACCTTGCACTCGCAGTTAGGAAAGACCCTTGAGGGAATCCCATCCCCCCCTCATGTTTACTCCTGCACATGTTCCGCCAGGACACCCACCTAATCTTGGGACTACCCTCCTCAGCCCCTCACCAGAAACGGGACACATGTCTATCTAAAAGCCGACAAAGAGCTAGGGGAAGACGAAAATAGGACATAACATGAAGGGGCAATGCCAACGCTATGGACTTAATCAAAGTTTCCTTTGCCGCCCACGACAATGTCCTTTGCTTCCACCCCTGAAGACGCTCTAGGAGTTTTTCCTCCAAATATCGGAACGTAGCCATTTTGGACCGAGCCACCAGAGAATTGAAATTAAGTTCACCAACTCACAATCGTTAGGGAAAATCAATGAGTTTCTAACAGCTACCCCACGGCCCTATAAATCAATCTAATAACAATAACAAAAATCAAAAAAGGGAAAAAGACAACTTGGTTGTTGATATGATCACAATCTACGTACCATCGAAGCTTCCATGGATCGATGAGGAGGCAAGTTCAAGTGGAAGGCAGAATCTGGAATTTTGGTTAAGTGTTGAAGTTGTTTCAGGTAGCGTTCTTTGCCGGCCATTTTCTTGCGTGTGGATTGATAGAATTTGGAGATGAAGGGTTTGTTTTGAACCTTGTGAGTTGCTGAACTAGTGGGTATGGTTGGGATGTCAAGGGGAGGCTGGAAAGTGTTGTTTTAAAGCTCGACAAAAAACCTATGGCAACATAGGCAAGCTGCCAGGAATTGCCTAATGCATGGAGCAGTTGCAAGCAGGTCACTTTGGGGTCCGTTTCACGACAGCCTGTTGGGAATCGCATATCACGGCTCATACCACATGAAAGCCTGTATTTTTAGTACAAAAGCAAGGGGTTGGGTGATCAATTCGACAACTGGAAGGCTGCCTACGAGGGCTCTAAAGATGGCATCAAAACTGTGTTTTGCAATCCGTTTTAAGTTTTCGTATTGCTTTAGGAATTGGACTGTTTTTGTTTCTCCTTGTTGATTTGGCTTTCCTTTGCGTTTAAGGTTGATGTAAGTTCTATTTAAGGACATACGAAGGTAATGTAAGAGATAGAGTTGAATTGAATTAAGTTTTTATCCTAATTCCCAAGCTTAAGAGTTTGAGAGTTTGAGTTGGCTTTGATTGCGATCAAAGTTTGTTGGCCGGCTTATTGAACGAGCAAACACACTCGTTCACATCGAAAGCTTCACTACTCGATCGTGCATCCTTTCAGGTGTAAGGATTCCCTTTCGATCCATCCAATTTCGAGTTTGAATCCGCTTAAATCGAGTAGGTTCTTGAGCTCGGCTCTACTTGAGATCAAGGGTCTTGCTTGATCTAGCTTCTGCGCAACTTTGATTCCTTTGAGACCCGCGTTGGGCCTCATCAGTTGTTTCTTCTTAATTTGCACCCTAATGGTGGCTCTAGTAGTAAACTTGCACCTACTATACCCATCTCTACTACTATTAAAAAAATAACTATATAGAGTAAGTTTCTCGAAAATGTCAGTAGCCCCTGCCTGCGATTTATCCCATTTAATTTACCCCTCTTTCCAAATAGAGTTTAGAGTCAAAGGAAACTCTCCCTCCTATAGTATGATAAATTTTTGTTAAAGTCAAATTGACAAATTTTTCATGGGAACTAGCAATGAATAATATTAATTGTGAGAAATAAAGAATAAAAAAACAGAAAAATAATTTTCTTTACTGAAATTATACAATTAATTACAGGAACATTTTTCTGTGATTATTAATCTACTTTTTAGTACTGAAAACTCAGCTTCCTTTCAAACCCACTCACATCACAGATAGGGTTAGAAAACGGTGCGGTCTGGTCCAGACCAGATCATATACACGGTCTATGGTCCAGACCGAGAGGCTGAAGTATAGACCATATACCAGACCATAGACTATACGGTCCGATCCAAACTACGTCTGTGCGGTTTGGTTCGGCCTGGTCTGGTCTGGTCTAGATACACCACACTCAACGAAAAATGAACAATTTGTTTCGTCAACCACACAAAAACTTGAACCAATAACCAAGAAAAATAATTGTTATTTGCCTTAAAACATTAATCCTAACATGCATGAATAATTTTGGTACCCTAATTCTTAGTACATAACAAAGATTTGAAGTAAAAGCATCTCAACTTGCACAATAACATCATAGAACATTAACATAATGTCATATTGAGACATGATTATCTCTACTCTCTGGTTAAATATGGTTGTGAATGAAGGAGAGACGAGATTCACAAAATTAAGGTTGAGACTTGGGTGTCGTTGTGGCCTGTGGGAGTTGGGAGAGTGGTCAAATGGGTTGTTAACACGTATTGACAAGTCGGTGGGTCCACGCCTCTACGGTTTGGTCCGGTAAACTGCGGTCTAACCCAGACCAGACCAAGAGATCAAAACATAAAATAATACAGACCATAGACCAAACCAGACCATAATTAATGGTCTACGATTTTTCTAACGGTCTGGTTTGTTCTCCCAGCCCTAATCACAGACATCCCAACAATAATGTACTTATATTGAAATGGCATTGAAGTAGTCTTGTTGCAACCCCTAGCTAGTCAAATTAACGTCTCTCGCTCGACTTGGCCTACCTCAATTCTTCCGTTTGTATTAATATCCCAAAAGTCGTATATTCTCTTTAAAAATAAACAAGACGCAACCATTTGTGAACTACTGACAACCAAACCTTAGAATGCTTCTACGCACAATCGTAGTTTTTATAACTAATGTTGTTAAAAATACGCTTAAAAGTTTACGGTTTTACACTTCTAGATCACCAAAACAGTTCTACATAAAAACGTGCTTTTGACTACATTGCACACCAATATCCAAACAAATCAAATAAAGACAAGCCATGCACAATAACGAAAAGCAAAAAAGCAAATGAAACTAGTATTGGCAATTTGAACCTGCCCCTCAGTTATTACCAGATCTGACCTGCTATGGGGCGGGTATTACCCGACCTACAGTAGCGGGGGCAAGGTATGGGTATCTTCTTCCGCATCGCTCTGCCCCCGCCTCGTTGTTCACCCATTTTATCTCAATTTCTCACATTACCTATACATATTTCTCCTTTTTTGTCTTTTTTGTTCAACTAGTTAGAGTCGATCTTTCAACTTGTTAGGCTCAATTACTCGTTCTGTTACCACATTTTAATCCATAAAGTGTTTTCCCCTTTATTTTATCATAAAAAGTAAAATTTGCGTCTATTTTTTCCAAATATCATGTGAGAGTGGGTCGATCCGATTCGTATCCGTACGGGTTTTACCCGCCCAACACGTGATAGTATAGGAAGGGACATGGATGTTGAGGTACCGGCGTACCGCCCGCCCCATTGTCATTGAAAATATACTAAATGTCCCCTCCCCATCCAAAGATATACTACAGACACTACCGGCCCAATCAAATCAAAAGCAAAGAGAGTTGTGGACTTGTGGTGGTAAAGATATGAAATGAGGGATTCTCCTCAATTTTATGAACAAAGAAAGGTTAAAATATATGATTGGATTAATATATTTGTATGCCCTGAAATTTTCACATAATAAACATTTTGACAAATTTTTTCGATCTATAATATTATGGCCTAAACTATATACCAAAGTAACGAAATTGGCCAAATCCAAAAATTGACAGCTATCTTGGACGGTCAACGCCCCACGTCACCGCCAAATTAGCACCTTTCACTTAATTTTTTTATATTATCCACCTATTATTTATTTTTTCCATTTTGAATTAAAAAATTAAAAAATGAATTTTCTTTTCCCCTTCACTAACCCTACCATCCACTTATCCAAATATCCTTAATCCCAACCACACAAAAAAACCGCCGCCCCTCGCTTTCACCTTTCTTCTCGACGGCGATCTTCCTGCCTCATCCGACGAAAATGCAGCGGCAGGCGTTCTTCTAAACTCGCTGTCGCCATCGTAATCCACCCCTCTCCCTAAATCGATCCAGTTCCCTTATACTCTTCACCCTGCCGCCATCTTAATCCCCTTCAGTAACTCTTCTTGGAAGCAATTGGGGAAATTGAGAATGGAAATCAGGGGGTTGTAGATCTGGAGGTGACTAAATGTTGATAGTGAAACTGCAACGCCATTGCGCCGCTCCGACAAAATCAAGGGTTGCAGATCTCCTGCCGAACCTAGATAGGTAGAGGAAGGAGAGAGTGGCGACAACGGGATCCAAGGACAACTCATGAAGACCAAACAGAACCAGCCCATTCTCAAAATCCATATTCTTATTCTCTCTCGGTCTGCAAATCAAAAGGGATCCAATCCATTCTCATCGCAAGCCACACACGAAAATCCCTAGAACCGACCAAAATTATGTGGGAGGAGACTCTGCGGCGGCCGACGGGTGCACTGGCGTTGAAGCCAGTTCCTCCAGGCACGACCCGACATTCTTGTCGGCGGTGGTGTGAGCCTCGGTGGCGGAGGAGAGTGCCGGGGCGGTTGCAGAATGGGAAGGATTGAAATGCCGCAGACTGTAGGATGTGATTTTGTGATTTTTGCATGGTTCATGAAATGAAATAGTATCGGACATCATATCGGATTTCTTTCTGGTAGGGTATTTTGTAAACGACCGTGGTTCAATCGTTTCATACCGGTAAATACCATTTTTGTAATAATAAATTATTTTTTTTATCAAAAACCAAGCCGGCAAAATTAGAGTACCATTTCGAAGTAATATCGGATTATACCGAAAACACCGGACAATAAATATTAAATAATCATATAATAAATTAATAATGAGGCCCACTCCATAATATAAAAAAAAGGCCATGGACACCTAGAGAAACCCTAGGCGCCGCTCAACTCCCTTTCACTCTGCAAATTACTCATACCTCCAACTCTCTCCCCATCTTTTTTTTATTACTTTCTTTACTTTGATCTTTCTGTCCCACACGCCTATTTCTCGCTCTCCCACCTCTGATTATTTTCCTTTATCTCTCTTCTTCTCCCCGATCTCATCATCGGTCTCTTTCGTTCTCTTCATCTTCTTAAACGACGGTGGACGGGTGAAGATCGGCGACCTCGGCCTGGACTCGGGAAAAGAGAGGGAGCCTGGATAACTCTGCTCGAGCTGGACAATGGAGTGGAGAATGATGGGGGCCTCAATCTCACATGAAGAGGTGCGAGTTGACGATGGAGTGGAGAGGTCAGAGGAGGCAGGTCAAGAATTGAGATTGAATTGAATGGATTAGGGTTTTGCTCCTCTCCTGATTTAGGTTTCCCCCATTTTCGTTTGCTTAAAATCTGAAACGACATCTTTGACTTGTTACCATAGAACCGCCGGTTTGTTCAATATCGGACGAAATTCCGGATTGAACCTTTTATACCGAAAAATAGGCCGAGACGCTTTTTCTTCCATAGATTGCATGTCGTTTCGTTTTCTGTCCGGTTTCCGGTTGAACCGGCCGGTACTATCCGGTTTCCTGGACCATGGATTTTTGATGAGAGGAGACCATAAATTCATTTTTTTATTCAAAATGGAAAATATAAATATTAATAGATGGAAAATATAAATTTTTTTAAGTGAAAGATGCTGATTTCGCGGTGACATGGCCCGTTGATCGTTAGTCAACTCGTTTGACCGTCCAAGATGACGGTAAATTTTCGGGTTTGGCCAATTTCGTTATTTTGGTATATAGTTAAGAACATCATGTTATAGTTCGAAAAGTTTAACCAGAATGTTTATTATGTGAAAATGTCAAGTCAGCAAAGCAAAAAAAAATTATACGAAGGTACATGGGCTTGCAAACAGCAAAGCAAAAAATTATACGAAGGTACATGGGCTTGCAAACAGCAAAGCAAAAAGCCTATCTAAAGCCACAGCTTAGCACGGCTGAACTCCCCTAGTTTTAGTGAAATGTGAAAGCAGAAGGAAATGATTCGGTTTAAAAATGAACTAGGTGGCGATGCCGCGCCTTGTCGCGGAGTGGGGATGGCCTATGGGCATGTATTATGTGGCTCGTTATGATATTTTGTTTTGTATTATTTGCCTAAATTTTTTTTTTTTTTTGTTAGCAGTTTTTTTAGTAATATATGGGGTTGGAAGTTCGTAGATGGGTTTGGGTAGGGTATGGATATTTACTTCCATAATTTAAATTTTATGAGTTGGGTATGGATACCCATTTATTTAAGGGTGATTTAATTACACGTACAAAAATCAGACTTATCTGTAGAACTTCAAAAGTTTAGTTACCAAAATGTAATACACAAAAATTTTAGGTGCTAAAATTTTAATATTCCATAAATGTTTTGAGGACTTATATGCTAAAAAAATAAATTTAGGTTATAAATATAAAGATTTATTAAGTTTCGGTACCGAACTGTAATTTTCATAGTTGAAACTTAATTTTTTTTATAATGATGTATTTAAGATGATAATTATTTATCTTTTTATAGAAAAATAGAAACTATTTATTTTATATGTGTAGATACCTAGCCAAACATTCCAAGTATAATAGTTGAAAATTCTAGCACGGGTGAAAAAGAAAACCTCTAGAGAGAAGCAAAAGGAAGACAAACTGGAACTCGCTTAAAATTCCGCGCTTTCAAATCTCATTGTGGAAACTCGAAAATGACGAATTTCTAATAAGTAATAACCATATATATTTATTTTTATTGGACTCGACATTGAGCTGGAAAAAGTTAGTGGTTCATGGTTCAATTATTAATTCTCTAGACTGTTAGTGAGTCGTGTGTGGACCCGTTGATACTTGTGATTAGAATATATAAAAATAGTATACTAATTAGGGTTAGACAAAAAAAAGCAAAGAAAGAAATAAAGAAAGGGTTATGGAAGGCGAAGAAAAATAAAATGAAAAGGAAGTAGATGATGGAATGTTTTGATAAATTCTTTTAGTTGGTTGTCAATACAACAGTTAAGCCTTTTCACCGTAGCAATTTATTGACAATTGAGCAAATATAAAATGGTTGAATCTTCTCCTACAATTGAGTGGTACAACATCTTGTATTGTACAGACTAAATTTATACTTTTATGTTACGATTGATTGGATTCATGGATTGGTTCAAAAGAATTGGTGGATTGAATTTATGGATTTAATATGTAAATTTTAAAAATAGTAGGTACGAAAATCTTATAAAATTTAGATACCAAAACATAATTGTTCAATGATTTTAAGTTTAAATTTAAATTTGAGATATCAAAATATAAAATGTAAATTATAGTGACTAAGTTGTGATTTAATTAAATTTAGGTATCAAATTTTAAATAGTTATGCAACGGTAGTTCAACTTCATGTTATATATAGTAACAAGAAGTTCCCCAAGAAACAACCATTTGTGAACTACTAGACAACCAAACCCCGGGTAATTATCATAAATGGTCACAAAACTATTCACTTTGTACAAAAAGGTAATTCCGTCCATTTCCATCCAAAAAAACCATTACTTCCGTCCAGTCAGCACGCCACATCATTTAAAATATCAATAAATAAATTAATGACCAAATCCAATTAAACTGATAACCCTACAGAAAACTCTACCCGATTTATTGGAGAAAAAACCACGGTCACTTTCCTCTGCCAAGGCCCAAGAGTGATTCAGCTCCCAAGGATTTTCCTCCGGGTTTTCCTCCGTCCCCATACCAGCAAGAACCAATGGCAGGGAAGAAGAAACCACGGTCACTTTCCTTCCCTACTTCATTATTCCCATTCCGCAATCTCCGAAGTTCTCCCAAAACAATCCTCGCCGTCCAAGCCAGTAATCCCATGGCTGATCACACTTTTCCTCTCCTCCCCACCCTTCACTCGAAGACATCGGCTGCGGCGGGCGGGGGTTGTTCCTCCCGGCTTTGAAAACGATTCACCATCCCTGATGCTTACCCAATCATCGCCTCCAACCGCCATGTGGAGACCATCATTCCCTCCTTCTTCCACTCCACCCCGGACATAAGATTCAAGCGAGAGTGCCTCCGCACCAAGGACGGCGGCGGCGCGGCTCTCGATTGGGTTTCCGGCGACGATCACCAATTGCCTCCCGAGTCCCCTATTCTCATATTGCTGGTTCGTTCTTCGTTTACAAAAAAAAACCTCAATCTCCACCATAATTAGTTTTAAAAGGCGCAGTCTTTTATACCAAACAGAGCTCAAGATAGGGTGAGTAACAATGAGTAACTAAATTTGGACTCTTCTTTTAAGTGGCTGCAAATCTAAGGGTGGAAAATTAAAAGAATTTATTTTCCCTAGTTTTCTTAATTAGATCATATATTCTTCATTCTAACTCGGATTTCAATTTTTTTTGCACAGATGGAACGAGTTCGTTGTGCTCTACAAAATGATATTCATTTTCATTATTTTTTGAGAAAAAAAATTTTCATCCCTCTCGTTACCAACTCCATACCATATGGTATCTCCTTCGTTGTTTAGTCATTTTCGAAATATTTTGCACAAAAGGAACGATTTAATTATGATCTATTGGATTTCAAAATATTATGGGGGAAAAATTTCATACCTCTCGTTACCAACTCCATACCATACTATACCACCCTGGTATGAGGTGGTATTTTTCATACTATATGGTATGCTGTTATTTAATACCACTCAATACAATATGGTATTGACTGGTAATAACTGGCAAATTTTTTTTTTGTTCCAAAAAATATCAAAGTGGATATCATTTTGAATCGTTACCAACTCCATACCTTACTATACCACCCTGGTATGAGGTGGTATTTTTCATACCATATGGTATGCTGTTATTTAATACCAGTCAATACCATATGGTATTGACTGGTAATAACTGGCAAATTTTTTTTGTTCCATAAAATATCAAAGTGGATATCATTTTGAAGAGCACAATTAATCTGATCTAACTGTGCAAAAAAATTAAATTCTAAGTTAAAACGAGTGAGAAATCGTCCGTTAAAGATTAAGGGAAAGAAAATTAATGATTTTCCAGGAGATAGAAGGAGGCGCTGATGTGGCAGATTCTTATTGAGTTATGCATGGAGTTACTCATCACAATTCACAAGGTTACTCAAAGGATCTGCTCCCCAAACATGGGGAAATTGAGAATTTGCATCCGGGTTTAACATGGCGATTCAACACCAAGGGTTTTCCTCTATCAAAGCATATAAAAATTTGATCATTGGAGTTCTTGCGTAGCTGAATCACTCTAGGCAGAGGAAAGTGACAGCGGTTTGTCTCCAACAATTCAGGTGGGTGCGTATAAAATTAGGATTTTCGGTTGTGTTATCAGTTAATTGGGTTTGATCATTATTTTTTAATTATTATTTTAAATGACGTGGCATGATGACTAGACAGAAGTAATGGTTGTTTGGATGGAGATGGACAGAAATATCTTTCTGTTATTAGTCCAAACATATATTACTGAAACGTACAAAATTAAAGTTTCGTGACCGTTCTGTACAAAGTAAATAATTTTGTGACCATTTATGATAATTAGCCACCAAACCCCTGCCCCTAAACACATATCCAAAGCAAACTAAAGAAGACAAGGCATGCACAACAAATGTACAGCAGAAAAGCAAATGAAACACACTAAATGTCCCCTTCCCCATCCAAAGATATACAGACACCACCGGCCCAAATCAAAAGCAAACGATTCTCCCATCAAACGGTCTGGGTGGTGCCCGTGGAAGCAGTCTTGTCCCGGGCACTCATCTCCACGTCGTCATTATCGCCGTGCTTGGTGGAGTCGTAGGCCTCGCCGTCGCCCCAGAGTGCGTAGGCCTCCTCCCCGTGCACGGCGTCGTCGCCGATGAGCAGCTGCTCCTCGGACATGCGGAGCGGGACGACGAGGCCGATGAGGTAGCAGATGATGGAGGTGGCCACCACGTTCCACCCGATGACGAACCCGCCGCCGACCAGCTGCTTGACGACCTGGATCCCGCCGCCGTAGAAGGCTCCCCTGGAGTTGGTGACGGGGAGGAAGAGGGAGCACAGCGTGGGTTCCGCCAGCAGGCCCGTGAGGACGCCGCCGAGGAGCCCCGCCACCGCGTGGGTGTGGAAGACGCCCAGCGTGTCGTCTATTTTTTGGAGTAAGGTCCATCTCTTGTGGACGATCATCATCGTGAACCATGGGATGCTACCTGACGCGATCCCCATCACTATCGCTGCCCATCCTTGCACCACCCCTGCCCCCAACCAAAAAAACAGAATAAGGATGTGAATTTGCCGTTGATGATTAATTAGCTTGTTATTACCCATAAATATAAAATGAAGAGCGTACCGGCGCCGGGGGTGATGCAGACGAGGCCGGTGATCATGCCCTGGACGGCACCGATGACGGAAGGCTTGTGGAAGAAGATGACATCCAGCCACGTCCACACCAGCAGGCTCGTAGCGGCGCATATGTTGGTGTTCAGCACCGCCATCGAGGAGTCCACGTTGGCGGTGTACGGGTCTCCGCCGTTGAACCCGGCCCAGCCCATCCACAGAAGGCCCGCACCCGCCAGCATCAGCACCACGTTGTTCGGAGGGAACCTCTCCCTGTCCTTCTTCGATCTCGGCCCCACCTGAAATACATTTTTTCCAAAAAATTCCCAATTCATTGTTAATTACCAAGTCAGACTAACCAAGTCAACTAATTAAGTAAACCCCCTAGACCACGTAACCAACTTAATTAAGGCATGTTAATGAAGATGAATGAACTCAATAATTAGACCTCCTCATTTTTTCTTGCCTCCCCGCGCTCGTGGATTGGCCACCAAAGTCAAACAGCTTTAATTAGCGGCAGCTGGCGATTAGCGGAAAAAGTGAACGTGATCCCGTGAATGAATCTCATCACGGAATCTTTGCAGATTCCTCGGACTAATAGTACTCTGTTTAATTACATAAACTACTAGAATCTCCGGCTGGAATAGATACATACATTGCACCAATCGACTCATTCTATTGACTTTTCAACTTATACTATATATTTACCGGCATTAAATTGCATGTTAATCAATAACTTAAATTTTCTATCTACTTCCCTAAGTAACATCGAGGCCAACTGTAGACATCACTATTCCTACGGTGTTTGTTAAATTATGTCTTTTCACATAGTAATTAATTAATGATATACTAGTAATCATCACATCTGCTCATAGTTTCCTTTATTAATTGTGTGGGTTTTGTCCGTCATTTTCAACCATCAACGTGACATTTTAAGTTTAGAATTTTACAATTACCAAATTAAATCTAACTTCAAACTAATTACCACATTAGTTTTCATCAAGGTTTTCAACCCGCGGGCTCACTTGGACCCGATCGAGCTAGTGGATCAAGGATTAGTGGGTCGACCCGCGGGTTGACAACATTGGCTTTCATTTAGTTACCAAATGGTAGAAACGTAAAAATTCAAAAACCCCATACGATAAACATAAACAATTATGAGGATAATTGATCAAAATGATCAGATGCGTTCGGACAAGTAATAAAAAAGCCAGTCACAATTGTTTAAAATAATATAACAAAATAAAAATTACATAATACTACAAAATAACACAAAATGTTTATTTTGTGTCTTTTATATTCTGTATTCCATCCGAAATGCCGGTTTAGATGTTACGTGCATAAACGTCGCACTCTTAGCAGTTGGACTGGAAAATCAGATGATTGTAAATATATCACAAGCGTTAAATAGATAGATAGTACGCGCTACGTACCCAAAAAGCGGTGGTGAAGCCGGCGATCCCAGAGGACAAGTGGATGACATACCCGCCGGAGTAGTCAATAACACCCCACTGGAACAGAAACCCGCCTCCCCACAGGCTGAAAGCCCCCACCGTGTACGAAAACGTCAGCCACAGCGGCACGAAGGCCATCCACGCCTTGAAGTTCATCCGCCCCAGCACCGAGCCGGCCACCAAAATCAGCGTTATGGCGGCGAACACGCACTGGAACCACACCATCGACGCCATCGGGTAAAACGGCGCGATCATCGCCGTCTCGACCGTCTTGCCGTCGTGGTAGTAGTGCGTGGTGGCCGGCAGCGCGGCCTGCTTGATCAGGAACTTCTGGCCCAGCGCGGGCCCGGCTTTGCCCCAGAAGGGGAGCAGCTTGTCGCCGAAGGACATCTTGTAGGCCCACACGGCCCAGCAGAGGACGACGGCGGCGAAGGCGTAGAGGGCCATGAAGGCCGAGTTCACGGCCCACTTCTTCTTCACGATGCTTCCGTACAGGATGACCAGACCGGGGACGCTCTGGAGGCCGACGAGGGTTGCGGAGATCATCTGCCACGCGTTGTCGCCTTTGTTCAGCCAGTCCGGGACGGCCAGCGACGTGCCGCCTTGGTAGGCTATTGGGACGACGTTGAAGGGAGGAGGAACCGCCGCCATTTTTTTTTCTTTTCTTTTTCGTTTGGTTTAATTTCGAGGTGCGCGGCCTTTGGTTCCTTTTTATGGTGGTGAGCTGAGCTGGATACTGTTTGGATTACAGCTGTAGTTAGTAGAGAGCCGGCCGAGAGATTCGGGATTCTAAGATGCAATTATAATTATGACATTTTGTGTAGGCAACATGTGTTAGCGAGTTACGGATCCGCAGGAAATTTACCGGGTCAGATTCTGTTTCGTTACTGTTTATCAAACCAATATCGAACCATTAACTCTATAAAAAAAAATTGAACCATTAACCATAAACCATATAATTAACACTATGATTTGATCCTGCACGACCCTTGTGATGTGAGCCCCTAGTTTAAAGTGGGAGCCGGATCTAAACGTTGAGAATGATATATATTTTTTTCTAGTTTTTTAAGTGATTTTAATTTTCGTTCTTCAAGATTAGATTTTAAATTTTTTTTTTTTACACAGATGAAACGAATTTGATGTGATCTACAAATAATATTCATTTTTAATATATTTTGAGAATTTTTTTTAATACCACTCATTGTCATCATGGTACCACCTAAGGCTGGCTATTTGGTCCGGACTGGTTGGTTTTACCAGAAACCGGACCGTATAAATCTGGACTGGGACCGGATAACAAACAATTCAATCTCATATTCAGGCTTAGATTTGAGGTAAAAAAACCGTATAAAGACCGGATAAGAGACCCCAACACTCAAATCCCCACAAGCTCAATCTAAAATCAAGATCAAATTGGGACCGGACCGGATCAAGAGCGGACTGTATCCAATCCAATCTTTGGTTCTTATATTCCCGAAAAGACCGGACTGGGACCAGATCAATTTGGTCCAATTTAACCGGACCAGACTGTATAGCCACCCCTAGTACCACCTTTGTTTTAACTCGGGGTTTGAAAAATTTTGCCAAATAAAAAAAGAGTTCATCATGATATATTGGATATACAAATTTATTTGGGGGAGTTTAAGACCAAATATACCACTATGGTATATGATGATGAAATGTGGTAAATGACGGTTAGTACATTCCCACTATCATTAATTGTATGCAACCATTCTATATTATGCTATGTTCATACCACGTGGTATAATATCATATACTACCGAGCATTATCACATGTTATGAACTAGTAATAATTGTCTCAATTTATTTCCAAAATTTATCAAAGTGGATGTAATTTTGAAGAGCACAAATATGATTTATCTCTACAAAACAAATAGATATAGTCCGTTGAAATTAATTGGGGAAACAGTTAGAAGTCGTCCATGAAAGGTTATTGACGAGTAAGTTTTTTTTTTAAACACTGACTAGTAGGTTATGCATGCCATGCATCCACTCCCCTATAATTTGGTTTGGGTCGATTATAACAGAGTATCGTTGTTTTCGTATTCTGTTTAGTTTTTGGATCAATCATCCAACACAAAACCAATGTCAATTGCCACATACATTTATAATTTTCAACTTTAATCAACCATATAGACGGAAACCCCATATTAAGGCTATTTCCTGTGAACTTTTTTTATATTGCTCATCAATTTTTTAGTAAGAAGTTTGAATTTCAAAGTCATACCCTACATCCACAAACTCCTTCCTTGCGGGAATTCTGAAGGAGCTCGCTATTAGTGAGCGAAGCCGCCGGCCAACCACTACTCGCCGCCAACCCAAACCCAATCTTCCGCACATATGTCGACGACATAAGACCAGGAACATTACGATTTTGTCTTGGGTTTTAGAATTTTGGCTAAAAATGCGTATTCCATATTCTCCTGTGGTACTTTCATCTCCAGTTCTTCATATGATGTGTTGATGGTTGGTAGAGGTGTGGTGTTTGTATTACTGGTGGTTCTAGTACGTCCTCTTCATGTGTTTTGTTCAACCTTAGTTGAGCTTGATTTTATTCTTCGAGGTTACCGTCTTTTCTTGAAATTAAGCATCACTCAAGCGGATCGTCAGATGTGAAGTCTTAAATAGAGCAGACAGGTTTAAGCGTGAAATTGTTTTGGAATTCATCTTTATCCCCATGTAAGTGGGCATGCTTCATCCCATCGCTTTGATCAATGTAACGACCTCTGACCGCACTCTTAGCGTAAGCTTTCCATTATGTGCATCTATAAGTGTGTGTGCAGTAGACACGAAGGGCCTTCCTACCAACAATGTAGCATCATCATCATCAGTATCCATTATAAAAAAATCAGCAGGAAAATCAAACAAACCAACTCTAATGAGCATCTTCTAGGGTTCCTCTAGTAGGCTTTGACGTTTTATCGGCCTATTGTATGGTCATTCGAGTGGAAGAAAGTGTCCTTATCTTATGTTTTTTAAACACGCATGTTGGCATGATGTTAATACTAGCTCCCAAAACGGATAGACATTTATCAATATCACAGAACCAATAGTGCAGGGTATAGTGAAATTCCCTTCTCTTAGTTTTTTGGTAAGGCTCGTTGGCTCAATACGGCAAAGCATTGCTCATTGAGTGTGACTGATGTGGCGTCTAACCATTCTTGTTTGTTAGTTAAGAATTCCTTCTCGAATTTGGCGTATTTCGCTATCTTCCCAATTTCTTCTATCAACGGCATTGTCGATGTGTATATTTCTTAGCATTCCCATGAATTGGCATACTGCAGCATTGTCTTTCTACTAGCTTTCCTCAATTATGCAGGGTATGGAGCTTCAGTATACTTAACGATGTTAGGTTCTTTACTTAGGAAGGGGGATAGGTGGCATCTCCAATATTTCTTTGGTTGGATGCCATGTTGATATGGTCTTCAACATTTCTGGGTGGTCGCTTCGATTCTACGTTGCTTCGTGGAAGTGGTAGAGTCTTAAGGGGTTCTTCTACTTCAGGAAAAGGATGTGTCATGGTCTCTTTCCCACTTATTGTGATGACTTTTAGATGGCCTTGTACTCCCTAATATGATTTATCCCAGTCTTCCATACATCTCGATGAGACGTTCTTCATAAACTTATTGCTTATTATTGACACCCTTTACATCTTCTAGTATCAACATCAATTTGAACCATCCTTACTACCTTTGATGATAAGCTTTGCTACATCCACTAAGTTTGTGACCTTGTGATGGTCAGGAGAGTCTAGATTGATTTTTGAGAGGCCAATTTCCAATTGATCGTAGAGGTCAAATATTTAATCCTCATGTATCCTTTTTTTTTTTTTTTTTTTCTAAATTAATCTCTCTGTGCATGATAGAAAGGCTAACCCCACACTTTTCTTCTAATAGCTTTTCCATACTAGAATGCTTGTTTTTTAGTATTGAGTTTACACACTTCTTCTACTTGCCTCTTTTCCATGGAAACCTAGAAAACTCCACTTGTAAGGTGGAATTTTCCTTTGCCATTGCTTCCATTTGTTTTTCCATTTCTTTCATAGAATCTTGGATAATTTGTACATCATTGACTTGTTTTGGGAGTGATTTTATCCTTGCAATATTCTTGATTCTTCGTGCTAGTAGGGATGGCAATCAAACCCACGGCCGCGGGTATCCGACCGTCCCCGAGCCTCCCCATCCCCATACCCGCCCCACCAAGATAATTTCTTCATATTTTAAAAAATATATGCATCAAATTATAATCTATCAATGATGATGAGGATAACTTGAGAAAATAAATAGTAGAAATGCAATTGATTGACCACCTTAATCAAAATCTAATTCATTTCTCTCAATTCTCAATTCACTCTTTCACTTTCCCCCTTGTCAACAAGATTATGTTAGTTAATTATTATTTAGTAGATGTATCAGAGTTAGAACATAATAATTTGAAAAATATTATACTCTATATTATGTATTAATGGATATTTTAGGATCATAATCTTTGAACCATATTAAAAAAATGACCGTGTTTTATTGACTTCGTGATATAATATTTTCGTTTAGAATTATAATTAGAACTTTTCTTGTAAGTTTTAGGTATAATAATGTTGGATGTACGCGTATGGGTATTACCCATGGGTACCCGAAACCCACGGGTATGGGGCGGGTATGGGTTTGGATATTTGATGATGGGTATGGGGATGGTTTAAGCAAACCCGCCCCATTGCCATCCCTACGTGCTAGTGTCTCCTATGTCTTCCTTGATTTAGTTGCATTTGGTTGAGTTATGTCTCCCCCTGCCAATTCATTAATATGTATGGCGGTTGTTCATCCAAACCTTTGTATAATGCCTTTGCGAGTTGTTTGTTGCTATATCCATAATAAGGGCAAGTGTGTAACAAGGAGTTGAAACACTCCCATACTCTATGGAATGGTTTTTCTTCTTTTCGGCAGAAGCCAATGATTTGGGATGTGAGCTCGTCCGTCCTCCTTGGGGGAAAGCATTCTTCGAGAAATGCTTGTGAAAGAGTTTACCACATGTTAGATGTGTTTGATGGGTTCTCATCAAGCCAAACTCTTGCGGTCAATGAAAAAGATAAGAGTCTCAAATGTAGAGCTTCTTCTTCACCCCCTGGTTCTGAAAGGCAAATATTGAGAAAGTTCTTAGTGTGTAACACAAGATCTTCATCATTTTCTCTAGAGAAATGTTTCATTTCTAATTTCTTGTACCATTCTAATTAAGGATGGTCTTAACACAATATATGTTGTAGGGTGGATTATGATGGACATGAGATTTGATGCTCTGGGTCGAGAGTATTCAAATCTCTTTCTTTTGAAGTACTTTCTTATAGTATTCCTTCGTGTGATTTGCAACTCTCTGTTCTTGTAGGTTCAAGTTATGTAAAACAAGACAAACTTCAGTGTAATACTTTTAAAAGCATCAAACACAAGGAGGTTGCCTTCTTTTAAATACCATAAAAAATATCTAGCAACGACACCAGTAACTTAATGTGACTGTAGTATATCACAAAGTAATAATCATTGATTTTGTCCAGCGTCATATTAAATGACTCTTTTGATAACAACTACTTTGAAACTAATCTCTTGGGTTCGAATAAAGATGTGACCGAAATTAAATGCGATGGGCTGAGGTTCCCTAATGATGGCTAATTTTTCTACTTTAACTAAAGCAAGTAATTAAAACATTAAAGCAAGTAAATTGAGTAACAATGAACCAAGTATGAGAAACTATTGTTTAGGTAACTTCATCTAGATGAACATGCATAATAACTCTTTAATGATAATGCATTCATGAGTTCCTTACATTATGATGCCACATCTCCTCCACTAATGTATTCCTAATAGAATCTTCACCACATTCAGAAGGAATCAAGACTAGCTAATGTGTGATTTCGCTTCATGCAACTAACAAATCAATCACGAACAATAGATCATATACAACACTTCGATAACTAAGCCCCGCACGAATACCATAATATTGGTCCTTCAAATTGTTTACCTTCTTCAGGGTGCGTTCTCGACAACCTATATCAAGCATCAAGCATATACATACATGAAAAGTTGTGTATTCAATTCATACATGCATAAGTTAATGGCATACCATATAAGAGCATTTTCCTAGCAACATGTATTGATATTAAGCGCAAACCAAGATAGAATATAATAGAATGAAAACATCATTAGCATATCATTAAATCATCAAAATTGAAACATGAAACATCATAGATTTCACATTCTAAACAATAATAACTTTAGATAGCAGTCCGAGAGAGGGATGATATACCCATCGATGATGAAGGCATCTCCATTGAACTGTGACATAACTTCATCTCTCCGGTGAATGTTAAAAGAATTGAAATAAGGAAAAACTTCCCGTGAGGCAACTTTAGCCGACAAAATCGATTCACTGCTATGTACTGGTGTAGAACCCAGTAGAGGAAGTTTGAATCTTATTGCCTCGGTTAGCTTACGCAGGTGGAGGCTAGTCGCTCGACGGGTATTCAAATTGAGAGGGTTTGGATCACTTTAGTCAAGACTTCAGATTGTTTGAGAACTTTCTGCAGTTTAAACATCAAAAGACCTGACTTAGGTGAATTACAACTTGGCCTAACTGCGATCTAGAGGACACATACCTGAGTGAGCCTTCTTAATCTGAATACAACCTTTACTTGCTTTCTGTTTGTTTTTGCTTGTGATAATCTTCACTTGCAATGCACTCAAAAGCGCGATTCTACCTAGAAGCGGAAAATGGGTAAAATCGTAAACCGTAGAATCAAAGCCTAAAAACGTAAGTTTTTTACGCATACTGTAAAATAACAAAAAATGTGTTAAGTACGACATATACTATGTAAAATATGAGTGCACATAGTTTAGATAAGTTAATAAATACTTGTAATTCATGTCTAAACTCATAACATTTTAACAATAAGTTCATAAACATATATCTTAACCATAAGCTACCTTCCCCTCTAAGCTAGTGATTTTGAGAAGCGCCTAGTTGGTGAATTAGATTACTCTGTTGAAACTAAGAATGCACCCAAGTACTTGATATGTATCTTTTAATCTTAAATATATCATTTTTTTTGTGATTTACCTGTAAAATATAAGTATTTTCGTGAATAGAATACTCCTTTAGTGAACTAGAAGCGTAAAAGCGTAAAGCGTTTTGGTGAACCAAAAGCGTAAAAGCGTAAGCTTTTAAGCTTTAAAGCGCATTTCAGTCCCGATTTTATACACTTAAGATTTTATATGGAAACGAAAGCGTTTTAGTGTTCTAGAAGCGTAAAACCGTAAGTTTTTAAGTTTTAAAGCGCGATTTTGACTGAATTGTTCACTCGAACTGATCGTAGTTTGGTGTTATGTTTTAGCGAGTCACAAGGGATACAAGGTTTGATCGCTTTAGTGGAAGGTAATGCATTTTAAAATTGTAATGCAAGAAGAATAAGGCGATCATGATAGGGAAAGCCTTTGTCTTATGTCGTTTACCTTAAAAGCAAAGGTTTTAGCAAACTAGCATTCATTTCAAGAGATTCGGTGGAGGATTACACAACCATATTTCTGCTTGCCTACACCTACTTATTTGATTTTGCAAAAGGTCGCCCTTACTCTATTCCCTCATCAGGAAAATTCGGACGAGTTGGACACCCACAAAAAAAGAAAGAAGATGAGTTCCTCTTTCTTTTATCATGTTGTGTGAAATGGAAGTTTCATGGCGAAAACTCTATGGAAAAAGGTGGATCAATTCGATGTTTAATTTTGTGTTAGAATACAAGTGTCGGCTAGTAAATCAATGGATAGTCTTGGTCCTCTTGAAAATACCGGTCAAAGAAAAAACTAATTTATAAATGATACATATAAAACATCTACAGTTCGACTTATGGTGAAAGTTTTAGTTACAACAATGTTGACCATTTAATTATATTAAATATCATTTGAGATTTCGGCACAAATGATACTTTTTAGTTAAGGATAGCAACCCAGACAACTATTCCATATATATTGATAATTGAAAATCAAGTTTTTAATGTTCTCATTTGATGATCATATAGAGCCGAGCTCGCATGATGCAATGGGTCGAATCGTCGAAGAGGAAGCTGATCTGTCGTATGCACTTCCGACTGACACAGTCGACAGTTTGAGGAATAAATGTGCTTAGGTACTTATGAAATCACGATTATAGGACCAATCATATATCCCATGAAAGATTTTATCTCTAAGAACTCTTTGAAGAAATTTTTTAGCAAACGAATTAAAGAAGTTTAAATTTTGAAATGATAAATAAATATGCTTATAGAAAAAAGACACTATAAATATTTCAAAATAAGCTACACTGACATAAAAAGTTCATTATTTTATGAATTTTTGCGAATATGAAGAATTTATAACAAACATATCAAAGAAGGAAATAGATCCCAACAAAGGCCGGCTTACCCCAATCGGATTATATTTCTTTTGCACATCGTTGTTAATATGAATGTTAATGTGTTGAGAAAAATACACTGAAAAGTAGTTTAGTTTTAAATACAAAATTATTAAAAACATACGAATTGTATTTGTTATATTAGGCAGTATACAGTTGTTTAACTGGCTGATATTTATATATAAATTACTAATTTTATCAGTGAATATGTTCTGCGGCAGAAGGATTCAAATTTCCAAGCAACGGGATCCAAACCCATCACTTTAACACTTGGTCATACTCCAAATAAATTAGTATTGGTTCTTCATCAATTCCTCCTCAAATAGTTATGAAATAAATTAGCTTGATTCTCAAGATGCAATATGTATCTTTTTTTATGAGAAAAGTTTTATAATGGTATTAGGTTTTTGGAATTATTTCTTTTAGGACTGGTGTACTTTAAGGAAGAACTCCTATAATGAGTAATGAGAGCATATTTAGTTAAGACGTGGTTTGTAAGTTGCGATTGGTAAATAAATATATTGTTGTGAATGCATGTATACTATTATACATGTATTGTCGAATTTGGTGCATTGTAGAATACAACGTTTGATATGTGTAATTGTGTATGTCAACTCAACATAAAAAGCCGAGACAATATAATTTCAACTCAACTATATCAACCATCGCAACTAAAAGTTGAGATATAATTTAGGGTAAATACAATTTAATATCCAAACCTTTCATTTTAAACAATAAAATAACAAAACCTTTTCGAAAACAATCTAATATCCAAATCGTCAACTTTTCGTCCGTTTGACCGTTGTTTGACACTTCAAAAAAGTTTTGTTTAGGGGAAATTGTCACAATACAACTTTGTTTTCTTGTTATGGCATTGCAGATGACTGAATATTTAGATATTTTATACCATCATGGTGGAGTCATGGACTTCTCGGGTTTGGAACCACGATATGTTGGTGGTTTTTCATAGAAAATGTCGATGGATATTGATGAAGTGTCGTACTTCGAACTTTTTTGAAGTGTCAACTAACGGTCAAACGAACGGAAAGATGGCGATTTGGATATTAGATTGTTTTCGAAAATTTTTGGCTATTATATTGTTTAAAATGAAAGGTTTGGATATTAAATTGTATTTACCCTATAATTTATGGTCATATTACATGTATTGTTTTTTCTGAAAAAAAAGGCAAAATACATTTCTATAGCCAAAACTTTCACGTTTGTGTCAATAATAGCCAAATTTGGAGAAATACCATTTATAGCCACATTTTTAAAACTTATTGGACTAATTTAGCCATTTTCGTCAAATACTTTAACACCGTCAACTATTCTGTCAGTGAAGTGGACATTAGGCTAATGTGAATGCCACCTAGACGACACATCATGTCCACATCGATCTTGCCATGTCACATGGCAGCCATGTCACAATTTAAAGTAAATTTTTTATGTTATTTCATTTAATTTTAAAGATCTCTTCTCCATCTCCTTCTCCTTCCAGGACAAAAAAAAAAATAATAATAATAATAATAAGAGGATCTGTCCCCTTCATCTTCTTCTTCCTACCGTCATCACAAACCTCCATACCGCCCTGAAAATCCGACCGCCGCCGCCACCCTGAAAATCCCCCTCAACCAGCTCTTCATCCTCCCAAATCCCTCTCTACGAGCTCTCGATAATGAAAACCCCACCCAGATTCTTAAACCCCCATACCCAAATCCTCCACCGCCTTCAACAAACCAAGATTATTGGCACAGAGATTAGGGTTCATAGATAGGGGTTTTCAAAAAGTTTGAGAGAGGAAGAGAGAGAGAGAGAAATGGAGGATTCTTCTTCGACGAACTGCAAGCGATCGAACGGAGGATTTGACGAAGTTGCCTGGGATTCCGCGACGACTGCGAGGAACTTCTCCAAGAATTTGAAGAAGTGCGGATGGAGTTCACGGAATTGAAATCGAGCTCCACTCGATCTCCCCATGAATTCTGAAGTAATTCGCCGACGCTGCTGCTCATCAGCTGAGGGGAAGGGGGATAGCCCGACGACGTCGATGTCGAATTCGTCGCCAGCATCTGGCCGTCTCATGTTCGACGGCGATTTCTGCTCCGCTACGGCCGACTCCCACGCTATACTTTTACAAATTAATTATTTTTTCTAAACCCTATCAATCTCATCTCCCAAATCGTTTCGCCTTCCTTCTCGGTCCCAACCACCGCACAATTCCCAGAAAGAACAAAGATTGCCTCACCACCACACTTCAATCTCCCTCTCTTTCCCTCTTGCCCACTCCCTCTCTTGATGAATGGATGGATGAATTCATTTTTTTTTTTTTTTTGGAATTGGCTGTATCTTCTTGCTACTTTTCTTCTTCTGCGAGCTCTTTGCTTCTTGTTTTCATCATGGTCTAGTGAGGGCTTTGCAATTTTTATCCTATATTTTTTTCATTTTCTAAATCCACGTGGATATTTACAGATGAAACTAGAGATCAGAGGTCGTCACATCAGCATTTCCGTTTGTTCAATCATACCTAACGCTAACACCGTTGAAGAATTGAACGGAAGTGGTTATAAGTGGTATTTCTTCAAATTTGGCTATTATTAATTAGGATGTATTTTGAAAAAAAAAATACATCCTAAAACAATATAATTACAGACATTTCTCGTCCCCGCCTCCGCCGCCGGCTGACGCGAGCCCTTCTTCCATGAACGACCAAACTCCGAACACTCCTCTTCCCGGAGATGGAGCTGCCGGCCAGATGGATGATCAGTCGTCGGCTACCATGCTCGACCTCACCAGCTTTCAACTCCACGATCTCACCTCCGTAGAGTTGCCGCCGACGCTCACCGAATTAGACCTCACGGCCAATCGCTTGTCCGGCTTGGACCCCAGGATTGCCCACCTCGCTAACCTCACCAAGCTCTCTCTCCGCCAGAACCTCATCGATGACGCCGCCGTCGAGCCCCTCTCCCATTGGGACCTCCTCTCCGGCATCGAGGCAAACCCTCCCTTCATCTTCTTAAATCCTTAATTAAGCTTCGCCTGTCATTGATTATTCTTCATTTTACTGATTAATTGATTGAGTCTCTCGTCATTGATGGATTAATTAAATGTTAGGAACTAGTGCTTAGAGATAATAAGCTCGGCAAAATCCCGGACGTTGCCATGTTCAAGAAGCTCTTGGTTTTCGACGTATCGTTCAACGAGATCCATTCCGCTCAGGGGTTGTCGAAGGTCTCTTCTACGCTGAGAGAGCTCTACGTCTCCAAAAATGAAGTTCCTAAGATGGAGGAGATTGATCATCTCTTTCAATTGCGAATTCTTGAACTTGGTTCTAACCGACTCAGGGTCCGTCTCTTTTGCTATTTGGTTTGAGGGTTCCTATGCTTCCATCAGCCTTCATTTCGTTGCTCCTTGTCTTGTCTGAGAGATGTATTGCTCTGTGAACTGTTTAGTTACAGCAGGGAAATTAATGAATGTGTTGTCAAAGGTTTGTGTCCTCTAAACCCCACTGCTTCAGGTAATGGAGAACCTGGAAAACCTGAAAAACTTGGAGGAGTTATGGCTTGGAAGGAATCGTATCAAACAGGTTAACCTTTGTGGGTTGAAATGCATCAAGAAGATCAGTTTGCAGAGCAATCGGTTGACTACCATGACGGGTTTTGAGGTAACTTAGCTGAAAAGGAAGGAAGGAAGAAAATTTCTCTAGTTTTTTTTATAAATAAGTTTGTGTGGATGTCACTAATTGCAACCGGAAAATGTGGGTTTCTCATTTTAATCAGTTGTTGCCCCAATTTACACTTTACAGGACTGTGTTGCTTTAGAGGAACTGTACTTGAGCCATAATGGTATTGAGAAAATGGAAGGCCTATCAGCCTTGGTTAACCTCCGTGTGCTTGATGTATCATCTAACAAGCTCACTTCTGTCGATGACATTCATGGTCTGCCAAAGTATGTGCGAAATACATTCTTCTTAACTGAATCATGTTCTTCGTGATATTCAGAGCTGGCAGGAGTTGCTTACTTTGAATTTAAACTGCAGGCTAGAAGATCTATGGCTCAATGACAACAGAATAGAGTCTCTTGGAAGCATTTCTGATGCTGTTGCTGGCTCGAGAGAAAAAATGACCACAATCTACCTGGCAAACAATCCATGTGTAAGATTTGAAACCACTTTTAAGCACTTGAAACACTCATACTATCACCTAATACCATATGCTTGTAGATTCTCCATTACAGTGATCAATCGAAAGTTTGGTTTTTGTCTTTCGCATTGCTTATTGTCAGGTGGTTTTGCATTCATATCTGCAAAGCCAAGCTCCAAGCTGTTGTCTGCTTCTTTGACCTAATAGAAGTTTGTTTCAAGATTGTGTCCTGATTGTCAGACTGTTGTGGTTGTTTGATTAGTCCAAATAGGATGCATCTCCTGCTTGTTGTCTGAAAGTACTGTTGTTGATCCCTTGTTTCCCAGTCCTTTCTTGCTGTTTCTCGACTCTAATTTCACGAATCAAGAATCTCCTTTCTTCTTGCTACACGTCATGATCATTAATATGCGTCAAAGTATCAAAGAGAAGTTGCCATTCCATTAGGATTCCTTCTTTCTTTTCAAGGTTCTAGCAACTTTTTTTGTGTGCATTCTTCGATACTCCTGCTGTACAATTGAATACCTTTGTTTCGTATTTGTTTTCTCCCCTCTTAAAATGTCCTAGTTTCTCAATCTTTTTGTTGTTGCTTGTAATTGCAGGCAAACTCTCCTGACTACTGTTCTACATTGAAGCAGATCTTTCCAAACATTCTGCAAATTGACTCCAATGTGTACGGTTAATCAGCGGCTAGTAAAAAAACGGATTTTCCAGTGAGAGTCGTAAGTTATGCGTATGGGCTATGGATGGCGCAGTCCCTTATTAGGAACCCACAAATCGCCATGTTAGCTGGCTTTGCAGGTTGTCTGACCTCCCAGTTTTTTGTTGGTAGGAAACAGTAGCTGATATTGTTAGAAGGAGCTAGCTGCATGAGATAATTCCGGGTTTAGATTATATATTCGTCTCTGATTCCAGTTATCTTTTTTGCTTCCATGGTCTGCTCTCTGTTCGATGTTTTCTTGGTTGTCCTTCCCGCTCAAGAGGTCGAAGTTTGAGATGCATGAATTCCTTAGCCACTGAACTTAAAAACCCTTTCACTGTTAACGGGTTTGTGCAATGCTTTCGGACGCATGGTGGAGTAGCACGGTTGAGTAGTTTATAGGTATTAGGGTTGGTTTGGTTTTGATGATTGTTTGCTTGAGATAGTCACAGTGCATTGTTTTTTTTTTTTAGCACAAACAATACATGTATTGTTTGCTTGATGTGATGGAAATTATCACTTAAAATGAGTGATAGTAATATCTCTACTTAAACTTGAGATTGTTGAGATAGTTTTAATGAGATTGTTGGGTTCCTTTTTGTTCCAATCATACCCCTAGTTATATTTATATGTTATCATAAAAGCAATGGCAAAAGTGATCTTTCTCACAAAAAGTAATATAACATGTTGAATACGAGCTTTGGTATTTGCGATTGTTAAAATTGATGTATTGTATGAATGCAAGCATTATAAATTGATGTATTGGTTAAATGCTTGCATTCTAAGATTACAATGTTTGGTAGTTGTGATTGTATTTTTAGGAATGTAGTGGTCGTTTGGAAATTGCGATTGTTAAATAGATGTATTGTTGAGAATGCATGTATAATATTATACATGTATTGTCGAATTTGATGCATTGTAGAATACTACGTTTGGTATGTGTGATTGTGTATGTTGCATTAGCTAAAAGCTGAGACAAAACAATCTCAACTCAACTATCTCAACAATCACAACTAAAAGTTGAGATATAATAATCACTCAAAATGAGTGATAGTTTCTGTCACATAGAAACAATCCATGTATTGTTTCTTCTAAAAAACAAAAAAAACGATGCATTATAAACAATACATGCATAATGACAATCTCAACAAAACAATCGCAACTTCCAAACGACCCTAGTTGGAAAACCACTTTTTGAATGAAAGCCACATTTATCCTTCCTTTTAGATATAAAAGTCAATCATATATAAAAGTTGATAAGGGCATAAAAGAGAAGAAAAGTTGATTCATACTCTCAAAATACAATCTCAACAATATCACAAAATACTTGAGATTCTAAATCATTCATTTTGAATGATTTCAAATGTCACATCAACAATCAAATACATGCATTGTGTTTTATTTTGCAACAAAAAAACGATGCATTCTCTACAATACATGCATTCATTAAATACATCATTTAGATACGCATCTACCAAACGACCCCTAAAAGAATTATCACCAAAACCAAACAAAGTACATTACATTATTTTCCTTAATTACATGTATATTACAATGCACTGATTTAAGTATCAACAAAACCAAACGACCCCTTAAGTTCTTGAAATGGGGGAACACGGTTTTGTTGCAAAAGTTTTCTCTCAAGGCCCCGAACTTCTTATGATCCTCTTTTCAATTTGTGGCTCCTCTAGTCTGATTTCTGGTAGAGATGTGATAGAATCATAGAATTGGCTCTATCTAGGGTTAGAGAACTTGGGGATCAATAAGGGCTTGACCTCCCATTTAGACCAAAGAATGGAAGTTGGGGTTGATTTATAAGGAAGAGGGAGGGAAATGATGTTGCGAGTCGGCGACAGCAACCTAAAGAGAGAGAGAGAGAGAGAGAGAGGACACGGCAAAGATGGAGAGGAAGGTAGGAAGATTAGGGGTTGCTGAATATTTGTTTTGTAAGTGCTTAATGAGTGATCCTACTAATAACCTTTTCCTACTCAACTAATACGACTTAACGAAATACTTCATAATTAGTCACAACCCCCCCCCCCCCCCCAAAAAAAATCCCTAAATGTCTCAAAACATGAGTAAACGATAATAAACCCAAATAACAAAACAAGCAAATAATTATGTTTCTATCATCCCTCCCCACTTCGAAACAACCTTGCCCTCAAGGTTACCCCTACTCATCCTTCTACTCCTCGTTCTCCATGGCCAACCATTCCTCTGCCTCGTCTTCCCAGTGCCCCACCAGCATCGTCAGTTCCGGTTTAGCACACTGATGACCAAAAGTGAACCACTCATCGTAATTGAAGCACTTCCCTTCCCGCCTCTTCTGGTCAATCAATGCAGGAGATAACTTGATGAACCCTTTCAGAATCGCTCGAGGTCCCGGCCAAGTCACTCCTGGCATCACTGCTGGCGCCGCTGTGGCCCCTACCCGGGAACATGACCCGCTCCACCTCTAGCTCCACCAGCTGCACTTCCACTAGCTCCTCCACTGGCCTTCTGAAAGCGTCATACAGTACTCTGCCAGCTAGCAATCTCTTCCTCCTTTCGCTCTGCAATGCGAAAGGCAGTCCTCAATAAGTCAGACTCAAATACCTTCACTGCCGTTGCGATCTCAGGTCGCAGGCCCGCCATACACATGCCCGCCAATGTCTCTTTTAGCACTCCTTGCACATGTTTCCCAGCTTGAAGAACTCTGCTGGGTAGTCGGCCACAGATGAGGCCAGGTAATCGGGGTCTCCGCCTCCTACAAATGAGGCCAGGTAATCAGGGCCTCCGCCTCCGCATACGATTGTTCCATCCATTCCCACCTCTGCATCGCATCTCCCTCCAAATAGAACGATGCCAGGTGCGCCTTCCTCTCCTCCGGAACCGGGTGGTTCTTGAACCATCGATCGGCTGCATACAACCATAAACCAGCATCCTCCCGGCCATTGAATGTAGGAAACTCAACGACTGGGGGTTTGGCCCTAAAGACCAGCTCATTATCACCCTCATAATTATGACCATAACCACCATACCTTCCAATGCCCTGGCCGCCGGTGCGTGGATCGATGTAACAGGGTGCCTCTGATTCGGGAACCCAGGCTTCCTCTCTCACCACCAGACTGCGACCATAGCCTCCCTGATGAGACCAACAACTCTGAACTCTTGTACTCTCGCGTCCGTAGGAATGCTCCACCGGTCGGGAGTCACAAAAGGAGGGTATCCTCTGCGAGACCCACTTCCGTCGTCGCCTCCTGCCGTGGTGGACCAGCTACCTAATTCGACCAGGTTCAGGTAGGTAGGCCCAGCTAGACCCGACTCACTTCGGATCCGGTCCAGCCCGACCTGACCTGACTAGTGCCCCCGTCGGATAGTAGCTCCTCTACATCGTCGGCCCAAACTCGTGCCCGTGGTGAACTGTTGCTGCCCACAATCCTGCTTCGTTAGCCAGGCTTAGCTCGTCGCTCTCCTGATGGCGATCTTGGCCCAACCAGCCCCATCCATGTTGGTCCACTCCTCGCCCATGCTCCGCACCCTCCATATCCAGCCCAAATGACTCGTTGCGGATCACGTTATCGTACCTGTCCATCTTGGTCTTTCCCCGCCTAGCCGCCAACTCTTGGGTCGATAGGGTGGGTAACAACCTTGACCCATCGTAGCCCGCCCCTTGCCCTAGGCCCACCATCAGGCCTGTCTCCTGTCACCAAGCCCGGGTCGGCCTCCTTCCCGCCAAAATCGCTCGGCGACGCCTCTTCCACCGCCACCAACCTTCTCCGCCACCGTTGATCCCATCTCCTCCGGCGGCGGCTCCTTCCTCGTCTGCAGCAACTCCAACCTCATCCTCTGGAACGTCTGAAAATCCTCGTGGAGTCCCCTGATCTCCGCCTGAGAAACCGCCCAGTCGTCCTCGCCGCGGAGTTGACCTTCTACAGGCTCTTGTCAAGGATCAACTGCATATCCTAGACCCGGCCAATCACTCCTTTGATCTCCATCAAATCCGTGGAGGGGTCCGAATTCTTTGACTAGGGGGGTGCTTAGTCACTTGACTAAACCTCTCACAGCCCTTAGATCTGGACACATCAATCTGATGTTTAAAAAGTGGGAAGGGTTATTTAATTAATGACAGAGGTACTTTGGGTATTATGGAAAATTACGAAGTATACAAATCGGACTTACAAACAGTACAAACCATACAAACATACAAACAATACAAACTAGGGCGATAAAACATACAGACAGATTTACAAACAATACGAAACATACGAACTATACAAACTAGACCGACAAACATTACAAAACGTACAAAATGTAAAAACTTACAAACAATACAAACTGTAATAATAAATGATACAAAACGTATTGATACAAAATTACAAACCAGACTTAAAAACATTACAAAATGGTCCGACAAACATAACAAAACGACAACTGTAGCCGGGAAATCCCCGTAGGAAAACTCTCTCTCTCTCTCTCCCTCCCTCCCTCTCAGAATTGCCATGTCCAAAAAATTTCCCATGGTCAAAAAGTTCCATGTCGCCGCCGGGAGAATTCCCAAGAAAGGAATGGTGGGCGGCCGGGGCCACGTTCTTTTTTTCTATTTTGTAAATAAATAAATAAACTTTGTAATTACTACATTACCCTTAATTGAATTAGATTAATTGGAGCCTTTGGATTTTAATGAGGTGGAAGGGCTGAGATTCACTTAGCTAGTGACTAAGGGACCCCCCTTAGTCAATTGATCTTATCCCTCCTTGGAGTAATCTACTACTCCATCCTGACGTTCCTTCATAGGTGGTTCACCGCTCTGAAGCCGCGTCTCTTGCACTTCGCGGTTCACGTTGGTCGAGGAGAAAGAAATAACCTTCTCCCTTGGGTCGATCCCCTTGTTCTGGGCAGCACTTTCTACCGCCTTCTCAGCCGCTGGTTTCGATTTGGTGGTTACCTCCATCTTTATGCTCCTAGCCACGGTTGAGAGTTATGATAAACTCGTAATTAGAACCAGGCTTTGATACCAAATGATAGAAGCGCAGAATTGACTCTATCTAGGGATTGAGAACTTGGGAATCAATAAGGTCTTGATCTCCCGTTTAGACCAAAGAATGGAAGTTGGGGTTGATTTAGAAGGAAGAGGGAGGGAAGGATGTTGCGGCGGCAGCAGCCTAGAGAGAGAGAGAGGACACGCCAGAGAGGGAGAGGAAGGGAGGAAGATTAGAGTTTGCTGAATAATTGTTCTGTAAGTGCTTAATGAGTGATCCCACTAATTATAGAATATATATGCCTGATAGTAACCTTTTCCTACCCAACTAATATGACTTAACGAAATACTCCCTAATTATTCCCAAAACCCCCCAAATAATCTCTAAACGTCTCAAAACATGAGTAAACAATAAATAACCCCAAATAACAAAACAAGCAAATAATTATGTTTCTAACAAGATGGCATGACCTTCGAAACTTAATCGTAGTATGCGAATCTGAGAGTTCTCCTCATTTACCAAGGTGGTTGTTCATGACAGCGATTGGTGGCCGGTGGAGGTGAACTCCACTCATCCAAATCTCCAATCTGGGAGATTGCATTTTCGCTGGAAAGTGTCACTATTGTTAATTAGATCACGCGGAAGGGAAGAAGCTGATACTTTCAGTTTTTATCTTAATTAATGGGTGTCGCCTGAACGCCCCTTTGTAAGTGAGGCATCGGCTCTCTATCAATCCATAATTCAATCGACGTACAATGATGTTAAAAGTTGTATTATAAGTCTAAATGCTTACAGTTTTATGTTCTTACCTCCTCAAAACTAGAGTAGTTTTTGTTTTCATAAAACTTTTGGCATCACAAGCTTAATATAAACTTTAGCACTACAAGTGGGAGCTGTTATGGTAATTACGGTTTAGTTTGGCCCTGCTGTAGCTTTTACAGAAGCAGCTTTTGGCTTGAGCTTTTAGAGAAGTACTTTTCAAAAAAAGCAGTTGAGTGTTTGGTTGAAATTTTATTAATAGTGATTTTAATATGAGAGGTTGTGTAAAATGACTATAAATGACTTATAATATAAACTGTGAGTAATAATTCTAAACAATAAATTGTAGTCAAAATAGATCTTGTTAGACTTCTTTTATATTAAATAATATGATTTTATACTTTATTTTATTTTTAAAATGATATAAATGAAATACAATTTTATTTTCTGAAATAAAATTAAAATATGGTAAGGATAATCTTGTATTTTTAAAACAGATTTTCGCAGAAGCTCCAAATCAGAGCTTCTGCTTTTATGTTATACAAAAGCACTTTCCGGCTTTTCAAAAGTTGAACTTTTAGAGATGTTTGGCACTTCTTCAGCTTTTGAAACCGAAAAGCACTTCTAAAATCCGGGCCAAACATAGGCTAATATGGATTGGTAATCACCATAGTTACTAATATCAAAATTTGGTATGGAAAAAATATTTATTAATTTCCTTTTTTAATTAATTATATTTTAGGAAGTTACAAAAATATATTGACTACAATTTTCTCTTTGTCTTTCTCTCATTTCTACAATCTACATCCAGATCTCTCTTCCTTCTTTTTCTCAATCCTTTCTTTGTTTTCGTTCCGACAAACTAATACCACTCCAACAATAAACAACAAATCAATACCAATTCATTAAAAAACACTACCATTGCACATAACACCAATACTATTCGAGGAATAAAAACACTATCATTTCACAACATACTTATATCATTGCATATTTAACCAATACTAGTACATGCAAATCGATACCAATTACATGATAATCAATGTCAATGCATAAAAATACACCAATGCATAAAAATCACTACCACTACGAAAAAATCACTACCATTTCACAAAACAACAATAGCCTTACATGATAATCAATACCAATGCGGAAAAACCAATATCAATGTGAGAAAACAATACCACTCCAAAAGAAAATCACTACAAAGCGAAAAGTAATACCAATAAAAAAAACATGCATCATGTTCTCTAGTCGAATTCCCCCAACATTTTTCTTTTTCCCAATCGTCATTTTCGCCTTGCTAAGAAGACTGAAGGAGAGAGAGAGGGATTGGGTTTTAGGTATAGAAAGATAGTGGAGAGGGTCTCATGCGGAAGACGAACGGAAGGGGAGAGAGAGAGGAGGGAGGGATGGCCGGTGTAAGGGAGAGCGATGGAGGGTGGGCAACTGACGCTGTTGAAGTAGGCTTTGACTGGAGAGAGGGGAGGGTAGAAGTAGGGTTTGGATAGAAGATTTTGTTTTCTGAATTACCCTGAAGCAATCTTAACCGTGATATTAAAAAAGAGAAAAAAAGAAAAATGGACGGCAAATAATGATATAACTACGGTGACTACTAGAATTATATTGGCCACCCTAACGCACTCTCTCTACAATTGCATTAAAATCTTAAAAAACTAGATTTTTTGGAACTTTTAAGAGCTTTAAACTAGGGTAAAATATCATGGGTACCACTTAAGTTTGAGAATTGGGACAGACATATCACTTAAGTTTGAATAGGGTGTCGGACACCACTAGACTCTATTATTTGTGCACTCGGTACCACTTAAGTTTAATGTTAAGTGCATTCCGCTAAAGTTAACAGAATATTCTTGGAATATTCCATTTTCTAAATTTCTTAATTTGTCCTTCTACTTTTCTTATAGTAAAAAATCATTTTGACTTATGAAAAACATCAATTTTTATGATTTAGTTGGTATCCTCTTTTGAAAACTTGATAACAAATTAATTTTTTAGTATAAATTTTAGAATCAATTATCATTATATGTATTTTCAATTATCATTAGATTTTCTAATAATTGAATTATTCCTTGAAGCAAATATATCATATGAATTATTTTTAGTTGGAATCCTCCTTTAAAAACTCTGATACCAAACCAATTTTTGAAATAGGAAATGTAGAATCAACTATCATTATAAGTATTTTCAATTATCATTATGTGTTATAGTAATTGAATAATTTGCGTAAGCAAATATATCCTACGAATTCTACATCGATATAAATAATCTGAGGATGTTATATTTAATTGTAGTATATGTTGTATAATTTTCTATGTTAAATATCCTTGTAATTTTCTAATATTATATTGTAGATGTTTCATATTAATTAACTTTACCAATTCTAATTCTCTTCCTATAGTCATATTTTCTTTTCTAGATTTGTTACGGAGTGTTGTAGTTTTTATAGTTTATTTATCACTTGGTTACTTTCCGTCTCTTTTCGTTCTAAATTTTCTTCAATTACTTAAATATGTTTAATTCTTTTTCGATGTGTTCCATTTATCTTTCTTTGGTCTTGATGATCGATTAGATTCTATTTTAACTATTTTAATGGTACTTCTAATTTGATTAGGGGTTTAGATAGATATTCTAATATTAATTTTAAATATTTATTATTATATTATATATATATTTATTATTCCTCTTGATATTTTATTATTATTTATTATTTATCTAATTTATTTGTAATTTTGATTAGCCATTTTAGTAATGTAATGTTTAGAAGGTTTTTTAATTTTTATATTAGATAAAAACTTGTTGAAATATAGTTTTGGAGGTTTTCAAAAGTTTTGGGTACCAAAAATTAATTACAATTTTGGATTGGATGGAAAACTAGATGGACGCAAATTTTAGCAACTTTAATGTTACCCGATGCCCTATTTAAACTTAAATGGTATGTCTGCCCCAATTCTAAAAACTTAAGTGATACCCGAGATAGTTTACCCCTAAACTATGGAGCCGGTTGGGCACTTGGTGGGCTGGTCAAGTAATTTTTCCCAATAAAAATAAACTAAACTTATCACTTGGTTGGAGTTGAAATTAATTACTGTTTCAAAATGATGTTGGAGGTAGTTTGGGAGAGTGTCTTGTTAATAGTATTGACAGCTATGGTAATGATGAAGATGATGAGGATTGGTTGCAAATTTTGATGTTGATACCTAATGTAGTTACATTTAGAGATATTGAAATGGTTACCATGATAATTATCAAACCAAATAAGTCTAAATTATATTAATGATGGAATACAATATCATAACCAAATCGTCCAAACTAATACAACAACCAAATTAACCAAATTAAAGTTTAATCGGTTTGGTTAATTGATTAACCAATATAACATCACATTATAATTAAGTGAATTTTTTTTCGGTTAGTGCATCAATTCACCATTCATATAATGAATAACATATAACAATGAACTCATATTTATAGCTAACCCTTTACAAAAATATGTGTAACAAATACAATTATCTCTCTTAACATAAATACATGTAACAAATAAAATTATCTTACATTTCACTCCTGCACCGGAGTTCCTAGTTGGGATTTACTTTGTCTGCGGGCTCTAAGTCGTTTGTTGCTCTGCCTTGGGTGGCTTTCTCAGTTGACTGAGCTGTTACTTTGTTATCTGGGCAAAGCTCTAGTGATGCCAGGGGAATACACTGGCTAATTTAGCATCCCTTCAATAAAAAAAATTATGTGTATATAATATATATTAAATATATGACTAATTACTTAACTAGTTAATTGGGTTTGATTGGTTAGGAGTGTCTGAAACCAAACCATCTAAACCAAACAAATTAAAAAAAATTAACCAAACCAAACCATCTAAACCAAACAAATTAAAAAAATTAACCAAACCAATGATCCAAATTAACTATATATTGATATTTGATTTAGTAAGAATTGGAGTAGAGTTCTTAAAAGGGTTTCTTTCCAAAGTGGAACATAAGAATTAATGAATTGAATTTGGAAAAATTAATAGATTTGAAAATAAATTCAAGTTCTTAAAACAGTACTGCTAACAAACATATTAATTTTCTAAATTGTATAACAATAATCATTTGTAGTATAAAGGATAGAGATTAATTTAAATTTCAAGGGTTGTCAAATGATGTTGAGCTCAATACTATCATCACCAAAATATTTTTTTTTACACTAACCCAAAGCTCCTACACACGACAGATTTTCTCTGGACAAATTTAACAAAAATAACGCGCCAGGAAGGGGTCGAACCTTCGACCTTCTGCTTAGGAAACAGACGCTCTATCCACTGAGCTACAGGCGCTCTTATTGCTACCATCACTAGCCAATAAAATATCATACATTTCACATTTCCTGTTGTAAGATGTTATGTTTAACACTCTTCTTGAAACAATATCACACGTTACAAGTTACAACCCTTATTATAAGAATAGAGCAAGTAGAACCATCAAACCAATTATAATAAAGGTTAGGTTTGTTTGTTTGGAGGATCAGGGACGTAAAGAACGATTTTTAGCGATTGAATATGAAATCAGATGAACCACCTTGATTTGATTGGTCCATTGGATGACAATTTTTAACACAAAAAAATACTTAGAATAAAAATATTAACGTGAACTAAGGCCATCAACCTTCATTACTAATTTTATTTCTGTTTCATCTTCTTTCATTTCTCAACCTCTTTGTTTGCTTTACGTGGTTTACTATCTACTGCCATCCTAAGTATTATTTTGAAAATGATCAACTTTTTGTGTGTTTTAATTTGTGAGGCAGTTTGAAATATTTGTTAGAAACTTTAGTCACGAATGACGGATTTGAAATTGTTTATGCTTTAGTAACAGCTACTATATTGTACCTTCTCATAGAGATATGATATTCGGGTTTTATTTTTTATGGTAGGATTTTCTTCTCCAGCTATTGTTATATTTTCTTTTTTTGGGTTTATTGGCTTTTTCTGATTTTTTATTTTATTTCTTGGCTTTCTGGGTTTCTTGACTTTCTCGGTTATATTTTGTAGATCATTGTTATTTAATGCCATGGATACCAGTTTGTAAATGGTTTTTTTCTAAATAATAGTTCTATGAGGTATGGATACTCTTCTGTGTTATTTGGATATCAATTCGTGAATGTGGAATACATATTGTTTTCATGATGTATATCATTTACCAACCTTGAATAATAGTTGTTTTCAATGTGGATATTAGTTCGTAATTGATTGGCTTTGGTTGTTAATTCTTTGAGTCTGGATACTAGTTCTATGATTCCTGAATACTTGTCAGTGCTCTCTGGATACTAGTTTGTGCTCTCATGTATACTTGAATACTACTCCATCATAGTGTGGTTACAAGTTCATGTATACTGATCGATATGAAAATGCTACCAAGTGCACTGATCGATATTAGTTAGCAACCCTTGAATACTAGTTGGTTTGATTGTGGATATTAGTTGGTAATTGATTGGTTGAATACTAGTTCTGTGAGTCTCGATACTAATTTGTGCTCTATTGATACTAGTTCATAAATACAAAATGCTACCAAATGTTGAACAAAACATGGATACTACTTCAACACAAACGGATATTAGATTGGGAAATATGAATATTAGTTCGTGATGCTTTCTCTCTCCCGTGTGAGAATAGTTGGTGAGTGGCATTAAATACAAGTTCGTGCATTTAGGATACTAGTTTTTGAATTTTGGATACTAGTTCTCTGTGCTAGCTTGGCTCTCAATCGAAAAGCCATTAAAATCCACTTAAATGAGTCATTCCCTTAGCCAGTGAGCCCCAATCCTTGGATCTAAACTCCGCCCGCATGGCCTCTATCCTTACCGTGTGAGTATATACTCACATGAAGGGTTGTGAGCAGCATAGCTAGACTGCGCCTTCCATAGTGAGTTGTCTTTCCTCTCCCTATTATATTTATGTTCTTCCCATCTTTTCTTTTCTAAACAAGGATAGTAAGGTTTTCAGTGGTTGCAAGAATTAGTGTTCCATACCATCCTAATTTCTTCGAGATCGAATCAATCAATATTAGAGGGAGAGGATAGAAGAGAAATGAGAAGCTGATGCAAACACTTTCATACATTTTATGACATACTTTATAAGGTTTCTGGTTTGCGTTATGAGTTTTGTAGTTTGGTTTGTTGTATTTCCGACTTGCGTCAAGATACTTGTGGTCAGCTTTATAAGATTTTTGGTCTTGTTCAGGAAACTTGTGATTAGCTTTATGAGGAATCTGGTATACTTTATAAGTTTTGTGGTGTGGTGACTAGTGAGTTTTGTAGTATTTGTGATGTGCTTTCTACATTTTCTATTCAGCTTTATAAGATTTCTTGTTTACATTATGAGTTTGGTGGTGTGGCTTGCCTTGTTTCTGGTTTGGTATGAGTTTTCTGGTTTGCTTCATGATATGCATGGTAAGATTTATGAGTTTTCTGTGGTCTACTTGAGGAAACTTCTTGTGAGTTTTGTGTTTTGCTTTGTTAGTTTTGTGGAGTGGTGAACTTCTAGTCTACTTTATGTGTGTTGTAATTTGTCATATTTATGGTGTCAATTTTATGATATGCTTCATGATAGTTGTGATCGTTGCCGACTTGGGATAGAATGCAGAATAATTGGTTGGTCAATGTCACATGCGGCGTGTTGCACTAATTTTTTTTTTAAATGACAAATAAGTCCATGCCTTTAAAGTTATAATATAATGGGCTAATACCACTACAACACCCAAACTATCCGGAAAATGCCACTTGTGTCCTATTGTTTCCGATATTCCATTCATGTCATGAACTATTATATTTAGTGTCATTTGTATCCTGCCAATTTCGTTGACCGTTAAAGATAACAGTTGACCAAACGGCGGTCAACTTAACATTGACTTTTGCTTACGTGGCAATGCCAAGTCATTGACACCTCAAATTTTTAATTTAAATTAAATAAAACTTTAAAAATAAAAAATTGAAAAATCCACCGACTTCTTCTCTCCTGCGATGAGATTCTCCAGCCATGGAAAAATCCGCCCTCCCCAATCTCCGGCCATGGAAAAATCCACCGACTTCTTCTCTCCTGCGATGAGATTCTCCAGCCGAGACTTGTGATTCCCCCTCTGAATATCCACCATTCCCACAAATCCAATCCCTAGAAATTGGGATTCTCAACCCATCAACTACCATCTCCCAGCTGTTTCCAACTACTCGACCTTACCCCCACTATTGTCTCCCGATTATGCGCCAACTGATATTGCAGGTATGGAGAGAGCGAAACTGATAGGCGAAGTAGAGAGCATGAGCTCACATCCTGGGTCGGTAGGATGGAACTCGCCACCGTGAAGGAGATTTCAGCGACGATTTTTGGAGAAGCAAACGGCTCGGAGGCCCGAGAGTTTCTAGAGGGTCGATTTTGCTGGAGGTTGCAGTTGCGAGTCGGATTGGAGTGGTGGCGGAGTGGGTTGGCAGGTCCGATTCGAGTGGCGGCGGAGTGGGATGAGTATGGTGGTGGCGGATTGGGTTGCCGGGTCTGCTCGAGAATCTAGATCTACGATGCTCAATCTCTCGATCCCTTCAAAGAATCTTCCAATGAAGTGATTTCCAGCTGAAAAGCAGAGGCTACGGTGATGCAAACTGCCATGGAGCAGAGAGTTCTGGCGGCAATTGACGGGCGGTGAGGTTTCTCTAAAAGAATCGTCGGGCGTCGAGGTCGCTCTGAAGAGTTGTCGGGCGTAAAGGGATAGAGAGGAAAGACAAAATTTGATTCTTATCTTCTCAATTTTTTCTCATTTTTTATTTTATTTTAATTATTTTCTTCAATAAAATGGAATTAAAAATTCCATGTCATTTTCCACATCAACGCTGACTAGACAATCTGTTAAATTTTAACGGTCAACGCTGGTCAACACTAACAGAGTAATAGTTCAGGACACAGATGGAATATTTGATACAATAGGACACAAGTGACATTTTTCGGATAGTTCGGGAGTTGTAGTGGTATTAGCCCTAATATAATTGTGGTCGACTCTTTCAATATAAAAAATCAGAATAGAAAATTTTCTATTAGTCGAGGTTAGTGTAACACCATGTTAACTAATTTGGTGTTCACATTCTACGTCAGCCATCACAACCTACCATCATCTACGAGTTAATGGTTACTTCCAAATAGGGGTGAGCAATGATCCGATTCATACAAGACCGCATCGAACCAAATTGATGTTTGGACCGGATACCGAACCGTCAATAATGCAGTTCGATCCTTGGTCCAATAAATATTACAATTACTGTAGAAAAATGGACATAGTTATTTAGATCATACCAAACTTGCCCAAATGAAATAATGATCCAATCCTTAGTCCTAAGATAAGTTTCACTAATGGACAATTCTCATGAGTTTAGTCTAGTCCGAACCGGACCGAACCATTGCACACACCCCTACTTCGAAATCTCACTCCAATCCTCGCTCTAATCAACCACCTCCACAGCTTCGAAATTTCTCATTCACCCTGCTGCAGAGGGTTGACATGGTACTTCTAGTAGTGATCTTCTCAGGTAGCGATGCACATCGATCATGACTAACAGCAAGAAAGCACCACGATGGTGGCTGATGGCAGCAATTTAACTCAACAATGATGCCAACAAGTGACGAAGAATCTATGGCTAGACGGAACGCTACCTCCTCCGTCCCTATATCTCCCTTTAATCATGAATTATAGCAAGCATCGATCAAGAACACAGCTAATGCAAAAACACATTGATGTATTATCATCAAGATCAAAAATTGTGCACTTAAACTTGGGAATTTCTCAAAATTCTCAACATCCCAGAAATCCCCTTTAAACATTGATACTGTAGAAATAAAGGAAATCCATCCATAGCTGCTAAAAAACGATAACTAAAACAGACAAATAATGCGCAAGGAAAAAAACTAATCGAACAGCGAGAAACCCATATCATCGTCGCTCTCCTCTTTCTCCTCTTCCTTCTTCTTCTCCTCTGCTGCAGGCTCCGCTGCGGCCGCTGCTGATGCTCCTGCGCCACCGCCACCACCGCTGCTGGTGAACCCTCCGCCTGCAACAGCGCCACCGACGATCACCTGAAATACGATAACGTCAGATCAGTCCACGAATCTCGAGCGGAGAACGGCGAGAAGTTTATTCACAAACGATAAACGTGCAATCGATCGAACCTGGAAAACAGCAGAGCTGGGAGAGATGAGCGAGAACGAAGACCTAACTCCGCCGGAGGAATCGGTGGCGAGAACATCATGAACGAGCTTCCTCTGCAGGTCGAAGGTGGAACCCGCAGATGCCTCCAAGTCACCGGAGATCTGCTTGCCGCACCACTCGTCGCCGGAGCTTTTGCACACGAAAGTGAAAACGCCCATTGTTCCGATTCGATTCAACCGAGATTTCAAGAGAGGCTATTGAATTCTGCGACTGCCAAGATACAAACGTATTTATATGTCCCGCATTCGCTTGGAACCCTAGCATTCTCCTCTTCGTACTCGAATTGGACGTATTTACCCCTCCCCTTGTGACATAAATTCTAATAGTGCCCTTGCTCTTCCCCGCCTTCAATTATTTTGTTTTTTCATTGTTATTTTTATTTTTTGAGGCATGCAATCACTTAGGCCCCGTTTAGTATTGTTGCCTGTTTTTGTTTTCTGTTGTATTTTTCAAGATTGGAGAAACCAAGAAAAAAAACATGTTTAGTTGGGTTTCTATTTTTTGTTGTGAATCAGATTTGCACAACATGGCCCAAATTTGAGAAACAACAATTTATTGCTTTGGATTTGATTCTTCTACATGTTTTACACGGGATTCCCGTTTGTTTTCATTAAAATAACCCTCAATTCGAATCCCACCCAAAGCAAAAAATTTCTCTTTTTTTTTTAACTCACAAACCCACCTCCAAACCCTAGTCGGCCAACCCTACCCTCATTTTCTCCCAAACCCGCCGCCCAACAACTCCCTCCCTCTCTCAACTTCTTCCTCTCGAGACCCAGGTCGCCGATATCGTCCATCTCCCCCCACCGTCGATTTCGTCCCTTTGCCCCGCCGCCTCCCTTTACCCTGTCGGCCGACCTCGCAACCCCTGCCGCCTCCTCCTCTCGATTCCAGTCGCCTCCCTTTCCCCCGCTGCCGACTTCGAATCCTTTCCCCCGCCTCCTGGCTTTTCCCGTCGCCTCCCTTTCCTCCCGCCACCTCCTTTAGATTCCCCGCCGACTGCGAATCTTTTCCCCCCATCGCCGCCTCCTCACTTTTCTGGTTTTTAGTTCTAATAGTAGTAACTGAACGCGTTTTTGTTTCTTGTTGTCTGCTTTCATTATTTTTCATATTATCAACTAAACAGGTTTCTGTTTTCTATTTTTTTCCTGTTGTGGTTGTACATCTGTTTACACAACGCCACTGCAACCACAACAACAACAACAACAAATCGATACTAAACGGGGCCTTAGACTAATTCCAATCCATATTAAATTTACACTTTGAAAATTTTCAAATATTCAAATTTAGCTTCGCATCTCACATTTTAAAGTTCTTCTAATAAACTATACATTTTCTTATATATTCAATATATACTTATTTGCAATCTAATTTGTACTTTTCAATTTAATTTTCATCATTAATTAACATTTTTAAACCAAAATTTTGCATATAATTTTTTAATTTAGAGACAAAGAAAATCATTAACTAGAAACAGAAATTTAAAAATATATTGGGATTGGGAATGAGACCTGCAACAGAGACTCAGAGAGTAACTCACACGGGGGCGACCCAAATGCCCCCTCCGTATGTGCATTCCCTCTATATTGGTTGTCTATTTTCAACATCAAGTTTGTTGCAGGCTATATGAGTGATGGCAATGTAACAGGTGACGTAGCAATCGAGTGATAATTCCTAGGATGTCTTATGGTCATATTCCACGAGGTATTTGGATGATAATTACTCAAACCTAACCAATTTTTATGCGATGATGATGCAAAGGAAAATAAATATGATGGGTTGAGGTGCCCTTTACTCGAACTACTACACTACTAATGCACGAAACAAACAAACAAAGCAATCAAGTAAAACTAATGTTTAGTGTTTTCTAGATGATTATGCATTCATTCTCCTTAATAAGATGCATCTTTGCATCATTTATTATAATGCTCTATCCCTTCCACTAAGGTCATCCTACTCGAGTTTTTGCCACATACAATAGGAACTTTACTAGCTAATATGTGATTTCGCTTCATGTCATAACCTAATCAATGAAGAATAAAGAAGTTAGGATATCATATGGTTAAATGTGGGCCTCTTGATCCATAACTCATAGTCTATAGTATCGATGATCTAAGAATCGAGCATTGATCTCATGTAAACATGCATAGATGCATCCAATTAAACAAGCATACACAAGACAATGGGATATCACAATAGGATAATTTATTATAAATCTCAATGATATTATGCACAATATTATAGTAGCATCTAATAGGGGTCACACACATATAATCGTTATAACACTAGATGATGTAGAGCATCGATGATATAATCAATAGATGATTAAAGCATCACAAATACAATAATGCATCTAAAGGAACAAGCATAAATAACTATAGCGTTGAATGAAATAAGCATCTTATTAATTCATAGAAAAATGCATGAACATCATAGAATTCACATCTCTAAGCAGATCCAGCTAGCAATGCAAGAGAGTGTAGGAAGACATCACCAATGATGAAGAACATCGATGGTGCATCATCCTAGTCAAACTTCAACAGGGCTTCACCTCCTCTCTATGGATCTCTAACTTGTGCCTAGTGGGGCAGAGTGCTGGCTAAAAGGTGTGTCTAAACCTCTAGCCTAGCATCATACTAGTTATAGAAGAGGTTTTAGTTCTTTTCCTCCTAAAGTCGACCAAAACTTCCTTGTAAAACTTGAATTTGAAATTATTCGACTTGGAGACGAAGTAATCTTGAAGAGGAAGTTTCTGGAGAGATTGTGCCCGAGCGGTGGCTGGAAAGTGGTTGGACTCGGAGGGGGATTTTCTTCTCCAAATCAGTTCATTTTCTAGTGATCAACTTCATCTTGGTCACATTGGGCCGCTCCTAAAATTTCAGCTCATTTGGACATCGTTCGACTTCTCTTCTCTTCCAAATACTATTTCTTGGTCCATAACTTGAGTTTCCAATTTCAGAATCTATCTCTGTTAGAGCCCATGAACTTGTATTCTCGTCCTCCTTCTGGTCCATTAGGTCTCTTGGTGTTCTATATTAGCCTTGAGAGCATTATACCCTGGAAAAGCACAAAACAACACCAAAAGGCATAAAATAGTACAAAAATACACAAGGTCTATCATAAGCTCACAAATCAAATAATTATGAATTCCATAAGAAATATAATGAAACCAGTAAAGATGTATTAATAGAAGGGAAAAATGCATCAAATATGCGAGTGATAAACACTACAAATAGAGTGTAAAATAACTCACACTTGAACTTTGGTTGTCTCCAAGCAAACACTACTCACAATCATACAACTCAATGAACATTAGGAACCATCACTCAAACTCGATCTTAGGTAGTGGATAACAAGTGAAATTACAAGGTCAACAAAAGTACGAGAGAGTCCTAACCACAACAATATGCATGAACATCAAAACACATAGGGTAAAAGCTTTTTGATAAACATGTTGGAGCTTGAATGCTTCTACCATCATTTGACATACCTTTAAGCACTTTGCCTTATTAGAAAACATACTCTTAACTCTTTTTATCTGTTTCCAATTTTCTTCTCCTTTGAACATTTCTTCTTATGATTTTCTTATGATTAGTGTCTTGCATTGGCTATAAATATTATACTCGTGTAGCATTGTAGAGTTAAAAAAACTAATATTAAAACCTGAGAGGGAGATACTCTCTGTGGACCAATGTCATCTTGACGATACCAGATTAAAAAACTCTTCTTTCCTGTCTAGCTTTTCCTGTTTCATCGCTCGTTTCGACATGAGGCGGACGGGAGAGAGTAGAGTGGGGATATGTTAGGATTTAAATAGCAATAATCACAGGCGATATTTTTTCTTTTCCAAAACTATCCTTATAACAATCTTGGCAGTCAAATTAAAAAAAAAGGAAAAAAACAAAGAAAATAATAAAAATATAGAGTTTCGTAACCATCATATATACTAAAATAATATTTACCACGCGAGGAATTTTACAATGCTATATAGCATTGGTGTTATAGGTTTGTGCTTTTATGGTACAACTTGAAATTGTACCTTTAACGTTATGGTACAACTTCAGATTGTACCTATACTTTTTGTACAAATTCTCTTATATGATGATACAACTTCAAGTTGTAAAGTTGTACAATAACATAATGATACAAATTCGTTTATGGTACAACCTAAACTTATACATTTAATGTTATGGTACAACTTGACATAAAACACCAATACTATATAAAATAGTAGAAATACTCTTACCACGCTAACTCATCCCAACTACTTTTCAAAACCGAGCCCAACACAGAATTCCTAATGGATTATTTTTCGGTCAACAACTCACTACTAATCTTGTAATAAAAAGAAAAACTCAGTAGTCAAGTATCATACTGGCCCAACTGCCACATGATTTACTCATTTCCGATTGCCAATTGCCGGGAGAATTTTTTTTTACAAAAGATAATCATATATAGATTTCAAGAAAGGTAGCGTTACATCCTGGAAATCAGCCAGGCCTGAAAATTAAAAGAACGACACGTAGACGGGTACAAAGCAAGGGCCTTTCTAGCCACCGCATGGGCTACCCTATTGTTCCTCCGTCCTACAAATCGCACACTAAACCCAGAATTATGCACCATACAATGCCGGATCTCCTCTAAGATCATCCCAATCCTACTATCTCTAGTTTCAGCTTGATTGATTTTCTCGATGATAACCTTGGCATCTCCTTCAAACCTCACCTCCTGGAATCCATTGGCTACACACCACAAGATAGCTTCTCGGAGGACAAGCGCTTCCACCACCCACGGATCATCAATGGCCCCAAACTGAACCCCCTGAGCTCGGAGGACTTCCCTATGAGGATCAAGAAGGACCATTCCGCCAGCAGAGTGAGACCCAGCCCTCGTAGCCCCATCCCGCATACACACCATCGAGGAGCCCCAAGCCAGGCCCGGAGGATGGAGAATTGGGCGTGGACCCTGCTCTACCCTTCCTGCTGACACCCGTTCCCATTCCTCACACTGTTGATGAAATTGGCGCATCAAGGCAGAGAAGCCAAACTGCTTGCCTTCAAAGACAACCCAATTACGCGACTTCCAAATTCGCCACAGCATAACCACCACCGCCATGATCATCGGAGGTTGATGGATCAAGGCAAACAGCCGTTTAAGAAACAGGGGAAAAGTATGGCGAGGTAAGCCTTGGCCAAGATGTTCAAGGCCTGAATAGTCCCATAAAGCCCGAGCCGCTGGACACTCCAGGAATAAATGTTCCATAGTTTCCGATGCATCCCAACAAACCGGACAGCGTGGGAGGACCGGAACACTTTTCTCAATGAGGCCTTCAGTGGTAGGGAGGATACGATGAAAAATCTGCCATACGAACACCTTCAACTTAGGGGGAATGTCAGCCTCCCATAGCCAAATCCAACTGACCCTATCCATCCAACTAGCCGTGGCCCTCCAACAACCATTCTTTTTGGCCTGATCAACGACTAAGTGATATGCTGTTTTGACAGTAAACACACCATCTGTCGTGCAATGCCAGATAAGTTTGTCTACCATATTCTGTCTCGGCAGAGGGATAGAACGAATGATTCGACATGTTGGAGGATCAAACCATTGCCGCAGTTTGGTTTCACACCAACCCCCTTCCCCATCCTGGTCTAAGACCTCTGCTACCATCAGCTCCCCACCTTCTGGGAGCACCTGCGGGTTATAGACAGGCTTCTCAGGATGCAACTGAGGTAACCAATTCGATGAGAGCAGCGATGTTGATGCCCCATTACCAATTTGCCAACGAAGGCCTTGCTCTAGCAACTGTCTCCCAAAGAGAACACTCTGCCATCCCCAGGAAGGGCGCGAACGCGCCTGGGCTTGGAGAAAAGTCCCCCTCGGGAAATATTTACCTTTATAGACTTGAGCCAGCAAGGATTGGGGATCCTGAAGAATTCGCCATCCAATTTTAGCTAACAGTGCCTGATTGAAATGTTCAAAACGACGGAAACCCATGCCCCCATCATGTTAGCTTTTGCACATATTTCTCCAGGACATCCAATGAATCCTTGACTGCCCCTCCGTCATGCCCCACCAGAACCGCGCAACATGCTTGTCCAGGAGCCGACAAAGTGACAAGGGCAACCGGAAGCAAGACATAACATGCAAAGGTAAGGCTAAAGCAACAGATTTAATCAGGGTTTCTTTTGCTGCCCAAGATAAAGTACGTTGCTTCCACCCTTGAAGTTTCTCCAGCAGTTTTTCTTCCAAGTAGCGGAAAGTAGCCATCTTAGATCGGGCAATCAGGGTCGGGAGGCCCAAGTATTTGTCATGAACTCCCACCGCTCCCAGCCCCAGAATCGCCGCCAGAAATTCCTGATCAGCGGGGGCAATGTTCTTACTAAAACAAACCGCTGATTTATCCAAATTAACCAGTTGGCCACTTAACTCCTCATATTCATTTAAAACGTCGATCAGATTTTCACATTCCTGAAGATTCCCTCGCAGGAACAGATAAGAATCATCCGCAAAGAATAAATGTGAAATTCAAGGAGCCTGCGGAGCTACTTTTACTCCTCCCAGTCTCTTATCAGCAATTGCCTTGCGGAGAATCGCAGCAAAGCCTTCCGTACATAGCACAAAGAACAGGGGAGACAGAGGGTCCCCTTGACGAAGCCCCCGGGAAGGCGAGAAAAATCCTGACGGAGATCCATTCATTAGGACCGAGAAAGATGTTGAGCGAAGACATTCATGGATCCATCCAGTCCAAACGGAATTGAAACCCATTTTCTCCAAGACTGCGAGCAAGAAGGGTCATTCAACTCTATCATAAGATTTTTCCATGTCAACCTTTAGAGCCATATACCCTTTCTTACCACTTGTCTTGATTTTCAAATAGTGCATCAATTCGTGATCAACCAAGATGTTCTCGATGATTTTGTCTTTCGCGAATAAAAGCATTCTGTCCCGTAGAAATAATTCTCGGTAGAATTGAAATCAGTAAATGATTAAAAAACAAATCCCAACTATTCCTACTGTCTTGTAAAAACGTGTCCTGATTTCCTTCACCTTTTGACCGCCATCCCAACTTTCCCTAATTACTCCACTACTCTTCCCTTGTTTGTTGGATCCACTCCTCTCCTCCACATCTCCCCCCTTGTCTAGAAATTTTTATCTTTCAATTCCTTCTTGATTTTTTTACTCCTTTTGGCAAATTTTTCCACTAATTACTTCAATTTTACCATAATCAATCAATTGGCGCATCAGATTAACTTTTATTTCTCTCCACTCTTAATCCTTCTCCCGGGACGGATTTAGGCTTCCCCCAAACTGTGATTTGTATTGTTCATGTGCATTCCCCTCAGCTTTCCTCATTACCATCGTCGTCCTAATTTTCACCGCGGTAAAACCTACCACCTACACATTATGGATAGATAATCTTTACACCATAATCACAGTTGGATCAGAGAGCAAAATCACCATGAGAGGAGCGGTGCTTGTAGCAATCGCCGCTACAGTAGGCAACTTCTTACAAGGATGGGACAATTCCACCATTGCAGGTTCCTCCCCAGTCTACCAAAGAATTTTAGTTTTTTTTTTTTCATTTTTGTGTATGATTATGATTCGATACTTTTGTATGATTTTTTGATTCGATTCAGGGGCTGTAATTTACATAAAAAGGGAATTTCATCTAGAGTCTCAACCAACGATGGAAGGCCTGATCGTGGCAATGTCGCTGATGGGCGGGACGTTGATCACGACATTCTCCGGTCCGGTGGCCGACGTGTTCGGCCGGCGTCCAATGCTAATCCTCTCGTCGCTCTGTTACCTCGTCGGAAGCTTGGTCATGTTATGGTCTCCTAACGTCTATGTCTTGCTGGTTGCGAGACTGCTCGATGGGTTCGGGATCGGGCTCGCCGTCACGCTCATCCCGCTCTACATCTCCGAAACCGCGCCGTCGGAGATCAGGGGCACGCTGAATACTCTGCCGCAGTTCTTGGGTTCGGGAGGGATGTTCCTGTCGTATATAATGGTGTTTATCATGTCGCTTCAGGATTCGCCTAATTGGAGAGTGATGCTTGGTGTTCTGGCGATTCCTTCTCTGTCTTACTTGGTGTTGACGGTGCTCTTCTTGCCGGAATCGCCGCGGTGGCTCGTCAGTAAAGGGAGATTGGATGAGGCTAGGCTAGTTTTGCGGAGGCTTCGCGGTAGGGAGGATGTTGCAGGTAAAATGGTTTTTTTTTTTTACTGTAGATCGTAAATTTTCCTTCTTCATTTTTGATTTGGTTTTGAATTTAGGATGATTTTCATTCTTCCAATCATACAACGGTTTACTGCTTAATCATAGGGGAGATGGCTCTGCTACTGGAAGGGCTCGGCGTGGGGAAAGACCCATCAATAGAAGAATACATAATCGGCCCAGCAACCGACGAAGGCGAGCCACCGGCGGACAAGATCGGAGAAGTCCGACTGTACGGCACCGAGGAAGGCGTGTCATGGGTGGCAAAGCCGGTAGCCGGACAGAGCACCCTGGGGATTGCGTCGCGCCAGGGGAGCATGGCAAACCAGAATGTACCTCTAATGGATCCACTCGTCACTCTGTTCGGAAGCGTCCACGAGAACAACCTCCCCGCCGGCGGCGGCGGATCCATGTTCGGAAGCATGCGCGGGAGCATGTTCTTCCCCGGCACCTCCAGCATGCTCAACATGATCACCGGCGCCGGCAATAATCAGGTACGTCTCACTGTTATAAAAAAATACAGTAAAATAGTCATAAATGAAGAAAAAGGATGCCTTTGAATCGTGAGTACTGTAACTAAATTGACCTCCACAGGGGGAAGAAGACGGCGGTGCCGATCACGATTACTCCGGTGGTGATGCAGAGGACAACAAGAGCCCTCTGCTTCGGCAGCTGCAGGGCTCCGGAAAGGACTACCCGGCTGCTTCATCGAGGCGGTCCGGGTACGGAAGTAGCATGTTCAATGCGGCGGCGGGTGCAGGGGAGGAAGCCGGGGTTGGGATCGGGGGAGGGTGGCAACTGGCGTACAAGAAGAAGGAAGGTGGGCTTCAAAGGGTGTACCTTCACGGCGGAGCGGCGGCGGGAGGGTCGAGGAGAGGGTCAATGATTTCCGGCATTGGTGGTGCGATGGATGTTGAGGAAATTGGGGGCGGGGATTTTGTCCCAGCGGCCGCGCTTGTTAGCCAGACGGCGGTTTGCTCCAAGGATGTTCTCAGCGGCGGGAAGCCGGAAATCGGAGGGCGGCGGTCGCAGAAGGACAGCAAAGGCACCGGATGCGCCGACCTTTTTGAGCCAGGGATTAAGCGCGCTCTGGTTGTCGGAGTTGTGCTCCAATTTCTCCAACAGATTTCAGGGATCAATGGGGTGCTCTACTACGCTCCCCAGATTCTACAAGAAGCAGGGGTTTCGGTTCTACTAGCAAGTCTCGGATTGCGATCGGACTCGGCCTCCATCCTCATCAGCCTTTTCTCCACTATTGTAATGCTCCCCTGCATTATGCTTTCAATGAGGATCATGGACGTCGCCGGAAGAAGGTAACTCCCAACAACTCTCGACAACTTCTACCTAATCGTCTAACCGAAATAGAGTAGCCCATCTTTTTTTTCTTTCAATCTCGTGGATTGATTGCAGGTCGATAATGTTGTACACAATCCCAATCTTGGTGGTGGCACTGTTTGCACTAGTGTTCAGCAGCATCGTGAGCATGGGAGCGGTGCCTAGGGCCGTGATCTCGACGGGAAGCGTGGTGGTCTACATGAGCTGCTTCGTGATGGGATTCGGCGTCATCCCAAACATACTCTGCGCCGAGATTTTCCCCACCGCAGCTCGCGGGCTCTGCATAACAATATGCGCACTCACCTACTGGATTATGAACATCGTCGTCACGTACTCGTCGCCGCTTCTGCTCAACAGCCTGGGGCTTGCCGGCGTCTTCACCATCTTCGGGATCGGGTGCACGCTTTCGTGGGTGTTCGTGTTCCTCAAAGTTCCGGAGACGAAAGGGATGCCGTTGGAAGTCATTTGTGAGTTCTTTGCCGCGGGTGCCTCCGTGCTCGATCGTCAGAACTGAATGAATATTAGGGTTTTTTGTTTTGTTTTGTTTTGTTTTGTTTGGGTGATCAATCCTTTTTTTGATTGGTTTGCTTTCAAATTGTTTTTCTTAACAACCATTTTGTTAATTACTTGGTTTGTATTGTGATTTGTGACCCAATAAAAGGAGAAAAGGTTAGAATCAAAGTGTTTGGATGTTTTAGTCTATAGTATCTTTACTTGTGTAACCCTTTATCCGCGTGTCGAAAAAAATCAAAAGTCGAATTGTCTCATTACTTGCTCGGTTTTTTTTCTATGTCCAAGAAATGGGGTGGTTGGGGTTAACAACAACTGTAACGAAAATGGTTAGCTGTTAATCGCTAACTGCAAAGTGCGGTTAACCTCATTACAAACTGTGACAGGTTTCTGGCTTTCTTAGGAAACACTAAATTCAGCAATTATGAACTTTTTAGAGCATTCACATTGGTATTGCATTCTCAATTGCAAAATGACATGACATAGGTGTTTCCAATTGCAAAACCAATTGCATTGATGTGGCTACCAATTGCATATTTGCAAGCTTGCAACAAATGCAATTCCACATGCAAGTAAAAAAAGCCTACAAAAATGGAATTTTTTAATTTTCTTTTCTCATTTACTTAATTTTCTATAATTTAAACATGATATTTAATTACATTTGCAATTACAAGTTAATTGCATTGATGTAGGTGAATGAAATGAATGTGATGTGAATTGCCAAAAAATTGAGTTGACAATATAAACACAAATACAATTTTTTTTGCAATTGCATTGATGAAAATGCCCTCAATAGTTCCAATCTCATCTACAAAAGAATTCAATTGAAACTTCTCCCCATGCAAAGTAAACCGTAAAACAATAACAGTTTACAACAAACTCGATAATTTGACCAGGGCACAAATCATTGAGTCACAGACTTCTGGCGTTATGGGAAGAGGAACCCTGCAAATAGCAGGGAAGACAGGGCTAGGCCTTCCTAGAAAAATTATTATACTCAGGTAATTAATTCGTTCTCCTCTATTTGATTGTAGTTGCAGTTAAACTGAAAAATGGATAATATGCCATACTGCTAATTACAATCGCATAAGAGTATGTTTATTTGGTTTGCGATTAATCACATATCGCATAGTTTTGATGTTTTTAACGGTTTAACCATACAAACACAACCGTATTCACACTCCTAGTTTTTTCCATAGATATTCCCAAAAGACCAGCCAAATAAGAAAAAATATATATGACATTTGTAGGCCAAGTCGCAAACAAGGAAAGAGGAAAGGTCTCTTGAAACAAAAATAAGAAACATAACTAGTTACAATAAACACATTTGTGTGCTCTTTTTCAATTACAAACATACATGAAGCTTAAATCTGAAAAATCATAGAACTTTTCCACCACGGTAGCAAGCGAAATATCATTGATTCAAATATTGCATATCGAATTGCACTCTTGAATGTGTAAAACGATGTAGAATTCTTAACATAGACTAAATTGTTATAACTACCATAAAGTAACGATATTTTTAAACATATAACTTTTGAATGAATATGAGCACATGTGTCTTTACCAAAGGGGTAAATATGGAAATGTTTACTGATACTGGTTTGCCGAACGCAGATGGAAAAGACACTACTAATGTGAACAGGCCCAAATAGTGCCCCGACCCACTAAATGCTCAACCATGCCATCTCTCCAAACTTTCCATCAGATTCAACAACTAGCTAACCTCCTCTACCTATATTGTTACGCTAGAGCAAATTTTGGAGGGGTAAATATGGAAATATTGAGTGTTGTTGGCTTGCCCAATGCGGATGGAAAAGACGCTCCTAATGTAAACGGGCCCAAATAGTGTCCGACCCACTAAATGCTCAACCACCCGGGTTACTTTTGCTACACCTAATATAATAGTGAAATGGGAAAGGTGCTTCCCCCATTACAAAATCCTTGCATCCATAGCAAAAGTAGAAAATGGTAGATTTGTCTTCACAATCATTTATTATTTTCAATGGTAGATTCGTCTTCACAGTCATTTATTATTTTCTTATTTACAGGAAAAATGCAAGTGATGGGATTTGAATTGTGATCTTTTTGAGAAAATACAAGAAATATAACCCAGTTACACTAAACAAATTTGTTTAAACTTTTTAAATTAAAAATATATAGGAAGGTTAAATTTGAAAAATCATAGAAATTTTCCATCACAATTAGCTAAGCGACTAACTCTCCCCTAAATATTATGCTGGCATTTGATACTTCTATTTTCATACTTTGATTATTTTAATTCGAGTTTAATAATTAATTATATTTCTATTTGTCTTATAAAAGGAGAATAATTTTATAATCGCAGGCCTAATGTCATTGGTGCAAATAATGCACATCGAATTGCAATATTGAATGTGTAGAAGTGATGCAGAATTCTTGACATAGATAATATAACTACCATAAAACAACAATATTTTGAACACAGAAGTTTTGAGTGAATATGGGGCACATGTGTCTTTAAAAGAGGGGTAAATATGTAAATGTTGAGTGATGTTGGTTTGTTGAATGCGGATTGAAAATGCACAACTAATGTAAACGAGTTTAAATGGTGTCCCGCCCTACTAAACGTTCAACCATCGCCGTCTCTCCAAACCTTTCCACCGGACTCGACAATCGCCTAACCTCATCCACCTATATTGTTACGTAAAGCAATTTTCGATGGGGTAAAGATATAAAGGTTGAGTGTTCTTGCTTGGAGAGTTGACTGGTGGATTATGTAGTTTCTTTGATAGTAATGTGTGATCTCTTAACATCAGCTCATTTGGTTGATCTTCTAGGTTGACTTTTGAGTTGATTAAAAATAAATAGTGTCCCGGGCTCCCGGAATACTAAACGCTCAACCATCGCCGTCTCTCCAAACCTTCCCGTCGGACTCGACAACCACCTAACCTCCTCCACCTATATTATTGTTACGCAAAGCAATTTTCGGAGGGGTAAATATGGAAAAGTTGATTGTTCTTGCTTGGAGAGCTTACTGATGGATGGGTATTTAGTTTCTTTGACAGTAATGTGTGATCTCTTAACATCAGTTCATTTGGATGATCTTCTAGATTGACTTTTGAGTTTATTAAAGATAAATAGCTATAATTTTTTGTTGCTTTTGTTATGATACTCCTTTTCAGTATCATCATTTTTCTTATTTGAAATGTTTTTGTGGCTAGTTGCAGTAAACAAAGACTATTCTAATCAGTGTTAACATTGGGAATAGCTTCAATCATACCACTTTTACACAAAAATTATATGTAAGAGCTGAGATCATTGCTGAATTGAACTATTCAAGCTATAATGTTGATCTTCAACGTATAAAATATGATTTTTTTAGTGAAATAACCTCATGATTGCAGATAAACTTTTACAATATGATGTTTCATGATAGTGGTCACTTGCTTCCAGATTTAAAAGTAGGCGTTCTAATTACTACAATATAAAAAGCATGAGTGATAGTGATAATTGGAGCATATGAAAGATGGTTTGATATCTTTCTCTTTGCAAGGAATAAATACATGGTGAGCATATGTTGTCATGGTAAGGACAAATCGAACACTTTCTATTTGTAGTATAGCATGTTGATATATACTCATGTCTAGACCCGATCGATTGGACATTCCACCTAGAATTTATTGACGGGATTTTTGCTCATCAAAACTGCGTGCCAAGTAAACTCCCTCCTCAATCCTTATATTTTTCTTAATATGCACATGCACACCCTCATAGGAAACATGTACAGAATTGTAATTTAGGTGCTTCATTAGTGTTGTTTCCATAAGAAGGTATTATCTGAGGTGGTTATTCTAGAATTGTGAGTCGTGATTGTATCTCCTCTAATAAATTGTCAAGTTAAACTATAAAAGAGGCTAACATGAGCTTCCTCTTTAATTTAGATGGTAAGAGAGCAATGACCAACGTCAAATTGATTGGGGGTTGACAATGCATGAGAATCGTTTAGCCTTCTTCAGAGTATCACAAGATCCTGATAGTATCTTAACCAAAGCAATTTTTGTTTTCATGCCTGATGTTGATGTAAGTTGTTTACCTAGAGGAGAGCCCCAACAAGTTAGCTCTTGGAGTTGCGATGCGAAAATGGGTAAGGCAGAAATGGTTTATACAAAGGCCATACTATGATCATATAGAATGCGTCTCAAAATATTGATGAAGCCACTGAGGAGAAGAGAGAAATCGTCATTGGTACTCTAAATTTACAAGGCTATTAAAATGATCATTCCCTTCATTTCATGTAAATTTGTATGTAGTTTGAAGTGATAGAAAGTACATAGTTGTAAGTCATTTGTGTGTTTAGTGTAGCAGAGTGGTTACGAGTGATTTGGTAGGATTTCACAGTGGTAGGGATATTGATAAAAGTTATTATCTGTTGGTGCTTCCACGCATATATTGCTTGGCTATTTCTGTTGTTGGTATATGAGATTTCTACAGCAAATTGCATGCTTTGCATTTCTTTTTTTTAATATTATTTTAATTAACTAAAGTATATATCAGAAAAAACTGACTCACACATTCCATCGATTTGATTTGGACATTGCTGGTTTTTGTTTTCTCAGGCAGGGACTCATCGCCTTTGATGTCACTGTGGTTTTCGGTCTAAGGGCAATCCAATGGGGTTTTCTTATGAAATCTCTTAGTGGCTTCCATTTTTACCATCAATAATTGGAGCTAGGTAAGCATTCCTTTGGTTTTTTCATGTTCACTCTAGGACATCATGGTGCATGACAATAGTGGCTATATTTAAGGTAACGGCTTGGTTTGGATTGTCCATTATAGTGTTTATGTTTTACTATTTTCTTTTGTAATGCAATGTGATAATGACTTTCCATCATATTATTATATATAGTGTTGTTGACCTATCTCCGGCCATCGCCGCGTACATGTTAACAGATAATATTAGTTAGCATCTAAGAGTCAATTTTCGTGACTATACGTCATGCCAATGGCCGGGTGATAAGCTAGTTAACTTTAAAAAAAAAAAAAAGTGAAAGCGAAGCTAATCTATGCAGTTCAAAAGAGAATGATTGGGCCGATGGGCTTTAGTGGTTCCAGCCACGAGACCAGAACTTGCGTGGCCAACAATAGCCAGCACAGTTGGGCCAGATCTGCCGACTTTCTCCTCTCGTCCACCTTGTTTTTGTTCCTTTTCATTTTCCTTGATTTGTCTCGCCGGAGAAGTGGACTGGTAATTACTCATTTCCCTTAAGCTCAGTGTTGACGAAGAAGCAGCTGGAAGGAGAAATTAGAAAGCAACGGTAATGGCCGGAAAAGAAGAAACTGCAGAAGTAGGAGCCGAACCGAGTAGCTCCTCGCCATCGCTGGAGGATAGGCCCGGAATCCTAATCGTCGGCCCTTCCGCCGTCGGCAAACGCAGCCTCCTCTCCCGTAAAACTCTCTCTCTCTCTCTCTCTTCCTCTCTGTTGCCTCCTCTCCACAGCTTCATTCATCGCCGCTTAATTGTGAAAAACCTGCTCCATACCCCATAGGTTTGCTTTCACTGGATCTCGTAGATGATCCTGATTCCGATTCCGATTCTCAATTGCTCATCCGCGGGTCAGTACTCTCTCTTAATCCCTCTTCGCATTTTCCCCTCCTCGAAACAGTTGTGTGAACCTTCAATCTCTTGGCGCTAACAGGTGGACGATCGACACCAAATACTACTCCGCCGATGTATCCGTCTGGGTTGCACACCTCACCGACGGTTTCCGCATCGAGAACCTCCCATCTCGCCGCCGATTGGCCGCAGTGGTCATGATTTTCGACGCTACTGATGTCAGTCTTCCCTTTCTCTCTCTCTCTCTCTGTTCTTTTCATTTCAATTCGGCTATTCGTTCACAATCTATTTGCTATCTTAATCTCGTTTTGTGCAGCTCTCGTCTCTTGCTGCAGTTCAGGAATGGGTATCCCGCAACGAAATCCACGATTTTGAGATACTGTTATGCGTAGGGAACAAAGTGGATCTTGTTCCGGGCCATCCCGTTCACCAATAATACAGAAGGCGGTTGCTGCGACGGCAGCAAAAGCTCGAGCTTGAGCAGTCTGCCTCTGATGAGTTCGGAATCTCTGAAACCGAAGGTGCAAATTTGTTAGGGAATAATGAAGACGAAGAAGAAATGGTAGAAGAAGATCAGTCCTTTCCAATCAGGAGGTCATGTATTGAGTGGTGCACTGATCGGAATATTGAGTACATTGAAGCTTGTGCTTCCAATCCCGAATTTGACAAATGTGAGCAAGGCTCTGTCCTTAGGCTTCAATGGCGATATTGATCTAAAGAATAGACTAATAAGTGGCGCCTATGCCTTCTAAGTGGTAGAAGCTTTCTGCAAAATGTAGATTTTTCCCCTGCTGGGTTGCTAGCATCTCTATTTTAGGTTAAATCAAGGTTCTTTTTGCTGCCAAAAGAGTTGTAATAAGCTTCTTTTCGTCTCAGGTCTGTCTGTTGATGGTGACAGTCAAGGGATGGAACGAATCTTTGGTGCACTTTCTGCACATATGTGGCCTGGAATGGTTTTGAAATCTGGAAATAAGATTGCTGAACAACCATTACCTGACGAAGAAGGTTTTTTTACTAGCTCCTTTGCCTTTTGTATTCTGTTTTGTTCTTGAACTTTTTTGTGCTAACTGGTATGTGTGCAAGATGCAGACTTGTCTGAGGAGTCAGATTATGAATTAGAATACGAGGTGCTTTCGGCAGGTTCTGCAGAACCATGGGATGATACCAGATGGGTTTCTTCCAGCACTACTAATTCCACTCCGAGCGAAGGGGAATCTAGTGCAGCAGAAAAACATGATGTTGCTGGACTTAGCAACGGGAACAAAGAAAGTCTTGCATCAAATGCTGGAGAAGGTGGCATTGTGACTCACCCTGAGAATGGAGGAAAGGGTTATGAAGGAAATGTGCAGCTCTCGTCTACTCAGAGAGGGGAATCGTCAGAGGATGGCAAAGGAGCAGTGAGAAACACAGAAGTATGGGAAGCAAATGGTGAGGTTGAACCATTCGACTTTGAGGACTTGGAAAAGGTCGTGTTTGAAATAGGGAATATAAGAGATGGGTTGAGATTGATGCCAGATGTACAGAGAAGGGAAATGGCTGCAAATCTGGCAATGAAAATGGCTTCCATGTTTGGGGGCGGCAGTGATGATGAGGAGCCTGATGAATTGGAGTGATTTGCTGAATTTTAAGATGAAGGTGAAAAGATGTTTGTAAAGTTCTGTGCTGTATTTTTCAGATTTTCTCCCTGGTACCATCATCCTGAGTTAACAACAAGCTATTGGACGGTTATAAGATTGGTGGTTACGAGTTTGATAACACTAGGAAAGAATTTGGCTACAGGGCGTAGTGTAAGCATGTGCTGAATTAGTCCTCACGGCCTCCATTTTGTTGGTGGTTCTTCGTGGCCTTTTTGAATGAGAATTCACAAGTTTTGAGAAATGCAATCGAGTCATTTGACGACTTGAGCACACCATTCCTCATTTACTTCTCCATGAGAACTTGATTTGGCGAGTTGACAAACATGGATAGCCAAAGGCAGGAAATGAACAGAATATACATCTCACACTGCTAGCCGAAGATATAGCATCATTCATGGTTGTTTAATGGAAACAGCCGGCTTCACGAAGCTGAAATCGTCCTCATTTCCAGTAGTACTTTCCTCCCCAGCATGCTGGTGGGAGAAGGATTCATCCATCAAATTTCCGCCAGAAATCGGAATCCGATCATCCAACTCTTCACCTTCATGATCCCTCAACCCACCAATCAAACTCATATGAATGATTGATGACGAAGGAACAGGGGACAAAGCCTCGGTTTCCATGTCTGACAACTCATCATCATCGCGGTATGCGTAGTAAGCTCGTGTAGAGTGGCCAGTGGTCTTGAAACGGTGCAATGTGTGGCCAGAGGAGCCGGTGGAGAGCAAAGTTCTGGCCGTGGAGGAGCCATCTGCTGTGACGGACATTGGGCTTGCATCTCCACCGCCCAGAGTTCTGACTGATAAAGACGACTTCGAGCCTCTTCCCGCTGTCTGCTTCTTCTTCACGGCCATGTGCCACTTCTTCAAAGCCTTGGATGTCTGCTCATCGAACACTGCTTTCTTCATGTTGGAACCCATCTGTGGGAAAATGCATTTTCCCCATTGTATGTGAATTACTGCTCATGGTAAAAAATTAATTTGATGGTAATTGCTTTATTAATTAAGTACTAGGAACCTGAGTCACTAGTGCATAAAGGGGAAGCGTGATGTAACTGCATAGGAGTAGGACACCAACCCTGCAGAAGCAATGGCAATGGAATAAGATATGAAAATAGAAATATCCCCAAAAATGACCAAAATTTATGAAGAAATACCTACCCGAGGCTGACTTTGACAATGGCCAGAGTGAAATTAGCATGGAAGCACGACTTTATGCCAAATGCATACTGCGATGTAGACATAAAAATGGTCAACTATGACTATGAGCATGTATATCATCTATTTGACTATGCACAGCTAGAACAGGAAACTCCATTTACCCATATCCACAGGAAATATGTTATCTGGAAAGCGTTCTGCAGGATCACCCAAAGAGAAGCGGCAGTCAGTAGAAGTAAATTTTAATAACAGGTAAATGCAACCGTATATATGAAGTGATTAGATTCAAATGATAATTCTGGACTAAATATTTCGTATTTATGGATGTGGTGTAAGAGTTACCTGAAATAAAGCAAAATGGATGAGATGAAGAACTAACTGGGGGCGACCAAACCAAAAGTATTTGTCTGACCCTTGCACGAGTGGTATCCCTTGCACCACTGCATGCCTGTCTGAGATGTCGATTGCCATCTTTGTCAAAATTGACTGAAGCTTTGTTCCAACTGCTAAGATTATCTGCAGCAAGACATCTTAAACTGTTCAGTCTCTCCATCATCCATACAAAGAGAACAACTTTCATTCTTATAAACGAAAGAGACACTATTTCTATCTAGTCTCTTACAATCACAGGAATTGTGGATGCCCAAAAGAGTGCTTGCCAACCTGAATCCATAACCAAACCCAGTCAATTACTGCAAATAAACAATGCTTTCAAATCCTTTGCACAAGAACCAGTACAAGCACAGACTTACCATTAACATTCAGAAGCAGGAAAACCACAAAAGACGCCCACAAAACAGGACTGCCAATCGCATTCAAAATGAATTCAGTTATTAATCCAATTCTATAATCTCCAATCCAAGCCAACTGTAGAGAAAAGAAATCTAATTTATCATGATTACTATATAAAATAGGACACACTACCTCACTCCGACCACAAGTTTAAAATCATCCTCCAATGACCTCTTGATGTACTTTTGGAAATTGAACTTACTTCCAGGAGCTAGGTGTACCTATTGCAATGAAACAAACCCACTATCATAAGGAAAGAGGGGACTGATATCTAACTCACTTCCCAAGTTAAAGAGAATTTGGCTATAAAGTCGAGGCATGGGATAGACAAGACTTACAGTGATGAACCCATTGCGCAATGTCATGTAGTCAGACTTACTAACTGATCTGAAGAACTGCCTACAGAAGCATCCCTGCAGTGACCAGAAACATTCAGCTCAAGAAATCACATTCAACCGACCTCCATTTAATCTTTTGTGGTTATCAATTTGTTTTCCGAAGATAAGATCATCTTCTTCATCTACACTAAGTAGGCGAAAAGAACACTTTCACCAATAAATGGAAGCTTGAGTTTATGAAATAAAGTACAGTTCGTATGATCTTACAAAATAAAAGAAGACTGGAATCCTTGTCCAGAAACTTGTATGTGCTCTCACGAAAGATGTCTCATGAGTAAGCCGGAACCTTGAAGGATCTGTTAACAAGAGCACGTTGTTATCCTGTGACATGAGAAGCAAAATGGAAAGGGGTTTTCCAAAAACATTCAACAAAAGAAACATGAACAGGGAGTTCCAGCGTAGAAAGTTTGACCAAAATACCATTAGAGAACTCATAATCATGAGAGGAGGTTTCTTGCTCCCACTCCTTCCAGGCACGAATCTAGACCATTAAGAAATCAACAATAGATCAAGTTTCCTATTAAAATTATGCAAAAGAGGAGGTAAAGAGACCTTGAGTTCAGAAGCTGAAAGTCACATCTCAGAAGTATGTATGCAAAATGGAATGAAGGCAATAGGCAGTAATCTACCTTCAATCTCCCGAGCATCATGGTTACAAAACTATAGATCACATGAAAGACAGCTAAGAAGAAAATGAGGATGTGTAGTTGATGCAGTCCATTGGCTGATATAAGTGGTACGTGCCCCTGTACAGAAGAACCATATCAGTAAGATACACATTATAGACTCACTAAAGATTCTTAGAATCACGATATGACATATTGAGTGATTCAACTAATCTCAATCAAGTTGACCCACTACAAACTTACCTAAAACCCTAAACTAGACTGGTCAATTTCCAAATCAGGTCATGATCCATTCCTCATAAGTCTCAAACACATACATTCACCAATAATCTAACTTGATGGAACCCATCTCTCAATTTAGTAAGAACGCAAGACTACAGCAACACGGTGGATTCAATTTAGGAGGCATGCTATGATAGATGGTAATTTCAGCTAAACAAAACCATGTCGACTTATAATAGACCAAAGTCAAAATCAACTCACTCATCACTAGTCATGAGGGTAAGAATTGCAACACAGACCTCCTTGCACTTTGTAGCAGAGTCTGCACCAGCTAGCATTCTGTGTTCAAACCATAACAGCCTCCGACGATGTTCCTCCTCCTCATCAGTTTTGTGCTCACCCTCATAAGCACATGGCAGCATCGAATTTGCTACCTCTGAGGGGACACAAATCTTCAAGATGTAGTTCTGACCAAAAGTCAGCAGCAATGAAATGAAACCCAGTACCATAAGCTCTGCAACACCAAAACCCAACAATTGCTTAAAACACTGTGGTATAAAGGTTCCAACTTTATGAAGCCCACACAGGAAAAGACAGAGAACCCACCAGCCTTGACCTTCTCCAAGGCCTCGAATAGAGCTCTCTTGTGCCGTTCTGTAAACCACTGCAATTTTAATCCCGTTAGAAGCAATCACACAATTCAATCACAAAAACAGAAGCTTCACGAGTACAGACCGAGCCAAGTTTGTGAAGAAGCTTCTCAAGGAGGATAGAGATGATGATGATCACAGCACAGACACCGGCGACGGCCCAAGTTGGAGTCTGATTCAGCTCCCTCTCAGGCCCGCATGCACTGGCCGCCGTAACCAGCGCAATTCTGCCGCCGTGGGCAAGCCATAAACAGAAACTGACCCACACCAATTTCATGCCGAGGATTGCAAACAGGGGAATGGCTGATTGATGAAGAGTAGGCAAACGCAAGAAAGGAAAACTTTATAGAAGGAGCGGACAAAATCAATCAAGACTTGGGTTGACTGTTTGTTGTTTTTGGTTGGGAACAACAACAAGAAGAAGAAAGAATCAGTCTGTGCGTTTGCAAAAAAGGAAAGAAAACAGCGGTGGGGAAGAAGTCCGTGGCGGCATCTTTCGTTTTTCCAAAGCCTCCACCAAAAACACCTACAATTTACCAACGCCATGGCGTACGTAGAATTAGATTAAAGAAAGGGTATAATGGAATTCCCCACTTGCGTTTGCTTATCTGCTAGTTCCAATAGCCATTAACAAATGACAGAAGATTTGAGATGGGATAGGCACTAACCAGTAACCAAGTAGCAGCAGCAGCTCCAATGATTCTGCTCTGCAAATATATGACGAAGCATGCGAATTCTGTTCCTTTTGCTCTCTGATTTTCTTATGGTTTTCTTTCGGTCTTTTGTTTTCTTCCGGCCGTTTTTGTTTTATAACGTTGGTGTGCAGTTTTAGGAAAAAACCAAAAGTGTTAAAAATACGGTTTTGAAACTGGGAAGCTACTATTATCCACCTGGGTGGGCGAGCAGTAAATTAATAAATGCATAGTTTGGGAAACAAGGAAAAGGACTCGCAGCCTTGATTGGCGCCACAATTACATGTTACCGGTGTCATTCTCTACGCGGATTCATTTTGTTTACAACTCTACATGTTGACAGAGTTATGGATCAGCAAAATCCAGATAGAAGAAGGATTGCAGAAGAGCAGATGGAACCGAAGTAGTTTAGAATAGCTTCTGTCTGTAAAAGGTGCTGCGACACCGTTTTCTTTATAGTTGAGGTTAGCCGTTAAAACACTGTTTAGTGTTTAAAACTAGCCAGTGCCAGAGAGACACGTGGTAACTATCTGTAATCCTTGATTATGAGCTGATATAAAAGAACAGAGCAGCATACTGCTGTCTCTGTGATTTCGACGACATTCTCAACCCTAAACAAAGAAAATCGTCATGGTATCAGAGCGACCGTTCTGAGCCCGTTTCCGCAACGCGATGTCCGGGCAATCCGAGGCTGAATCGACAGATGAAGCTCGGCGTGCCGGTGGCGTCTTCGACAACACAAATTCTCCATTTGGGACTGTGTAGGTGACCAGAGCGGCAACAATGGAGTCATCGTCTTTGGTAGCCCACTCTACCTTAACCCAAATGAGAATTTCACTCAACCCATCGTGTCTGAGTCGTTGGATGGGACTAATTACTCCATGTGGAGTAGATCTATGAAGAAGGCATTGAAAATGAAGCACAAGTTATGCTTCATTGATGGATCTATGGCGATTCCAGCCAGAAACGATCCAAGCTATCTTCTGTGGGATAGTTGCAATATAGCTGTAGTTACTTGGATTCTTAATACACTGTAGAAAGATATCAAGAGATCTGTTATGAGTCATGAGAATGCCAAAACCTTGTGGGATGAGCTTCATCGTAGGTTTGGTCAGTTAAATGCCAATAGATTGACAAATCTTGAGGATGAGATTCATCGTTGCAAACAGGGTTCCATGACTATCACTCAATACTACACTCTAATCAAGGGCTTATGGGATGAATACTCAGAATATAGTCCTATTGTTGAGTGTAATTGCATTTCAGGAAACCCAATACCTTGCACTGCAGTGGTAGCATACAACCAGAAGCAAGAGACTGATTATTTGATTAAATTTCTTAGGGGTCTGAACCCAGAGTTTGAAGGGGTAAAGAAACAACTCCTGATGTTGAAGCCTCTACCTACAGTAGCTGATGCAGTAGATGATTTGCTGCAACATGAGCAAGAGTTGAAAGCTAACACATCAGGAAGTGGGAAAAGGTCACAGACTGTGGCACTTGCTACAATCCGAGGCTACCAAAGCAGCTGAGTCTACTGAAAGGAATCATGGCAAGAAATACTGCAAGTTCTGCAAGAAGACCAACCATAATATTGAGGAATGTTGGACTTATAAGAGGAAGGTTAAGGAACAGGAACAGGCAGGTGGTGTACAGCCTGGGCTCCAGAAATTTGTTGGTTCAGTGTCACACAGCAACTCTAGTGGTAGTGAATCACCATCTGAAGTCAATTACCACAGTGAAGCCAGTATGGTAAGTCATCCTCCTCCTGGTTTTACCCCAGAAGAGATGAACAAGCTAAGGTATTTGTTGCATTATGGTGCTAGCAACACACCACCCTCTACCACTGTCCATACTTCACCTTCACCCCCAACCTCACCCTCCATTCAACACCAAGCCTATTCTGTGTCTCAGTACCTACCCCCATTTCCAAATTACTCAGGTAAATATGTCTTATCCTCAGCTATTCAATTCAGTAACCTCAAACCTGATAGCTTATGGATCTTAGACACGGGAGCATCTGACCACATAGCATGTTCCTTAGATCTGTTTACTGAGTATAGGAACGTACAAGACATATTTGTCCACTTACCAAATTCTTTTAGAGTCTTAGTAAGTCATATAGGGACTGTCAAACTACCATTTGGACTTTTCCTATATAATGTTCTCCTAGTGCCCAGTTTTTCATTCAATCTAGTTTCAGTAAGTAGACTTACACATGACTTTCCTCTTTCCTTACACTTTCATTCTGATATTTGCCAAATCCAGGACCTTCTAAACAAGAGGACGATTGGTTTAGCAAGAGAAATTAAAGGACTCTACCAGCTTACCTTTTCACATCAGAACACCAACCTACCACAAGATCACCACCAAAGCCAAGCAGCTAGTGTTTTCAACTTTAGCACTCAACAAGTAGACTTGTGGCACTGGAGATTAGGGCACCCCAGCAATGATAGACTTAGCATGTTACAACACATAGATCCATCTGTAACTAGCTCTAAAGTAGATCATTGTAACATTTGTCATTTCTCCAAACACAAAAGACTACCTTTTCCTGTTAGCACCACTAATGCATACAAACCTTTTCAGCTTGTTCATGTGGATACATGGGGTCCTTTGTCAGTAATTTCTTATGATGGATACAGTTATTTCCTTAACATTGTGGATGATTGTTCAAGAGCTGTTTGGGTTTATCTGATGCATCATAAAAGTGAAACCAGAGATCTCTTTAAAGGCTTTTGTTCCCTTGTTAAAAACCAATTCAACAGTGCAATACAGATTGTTAGAAGTGATCAGGGAAATGAATTTGATATGTGTGAGTTTTTCCTGAATGAGGGCATTGAACACCAAATGTCTTGTGTATACACTGCTGAGCAGAATGCCAAAGTAGAACGAAAACACCAGCACATTTTGAATGTGGCTAGGTCTCTCAGGTTCCAATCTGGCATCCCATTACAGTACTGGAGTGATTGCATACTGCATTCTGTTTATCTGATAAATAGAATGCCTACCCCCATCCTTAACAATCTGTCTCCCTATGAGGTTTTATACCACAAGCCTCCTTTTCTTGGCAATTTGAGAGTTTTTGGCAGTTTGGTATGTGTTGGTACTCCCTCTGCAGGCATAACTAAGTTTGCCCCTCGAGCCAGGCAATGTGTCTTGTTAGGTATACCTTCTGGGATCAAAGGATATAAGTTACTTGATATCAACACCAAAAAGGTCTTCATCTCTAGGGATGTTGTGTTCAATGAGTTAATCCTGCCTTTTAGTACACTTGATGATTCTTCCTCTTCTTCTTCTCCACCTCCTGAACCTGTTCAGCCTACTTCACAAGTTGATTCCACTCCTCCTCCTGGTCTGGTCATACCTAGTTCTTCTACCTCACATTCTCAGCCTCCACCATCTCCTGAATTGGCCACGGCTGAAGATGGGGATGAAGTGGTAGATCATGAAGAACAAGAGATAGTAGAACTTGAACCAGAACTGGAGCCTCACCAGGATTATTCACCACCTGCAAGACCTAAGAGGACTTATAACTTGCCTAGCAAGTATGCTGACTGTGAATTGGATTCAACTCTACAGTTTGGAGCTTTTGGAAGTCACAATGCTGCAGCTGCCAGCAGATATCCAGTGGTTCTAAATGTGGACCACCTCAATGTTGAAGATAGAAAATATGCTTTGAGTGTAATCCAACTAGAAGAGCCTCTGACATATCAAGAAGCAATCAAACATGAACACTAGAGAAGAGCAATGAGGGAAGAATGGGATTCTTTAGAAGAAAACCAAACCTGGGACATAGTTCCATTACCAATAGGGAAGAAGGTAATTGGAAATAAGTGGGTTTACAAGGTAAAACTTTAGCCAGATGGATCTCTTGAGAGGTTTAAATCTAGACTAGTAGCTAAAGGGTACACACAAGTCTATGGAATTGACTTCCTAGACACCTTCTCTACTGTGGCCAAGATAAACTCAGTGAAGGCACTTCTGGCAATTGCTGCAGTGAAAAATTGGACACTGGAACAGATGGATGTATCAAATGCTTTTCTTCATGGAGACTTAAATGAAGAAGTTTATATGCAGCACCCACCAGGTTTGGATTTAGAGTATTATGGATCACAGAAAATGGTATGCAGATTGAAGAAATCATTGTATGGCCTAAAGCAGGCTTCCAGACAGTGGTTTGCCAAGTTAAGTTCCTTTCTTTTGAAAAATGGTTTCAGTCAGTCTGCATCATATTACTCCTTATTCACAAAGTGGATTCGAGGTAGAATTGTGGTAATGCTCATCTATGTTGATGACATTATAATAGGAGGAGATGCCATGAAGGACATAGAACAGGTCAAGAAGGTTTTGAGTCAGGAATTCAAAATGAAACTTCTAGGTCCTTTGAAGTATTTCCTTGGTTTGGAGATCAATAGAACTGCAAATAGCATAAGTGTGTGCCAGAGGAAATATTGCCTAGAGCTGTTAAATGAAACATGTTACTTGGAGTGTAAGGGTTCTCAAACACCTGTTGACTACAAAGTGAAGTTGTCAGCAACACAGGGTACCCCTCTGGCAGATGCAGAACAGTACAGGAGGTTAGTGGGAAGGCTCCACTATATCACCATAACAAGACCAGATTTGGCATTTGCTGTTCAACAGCTCTGCCAATTTCAAAATAAGCCTTATGAAGAGCATTTGCAAGCAGCTCATAGGGTCCTAAGGTACTTGAAGAATGGACCTGGTCAGGGAATTCATTTTGACAGTAATGCTGAATTGAAGTTGACTGCTTTCTGTGACTCAGATTGGGCAAGCTATCCAGATACTAGGAGATCCACCACTGGTTATTGTACTTTTCTGGGAAAATCTCTGCTAACATGGAAGACTAAGAAGCAGACTATTGTTTCCAGATCCTCCTCAGAAGCTGAGTACAGGGCTCTAGCAATGACTGTGGGTGAAATACAATGGTTGAAGGGATTGTTAGAAGAACTGAGTGTTAGAGTGCCTCTACCTATCAATGTTTACCGTGATAACAGGTTAGCTATTCATATTGCTGAAAACCCTGTGTTTCACGAGAGGACCAAGCACATAGAGATCGACATCCATGTCACCAGAGAAAGGATCAGAACAGGTTTGATCAAGTTACAACATGTCAATACTTTGAACCAGCTTGCAGATATCTTCACAAAGGGTTTGGCGCAAGCAAGGGTTAAGGATTTGCTTATCAAGTTGGGAGTCTTGTTGCCAAGTAGGCTGACAGAGTTATGGATCAGTAAATCCAGATAGAAGAAGGATTGCAGAAGAGCATATGGAAACAAAGTCATTTAGAATAGCTTCTGTCTGTAAAAGGTGTTGCGACAACGTTTTCTTTATAGCTGAGGTTAGCCGTTAAAACACTGTTCAGTGTTTAAAACTAGCCAGTGCCAGAGAGACACGTGGCAACTATCTATAATCCTTGATTATGAGCTGATATAAAAGAACAGAGCAGCATACTGCTGTCTCTGTGATTTCGGCGACATTCTCAACCCTAAACAAAGAAAATCGTCACATGTCCTGAGAATTTACACAACCGAAAGAGACGATATGTTACCAGATGATAGATGCAAGATAAATTATCAAAATCTAATCATGTCGAAGTGAATTTGATCAGGTCCTCCTGGGGTTTCCAGTTTTTGGGAATCGATGATCCTCTGCCTGCGGAGATACTATCCCTCCGTGAGGCGATTCTCTGGTGCCTTGCGTCAGGCTTTACGGAAGTCCGATTTGACAGGATACTAAGGTGATTATTGAGAAAGTCAATTGATCTGACATGTGGGATTGTCGAATTGGAGTTCTACTGGAGGAGGTTGTGCGGTACTTGGATTCTCATAGGGGCCTTAGTGTGCGCTTTGTAGGTCGGCGTAATAATAGAGTAGTCCACTTTGTGGCTAGAAAGGCCTTTCAATTGTACACGACTGCGAGTCGTTTATTTGATTTCTTGGTCTGGTTAAACTCCAGGGTGTAACTATTTTTTCTGATCAATACATATCGATTATCTTTTGTAAAAAAAAAGTGAATTTGATCGAGGCTTATGAGAAACTCAATAGTCAAGAACTCTGTAGTCCCAATAATTTAAATTGTTGAAAGGTTCAATTATTGATCATATACAATTTACTAATCTGCCTCTTCAAACGAAAGACTATTCATATGAGTTTGAAGTCTACACATGTCCGAATATCATGTTCTTAATAAATGAGAGTTGTAGAAGTTTGAACAGAAGATCTCTCGATTATCTAAAACTCTAATATCATGTCAAAAACCAGTTACTCTCAGTAACTCGAGTTGTTGAGAAAGATTTATTTATGTATGTTATATCATTTTACTATGCTCCCTTGTTGTGTTGGTGACTCATAGAACAAGAAATATTAATAATTCAAATTTTGGAGGATGTTGCGGATAAAAACAAAAATGACTTAGTATCTCCACGGATAGAGATCCAGATTGTTGTTTAACGCGTCCACAAACATCTTGCAACCCGGAAAGATCGAAATAGGAACTCGATCAATTCCCGCCAACTTACATGTTTTGAAGAGAGCATACGATTCATCCTCAAACAAGGACGAACAGGTGACCCTCTCAGATTTATCGTCACAAATATGTCTTTGAGAGTTAGAACTACTCCAAAGTTGGCTCTTCTGACACAATATAGCTACGCTATTTGATAGAAACCCAAATCTCGGGTTCTATCTGCCTTCGGTGATGAGAGGGGAAAAGTGATAGATCACGTATGTAGTCACCACCTCTGGGTTGTGAAGAGGAAGAAGGATAGAAGTTTGGGGAAATGGAGAGGGGAAGAAAGAAGAAGTTGCGCAGCAACAGTAGGAAGAAGGGAAGGGTTCGACAGGTAGAGGGAGAGGAAAAGAAGATTAGGGATTCTCAATTAGGTTTAATCATGCTTAACTTTCATTCCCATGTAACAAAACAGTTTAAGTAGCATCCCATAATTTCTTATAGCTACCCCAACTTACTAATACCTCAATTTAACCTCAACTTCCAAATAAAATCCACAAACAAGAATAAACTAACAAATGAGTCCAAATGCTATAAAAAAAAAGAACCGAAATGCAGGTTTCTATCATCCCCGCCTCCTTGAGAACAACCTGTCCCCAAGGTTGACTCCAGCTCACTGGTTCTCTTCCGTGGCGTTCCCCGTGTCCGCTGCCTCCTCCTCTGCTTCATCTTCCCATCGACCCACGAGCATCATCAAATCAGGCCGCGCACACTGGTGGCCAACAGTGAATCGCCCGTCACAATTGAAACACATGTCCTCCCGCCTCTTATGCTTGATTTCTGTCGGAGACCGTCCGATGAAGCCCTTGGGCGGTGCTCTAGGTCTCGGTCACGATGTTGTGTTTGTGGTGGCTGCCGTCGTTCCCCCTCCCAAGCTTGCTACGACCGAGGCGCCTCCTCCACCTTGGCCCGCTGTTCTGTTACTTCCTCCTCCACTAGGCTTCTGATAGCGGCCTATGGTACTCCTCCAGCTTGTGAGGTCCTCCTCTTTGTAACCTGCAAGATGGAAAGCAGTTCTCAAGGAGTCAGGTTCGAAGACCCAGACTGCAACAGTGATCTCTAGTTTCAAGCCGACCATACACATCCCCACCAGTGTCTCTTCGGGAACTCCCTTTCACTGGTTGCCAAACTTGAGGAACTCCGCTCTGTACTCTGCCACTGGTCCGGTTTGCCTCAATTTGGACAGCTGATCCGGAGCATGCCCTTATGATTTCCCGAAGTGGTACCTCAGCTCCTCTTCAAACCTTGGCCAAGTAATCAGCGTTCCGTTGGCAGCATAGGACCTCTCTAGCCACTCCCACCAATGCAGAGCATCTCCCTCCAGATAGAAGGACGCCAAGTGCGCCTTCCTCTCCTCCTTCGTGGGATGATTTTTGAACCACCTTTCTGCTAAATACAACCATAAGCATGCATCCTCTTGACCATTGAATCTACGGAACTCAATGGTTGGAGGTTTAGCTCTGAACACAAGATCATTATCATCGTCATAATGGTACCCACCATACCTGCCGATCCCTGGAGTTCTCCCGCGGTAGTCCCAATGGCCCCGTGACTGAGTCCCACTCTTGGCTCCACCTCCACCCGTGCTCCTCCCGGTACTGCTAGTACCGGTCCATCTCTCCTGGTTTTCATCGCCCTGTTGTCAAACCCTTGTTTAGTTGTTGCCCGGTACCTAGAGGCACTAAGTAGGGAGGGTACGGTCCGCCAAGTCCGTCCTGCGCACCCCGCCAGTTCACGAGGGCCCTGCTGTATGCTCCCGTCCGTGGCTTCCCGACCCAGTTGGAGTCTAACCCCACACGGTCTCCATCACTCCATTCAAGCCCGCTCGCCCAAACCGAGTCCCGTCAGTCTCGCAGATCCGCCCAACCATGACCCGGTTTGGATCACCTCTCACCCAGGTACCCAATTGATTCATCAACCTCAGCTCGTCCCCTTCAGGACGCGGATCCCTGTTCACCTATCCCATTCCATGCCGATTCCCCACAGTTCCAGACTCACCTTCATAGGCTTGCGAGCCCAGTAGCTCGAAGCCCGGGTTTTGAACCACGTTGTTGTAACTTGGGGCCTTAGCCTTACAGCGGAGAGCAGCAATCTCCTCCGCAGTCAGCGTGGGTAGCAGCCCGGCCTCGCTCCGTGATCCGCCACGCTCCAGATCGATGCGCCCCGCGCCACCGGTGCCTAGAGCTACCGCCGTCGATTCGCCCTCACCCCCGCGACCTCCATTTGCACCACCGTCGTACTCCTTCCTCCTGCGGTGGCGTCGTCCTTCATGATGACTGGCAGCAGCGTTGGATCCGATGCCCCGACCCTGTCACGGTCGTCGTCGAGCCCTAGGAAGCCCATCACTTTCCTCTGCGCTTCTTGCATCTCGATCACGGTCTGCGTCAACACGTCCATGGCCTTCCGCGAGTCCCCAAGTCCGAGTCAATCTTCAGCTGCACCGCCACAATTTTATGCACCGTCGCCTTGGGCTTTTCCCTGTCGTTCACGTCAACGACAGTGATGTGGTCTAGAGATTCCTCCCCTTTCTGCGTCGAAGCCTTGCAGCGGCTTCCTTGGCGGTGCCCTGGCCGGCGGCCTTTCTTAGCGGCGGCTTACAGCTTCTGCGCCGCTTTCTCAACAGCAGTCTATGATTACATTACTGCCATTTTCTTACATTTCAACTTGCTCTGGTACCAGATGATAGAAACCCAAATCTCGGATTCTATCTGCCTTTGGAGATGATAGGGGAAAAGGGATAGATCGCATACGTAGTCACCACCTTTGGGTTGTGAAGAGGAAAAAGGATATAAGTTTGGGGAAATTGAGAGGGGAAGAAAGAAGAAGTTGCGCAGCAGTTGGAAGAGGGGAAGGGTTCGGCAGGTAGAGGGAGAGGAAAAGAAGATTAGGGATTCTCAATTAGGTTTAATCATGCTTAACTTTCATTCCCACATAACAAAACAGTTTAAGTAGCATCCCATAATTTCCTATAGCTACCCGCCTACCCCAACTTACTAATCCCTCAATTTAACCCCAACTGCCCAATAAAATCCTCAAACAAGCATAAACTAACAAATGAGTCCAAATGCTAAAAAAAGAACAGGAATGTAGGTTTCTATCACTGTTCACATCCCTCATTGTGATTTATACTCACACGGTGAGGATGGAGGCCATGTGGTAATACGCCCCTGGGGGGTGTATATTATCAAAGTCACGCAGCTAACGACTCAAACGAAGAATCGATTGAGCTCGAATCAAGAACGAAGCGCTCTTAATACGAACTTGGATAAAACGGAACCAAAAGGACAAATCCACACCTGGGGATAGCTCGATTGGTGTAAAAGGGTAGTTGTTCGACCACGATTGAAGTGACTATTCAATTGATACACAAGCTCAGCAAGTTTGGAATCCACCAAACCCAAAACAAGTCGCAACTTGCACAAAAACCAAAAGGTTCTCAATTCGATTAATCAAAGTCCAAGTTTTTACAACGTAAATAGAAGGCTATTTATAGCCAAAAAAACCTAATACAAACCTAGATGAACAAGGAAACAATAAGGTAAAATTATACTCTAAAAAGGTTACAAAATTCGGACACAAACTTCCTTTCTTGAAGCACAAGTAAGTTGCCCGCAAAACAGTCAAAAGGCAGCTTTCGTACTAACTTCGCGCCTTTTGTTCGAGGCCTTCCCAAACTCCAATTCTTCATCCAGTTCCTTCCCTTTGTTCACAAACATACCTAGTTTCATTTTGTGGAAGCCTTTGTACTTGAATAAGGTCCATACTCCTCGAATTAAGCTCCAAAGTAGGCTTCACAAAACAGTTTCCAGACTTGAACCATTTTCTGGCAGTTTTCCAGTTTTGAGGTAGCAACTTTGAGGCCTTGGAAAACAACCTTAATGACATCATCTGGATCCATAAAGCATACCATTGGAAAGATGACAACTTTATATGCAAAACAAATCCTTAAAACTGAATTTCCACCGAGCCAATTGAGAGAACCATGCCTCCAAAATATGTACCCTGAACACGGATTTTGACTTAGCCAAATTCTGCCCTTCTTCTTTCCAACTTGATAGCTTCTTCGTCAAGTAATTTAAACGTGTAGAGCTTGCCAATTGGGATCATATCATGTGGGAGGAAGTTGGATCCGAGAGCTGAGGCTCAGTGGTTCAAGGGACGACTCATTTAAGTGGATTTTGGTGACTTCTCAGCTGAGAGACAAGCCAACCGAGAGAACTAGTATCCAAAATTCAAAAACTATTATCCTATATGCACAAACTAGTATCCAAAATTCAAAAACTATTATCCTATATGCACAAACTAGTATTTAATTCCACCCGCCCACTATTCTTATATGGGATAGGGAAAGCATCCCTGACTAATATTCATATCGCCCAACCTAGTATCTGTTTCAGTTGAAGTAGTATCCATGTTTTGTTGAACACTTGGTTGCATTTTGTTTTAATGAACTAGTATTCAGAGAGCAAAGACTAGTATCCAAACTCACAACTAGTATTCAACCAATCAATTACCAACTAACGTCCACGATCAAACCAACTAATATTCAAGGGTTGCTAACTAATATCGATCAATACACTTGATAGCATTTTGATATCGATCAGTATACATGAACACCTGCTCTATTAAGACAAATAAATGCGTTAAAAAACCCTAAATGAATCAGTAATCAAATTGAACTGAAGATGATACAACGGATAAAGATTTTTTTATATCCTGTAGAGGACGATGAAAGAGAATCTAGTAACCACACTATGATTAAGTAGTATTCTAGTATAAATTAGAGCACAAACTAGTATTAAGAGTTTTTTAGTTAAAAAAAAATTTAATTAGTTGATAGATTATGTTGACATGGATGAATGGGGAAACATGGAATTTGAATTGGTAAAGTCTTAAATGGGTAATCCTTTGGCAAAATACATTTGTATAGCCAAAACTTTCGCGGTTTTGTCAATAATAGCCAATTTTGGAGAAATACCACTTATAGCCATATTTTTAAAAACTTGTTTGACAAATTTAGCCATTTACGTCAAATACTTCAACACCGTTAACAATTTCGTTAATTAAATAGACATTAAGCTTATGTGGCTGCCACCTAGATGACACATCACGTCCACATAGACTCGTCATACCACATAGCCGCCACGTCACATTTTAAAATTAAAATATCTATTTTTTGTATGTTGAATCTCATTTAATCTCATTTCTTCTTGCGACAAGAATCCGGCTACTTCTGGCGTCCTCTGCTTCGTCGTAACCGTCGATTCCTCACCCCTGCAAAAAACGAAATCAAAGGTCGAAGTAGATAGAATCCTCGCCCCTGAATCGGGCTGTTGGTAGATTCATCGCTCCAAATCCATCTTCTTCTTCTCTATTACGTGTCCGTGTCCATGACCTTCATGTCCTTGTCCATGTTGGTTTTGAACTCCTTTGTTTCGGTTGCTTGTGTCCCACGTTAGTGGATAGTCTTTGTGTCCCACGTTAGTGGAGAGTCTTTCTTTTCTATAAAAGGTCAGTAGCTTTGTAGATGGCCTAGTATTATCGGATCATTGAAAATCAGAAATAAAACTCAAGTCGTGAGCTCTTTCGAGCTCACCGTGGATTAGTCTCGTTCAATCATGAACGGGGATACCACGTAAAATCTCGTGTTGTTTGTGTTCGCTTTCATTCCGCATTGCAGAATTCTACATGGTATCAGAGCTAACCTTGATCTAGGGTTAAAGTTTTCTTCTCCGGCGCCGCACGTCTTTCTCGCTAGGGCTTCTCAGCGTTCCGCGTCCTCAGCTCGTGCGTACTGCCCTCTCTATCGTTTTTTTTTTGGTCTTCTTCGGCACAATGAGTTTGGATACTGGTGCTCTCACCACCGGGGTTCCCTCTGGCATCGACGCACTGTCGCCTCTCCATCTCCATCCCGCGGATCACCCCAACCTCATGTTTGTCAGCGAGGCACTCACCGATGTCAATTACGGTGATTGGGTGGCGAAAATGACCAACTCCTTGCTGGCTAAAAATAAACTCGGTTTTGTTACTGGTGACACGCCTCGTCCTGAACCAGGTCCGCAGCTGGATGCTTGGATCCGTTGCAATGCTGCGGTGGTTGGGTGGTTGCGCACGGCCATGAGTCGTGATGTCCGCACCAGTCTTTCATCTAGTCTTTCCGCGCATCAAATCTGGGAAGAACTCAGAGAAAGGTTCAGCACCGGCAATCTCCCACGTCGCTACAAGCTTCGTCGCGACATTACAGCTCTCCGTCAGGATCACTTGAGCGTCGCAGCTTTCTACTCCAAACTAAAGCGCCTCTGGGACGATTGGCTCACGTTGGAACCTCCTGCTCGTTGCACATGTGGAAAGTGTGAGTGCCATGTCGAGCAGCGCACTCGATCTTCACATGAGGAGATGCGTCTACTTGATTTTCTAATCGGGTTGGATGACAACTTCTCGGTCGTCCGCACTCAACTGCTCTCGATGAAACCTACTCCTACCCTTGGCGCTGCGTATCAGATGGCAGCCAATGAGGAGCAGCAACGTAGCCTTTCACATGAGTCTCGTCCCCCGCCCGTTGATGCTGCTGCTTTTCAAGGGAAGGGAGACGTGCTTCCAGGTGAACCTCGCACTGCCGAAGGTCGCCCTTGGTGTACTCACTGTGAAAAGCCGGGGCACTTCAAAGCCACATGCTATGAGCTCATTGGCTATCCACAACGATCATCGTCTCAAGGAGGCGGCAAATCCGGTGACAAATCTAAGCGTCACCACTCCAATTCTTCTCGGCCTGACGCTAAGGCTGCTGCTGTTGAGAGTGACGCTAGCGGCGCTGTTCCTGGCTTAAACCCGGCACAAATCGCCCAACTTCGGGCGTTCCTCAACATGGATTCTCCCAACAAACCATTAGCCGGAATGGCAGTCAACATGTCAGGTAATGTCTCTCCCTCTCTCGACTCATGGATTATCGATTCGGGCTGTAATGAACACATAGTTACGAATGCTTCCTTGTTTGTTGGTGAGTTCGAGAAAAACTCCGATATGCAGGTTCGAATTCCCAATGGTAATGGGGTTCCTGTTCGTAACATTGGCATGGCACAATTACAAAACGGATTGGTTTTGAATCGGGTCTTGCACATACCGGATTTTCAGTGCAACTTGTTATCTGTCAGTCGTCTCACTGCTGATCACCCAGTGGCCGTGATTTTCTTAAGCGATTTCTGTGTTATCCAGGACTTAACCTCGAGGAAGATGATTGGCATGGGGATTCAGAGTGATGGTCTTTATCAGTTGAAGGTATTCGAACGGAGTCATGCGATGGCATACTCGGCGCGGCAGGCTTTGGGGCAATCTGCACTTTGGCATTCTCGCCTCGGGCATCCATCTGGGACGAAGTTGTTAGCCTTGCAACCTTATATATCTTGTCCTTTGGTTTCCAGTACCGACCCGTGTGATTCTTGTTTACGGGCGAAACAGACTAGACTTCCTTTTGTTCACAGCAGTATTAAAACGCATTCGTGTTTTGAACTTATTCATATCGATATTTGGGGTGGATTTCATGAGGCATCTCTTACTGGCGCTCGTTATTTCTTGACCATTGTCGATGATTTCAGTCGTGCTGTATGGGTTTTTTTGCTGCGGAACAAATCTGAAGTGGCGCGTTATCTACTTGTCTTTTGCCACCAAGTTCGCCGTCAGTATAACAAAAATGTTTGTCGTATTCAGGCAGACAATGGTCGGGAATTTTCTACTCCTGCACTTCGTGACTTCTATGAGAAAGAAGGCATCATCCTTCAAACTTCTTGCACAGATACGCCACAGCAAAATGGGGTCGTCGAGCGTAAGCATCGTCATCTTCTTGACACTGCTCGAGCCTTGCGTTTTCATGCTGGTCTTCCCCTTCGTTTCTGGGGTGAATGCATTCTCACAGCGGTGTATCTCATCAATAGAATGCCACTCGTCCCTATACAGAACAAAACTCCATATCAGATCCTTCTTGGCACACTCCCCAAATACGATCATCTCCGGAGCTTGGGTTGTCTCGTCTATGCCAAGAATAATCATCGTCATCTTCACAAATTCGAAGCACGTGGTCGCCCGGGCATCTTTGTGGGTTACCCGGCTACGCAGCGAGGTTACCGCATTTTTTATCTTGAGAAGCAAGAAGTCTACACATCTCGTGATGTGGTGTTCATAGAACACTTGTTTCCGTACAACAATCCGCACATGTTTGAGGGGGCGGTGCCACCCATGGAATTTTCTGCCCATGATCCTCTCACTCCTGTGCGCATCATAGAGGATTTTCAAGTCCCTCTTACTGCCACTCCAGCAGACCCAATGGCGGCCAGCTCAGCTCCCCATGCCAGCCCCCACACTCCTCAAGCTGCCGATGCTGTCATCCCTTCCCTCGTCGAGCAGGTCACACCACTCACAGTGGTTCCACCTCCTCCTCTCTCACCGGCAGCGTCTCCTGCCTCCCCAGCTGCTTCTTCTCCCCTCACGGACATTAGCAGCCCAGCATCAGGTACCTCATCTCCCTTGACCGATGCACCTACACCACAGGCAGCCACCGAGCTAGTCCCTCCCCGGCGTGGTGATAGGGTACGGCGCCCTCCTACTCGCCTTCAAGACTACGACACTGATCTTCACAGCGATTCCCAAGCTCATCATGTCCGCTATCCCATGGCCAATTTTGTCTCCTATCATCGGCTCTCTCCTTCCCATCGGGCATTCGTCACTAGTGTTTCCCTTGTCACAGAACCAAAGTACTTCTTTCAAGCAGTCCGCCACCTTCATTGGCGCAAGGCTATGATCACTGAATTCAATGCCTTAGTTGAAAATGGCACTTGGACGTTGACTTTCTTACCTCCAGGCAAACGTGCTATTGACTGCAAGTGGGTATATAAAATCAAGTACCTACCCGACGGTTCCATCGAGCGCTACAAGGCGCGTCTTGTGGCAAAGGGGTACACACAGGTTGAAGGAATTGACTATCATGACACTTTTGCTCCCGTCACTAAACTGGTCACTGTTCGTTGCCTCCTCGTTGTCGCAGTCACGAAGGGTTGGTACATCCATCAACTCGATGTCAACAACGCCTTCCTTCACGGTGACTTAGACGAGGAAGTCTATATGAGGGTTCCGCAGGGGTTCGCACAGCCTGGGGATACTCGTGTTTGCCGACTCCGAAAATCTATCTATGGGCTCAAGCAGGCTTCCAGGAATTGGTATAAAAAATTCTCAGCTGCCCTTCTCGAACTGGGTTTTCGTCATAGTCATGCAGATCACTCATTGTTCATCTATCGCACGACTAGCTCTTTTGTCGTTGCTCTTATCTACGTTGATGACGTCATTCTTGCTGGGGATGACATGGTCTTCATTCAGTCTGTCAAGACGTTCCTTCATGATCGATTCACCATCAAAGATCTTGGTCCTTTGAAGTATTTTCTTGGGATCGAAGTTGCTCGATCTAAAAAGGGCATCATTCTCAACCAGCGCAAGTACGTGTTAGACATTCTAGCTGACACTGGTTTTCAGGCCACCCGTCCTTGCTCCTCACCCATTGAACAGAATCATCAATTGGGTCGCACAGCATCTCCTCCTGCCCCTGATCCGGCAGCTTTTTGTCGTCTGGTTGGACGTCTGCTCTATCTCACCGTTACTCGTCCGGATATCACCTACGTGGTTAACCTTCTCAGTCAGGCAGTGCATGCTCCTACCCAGGACCACCTAGCCACTGCACATCGGGTTCTACGGTACTTAAAGGGATCTCCTGGACGTGGGCTTCTGTTTCCGGTAAACCATTCACTCAAGTTGACTGCTTATTGCGATGCTGACTGGGATGGTTGTCAAACCACGCGTCGTTCAACTACTGGTTACTTCATTCGCCTTGGCTCCTCTCCTGTCTCGTGGCGCACTAAGAAGCAGTCAGTTGTCGCTCGTTTTTCTGCAGAGGCTGAGTATCGAGCCATGGCCAGTACTGTCTGTGAGATCCTATGGCTTCGTTGGCTCTTGCAGGACCTGGGTGTACCTCCACAAGGACCCACACCTCTTTACTGCGATAATCAGGCGGCACTCCACATTGCCGCCAATCCAGTGTTTCATGAGCGTACTAAGCATGTCGAAATGGACTGTCATTTTGTCCGGGAGCGCGTTCAGTCTCTCGACATCGCACCTCGCAAGATTCCTACAGCCGAGCAACCGGCGGACCTTTTCACAAAGGGGCTGGGGGTCGAACATCATCATCACCTTCTTTCCAAGCTTGGCATGTTCGATCTCCATGCGTGCGCTTGAGGGGGCGTATTACGTGTCCGTGTCCATGACCTTCATGTCCTTGTCCATGTTGGTTTTGAACTCCTTTGTTTCGGTTGCTTGTGTCCCACGTTAGTGGAGAGTCTTTCTTTTCTATAAAAGGTCAGTAGCTTTGTAGATGGCCTAATATTATCGGATCATTGAAAATCAGAAATAAAACTCAAGTCGTGAGCTCTTTCGAGCTCACCGTGGATTAGTCTCGTTCAATCATGAACGGGGATACCACGTAAAATCTCGTGTTGTTCGTGTTCGCTTTCATTCCGCATTGCAGAATTCTACATTCTCCAAAAATCAATCACACCAACACCCACCATATCCCTGACTTGTAAAAACCCACTGTGAGGTCAAAAAACAAATTCCAGCATCATCATCGTTCATCAACCATCTCGCTCCTCTACTTTGGAGTTCGCTACCCAGAAATCCCAAAACAAAACTGGTATAGATGATATATCTGGAAAAAAAATCTTAAAGGAAAAGACTAAAATCTTCGCTTCTTCTTTCCTGCATTAAAGGAAAAGACTAAAATCTTCGCTTCTTCTTTCCTGCACAAACGCCGCCTTCTTCCTCGCGATTGATTTGAGGAAATCGCGGTCGTCGTTTCATTTTTCACCACTTAAGTCTCCCATCAACCGACGGCGAGTAAAATCCTACTTTGCGCACCTGAATCGAGCAAATTAGAAGATAATCTTCGCCAGCGCCAGAAGCGTCAGGATCGAATTCCTCAATTTCGATGGCAAAATAATGGATCGATTGTTTGAACAGAGTACCGATTCGCTTGTCCAAGTAAGAGTCTGGACCAGATCTTGGTTGTTGATTCTCCGGCCTTAATCATCGAGACATCGATCTGGATGTTTTCCCCTTTGTGCGAAAGGTGGGAACCGATTGAGAGAATGGGCAGGGTTGGTGGGTGGTGGGACGGAGAAGGGAAGCGATTCTTGGACGATGATGGAGCAATGGAGAAAGGGAAGGGGGGTAGGTGGAGAGATTTTGTTTTTTTGGTATTTGTTGGGTTTTTTTTTGTTTTTCGTGTAAGTGGAGTTTTTTATTAAATGATCTTTAATTATTTTTGTTTTCATTACATTTTTATTTATTTTTCATTAATCTACGTGGAAGTGTTGTTGATGAAATGTCGCCAAATCAACAAAGTTCGAACCCGTAACCTAATTTGAACCTTTTGCTACAGATGACTAAATATATGAATCTCGATTTCCATCATGGAGGGGTGATGGATTTTTCTGGTGATTCCCCAAAGTATGTTGGAGGGTTTTCAGAGAAATCCAGGGTGGATGTGGATGAAGTGTCCTACTTTGGGATTCTGTCTTAGGCTACTGGATACTTGAATTATGAAGGAGTCCGGAAGATGTGGTACTTTGACTCCTGGAGCCACAATGGCATAGGGATTACACGAAATCAAGACCGAAAAGGAAATCATGGAGGGTTTGTTGGTTGATACAACAAAGACTAAGGAGGTCTCACTGTTTGTTGATTGTGTCGATGTTGATGATGGTTTTATGGGTGACAATGACAGTGCATACAACTTGGCAAGGCTTGAAAAAGATGAAGACTACTTTGAAGTGGGGTAAAATTTGGTTGCTAATGAGATAATGAACGTGACTGGCTGTAGTGATGAGGAGACATATGATAAGCAGACTCATGGTCCAATGGTCAGAAGTCCAGAAAGTGAATGAGGGGAAGAGGTGGATCAGCCTATGGGAGATGCTGGTGACATGGACGGGGAAGAAGAAGATGTAGACTAAAATCCTGATGAAGATGAAGAAGATGACCAAAATGAGGCTTCGGTTTCTGTCCATAGAAGAAGCTCAGGTTTGTTATAATTCATCACTCTTCAGTGAATACTTGTGTTGATTGGTGCAGGCTGGAGAAGGTCAGCCTCATCATAGGAACTTGGTGGTTGATAGCGAAGTGAGGGAAGCTCTAGGTGGAGAGACTATATATATAAAAATATTAAAAGCCAAAAAATTCCTCTTCTAAATTCCGATCACCTCACTCTCAAAACTACATAACCTAGCGTCGCCGGCGTCCTCCTCGCCTCCTCTCTTGATGGTCCTTGAAGGCGTTAACGGGAAGATAATTAACTGGGGCAAGGTAATCGAAGTAGCAGGTCCAGTTTTTGATGCCATGGGTGAAGAGAACGAGATTTGGAATGTATCATTGAATAAGTGGGAAGTAGCTTTGCCTTTGGGGGTTCCCCTGATGATGGTGGTGTGGGAACGTCTGTAGATTTACTTGCTTTGTCAACCATGTTTGGAGGCTTGCATTGGGAGGTCTTCTCTTGGCAATTGCATGAAGTAGTTGGCATACTGGAAAGAAATGAGATTGAGGAGCGGTGGCAATAAGCTTTCCCACTGAAACCACCAATTGGATCGAGAAAACTACATATTTGATTGCCAGTTGTCAATCACAATCCATATGGGAGCTGAGTGCAATCAGCCATGGGTTTTTAGGAATGGAGCTGTGTCCAGCTGGGCATCCATGGGTCGCGAAGGGGACAGCTTCGTTGAAGGGAATGCTCTTCCGCCATGGCTCCTTCTGTGTTTCGACTCTTGTGGAGAAATGGCGAGACGGTCGGGAAGTTCAGGCGTGTGGGCTAGGTTATGGAGATCTGAGAGGGAGGGTTATCAGAATCTGTTTTTTTTTTCTTCATTTGCTTGCATTATTTTTAATTTTTTGGCCCAAAAATATATTTTATTCATTTTTAACGGTAGAGTGGCGGAATTTCAGACGGATGCACAATTAAGGGACGGTAGTGGTGGTACCCGACGCTCTATTAGCACTTAAATGGTATAGTTCACACAATTCTTATACTTTAGTGGTACCCGAAGTATTTTACCCAATGTTAATCAAAAGTTTTTTTAATTGTTAGCTTTTTCCTCATTGCTTGGTTATTATTAAGTGTTCTCTCATGAACATGGGCAACTCGTTCATTCTGTAGTATGCAAAAAAGTGTTGGAGATTCCTTTTACAAACTTTTAACAACCAACAATATTAAAGTTTGCATACTCTGGCGCAATTCAGTCCAGTCAGTGAAATAGAGTCTATTAGATATGTGATGAAGTTATCACATATATTTGACCCACTCAGGAAAAAAAGATACAAAAAGAGGAAAGGGAAAGAGGAAGAGGAAGTGGAGTGTTCTATATAAACACGAAATATATTTATTTAGCCATAATGCATGTGAGTTTTGTTATGTTTATGAATATTTGCTATGTCTGATCTCTGGAAAAAAACTACTTAGAGGAGGATTTTATGCTCTTGTATGTTCCGTCAAATTTCAGCATTAGAGGTTGTGAGTGGAATTTCAGCTTTTAGGGATTGTTACTTGTGAGTGAAATTTTATTAGATTGCTTCATCCTTTACTTTTTAGCTTTGGATTGTAGGAATGAGATGGATGGGAGACATGAATAGTAGAAAGTTCTCTCTAATTGTGCACTTATTGTTGGTTGAAGTCTGGTCTCTATAGTACCCAAAAAGATATAAGTCAATTGCAAGATCTTCTCTAGTCTGTAACACTATTAGATGTGAAACTGGGTCAAACTCAGTCGTAACCCCAGAAAAATGTTAAATATTTAGTTTTATAAAGTCAAGTTATGAATCCGATTAGGTCCGACCCTATTCTCTCATGACTCTGTCTGACCCACTTGAATTGGGCCGAGTCGAGCCAAAACCGTGGGTCGGCCCAAATAAACAAACTTATATTTGTAAAATTGTATTTTGGCATCCAAATTTATTTTTCTTACAATATCGTACCTAATTGTGTTTTTACAAATATCTCCAAACCACTGTAGTGTTCATGTTTTGTTACTTCGGGCAGTAGATTGGTTTTATAACCCCATATATTAGATGCACCGCTACTGACCCATTTTTGTTGAAAGATGATTTCAACTTTTGTGAAGAGATATGATCGTCTTAATTCATTGGCACTTTTGTCTTAATCGAAATAGAATGCAAATTACTACTACGTCACTGTGCTGCTTAAATAAGTGGCCGTGCTCTAAACTAGTATAAAATTATTGAACGGTCTTGTTTTAATTCGATTAATCTACTTCTCTCCTGGTTATGGTTGAATGGTTGATGTTTTACCATTAAATTAAATTAATCACCTAGCTTCAGAGCATCTGTTTGTTTGTTCCCTGGGAGTTGGCTTAGGCCCATGGTTGTCACGCTCGGCCGGCGTGCCATCGGTTGTACCGGGTTCAACCAGTACCGGTCTTAAAACCGGCGTGACATCACTGGTATGACCGGCATGATCGATATACAAACTCTAAGTAAAATGATCTTTATTTTAGAGAATTTAATTGATAAAAATTATTTTATTATTATCTTATGAGTATAAAAGTTAAATATTGATGCTATTTGTTGGATTCAAATATAAATGTTTAGGTAATGACGTTAAATGTCATGTTTAAATATGAGTATTTATAATTTTATTTGTAATATTGACCGGCATGAACCGGCACAAACCGGTATGTGCCACCGGTTGAATCATTCCACTTGCTAAACCAACACACTGGCATAAACCGGTTTGACAACCTTGCTTAGTCATCAACTTCTTCTGCTGCTTTGGGCTTGATTTACGGCACTGACTGTGTACTACTGTTTGTTGGTCTTGGCGGGGAAGCAGAGGGATCAGTCTGTCCGCTTTTGTTTCTTCCAAAGCCATGGCGCATGCTGGGAGGGAGACAAACAAATGCTCTCGCCTCTCGGACACATTTTCATTTGGGTGAACAAACACACTTGTAAATCGATCTATTTGTCCAACCCGATCTAATCTATCAGTATTAATCGCTAAAACTAAGGTTTTGGATTGAATGAGGGTTTTCTTTTGTACAACCCGCTTTTTTGGGTTGTGTGTGGATTTTGGATTACACAACCCGTAAAACTCGACCAAACCCGTGTTCCAACTATTGGTATGAGTTCATATAAAAAATATTTATGTCGTATATATGTTTATTTATGAGAAAATTAAGATACTTTGCCACGTTTTCCTCTCATTGTCTTCCCAATCTAATGCATTTTTTGGCTTAAAGTGTAGACGTAGAATTAATATAACTACAACTTTAATAGAATAACATATTATGGATGTGTTCATTTATAACCTCTTTAGCATTTTTTTTTGGTAGGACCTCTTTAGCATATTTCGATAAATGTCGTGAAAAAAATTAGACAAATGTTGAAGCAAATCACATTTTATTAAAATTCAAACAACATTTGTACATTTTGACACCTTTCACTTCGAATTATTCATTTGGAATTTTAATTAGTTATATAATATTTTTATGGTGTTGAATAATTACATTTTTTTTATATTGGGTTGGATTTTTACTTATAAATATTATCAACTCGACCCAACCAATTAGAAACAAATCGTAGGATTCTAATTTTTTGGTGAGTTTGGATTTCATATTTCCGAAAACATAGTGTATGGGCCGGGTCATGTACGCCCTACATTTCATACGAGGTCCAACCAAGAAAAGGCGCCTACTAGTACTAGAAGGGTGGAAGCGGCACGAATGTGAGCTGACTAATTTTCTGTTGCTTATAAATATAATAAATTCAATGAATGCATCAACAATCCGCTGTAGCATTAATAACCCATGAATTAATTCCGGGTTGTCAAGCTTGGCGATTTCCAAAAGGGGATCCCGGGTTCAACTCCCGGCAGCGGAAACTTTCTTTTTTTATAACTTTGTACTTTGATGCAATCCAATCTCCTATACAACCTCTTTGATTCACCTCCTGTCTTCTGCATCGAAGTTCTCCGACGAACTCTGATCATTTATCAATCTATTGAACAAGGAGTGAACATTAAGGGGCAAATGTTACCAGGTACTGTCACTAGATTCTTAGTAAACAATTCGAACAAGCAATGAATGCTTTCACAAGTACTTTGACATGGCCTGATTTGGATTCGGAGGCACTGTGTAGCTGGGCATGGCGCCTGGAGGCTGGAGGCAGCAAGTGATAATAGTACAGGCGATGTAAATAGGATCTGTAAGACTTATAACCATACTGCAATTATGTTGAATGCAACTTCATCTGATGTTATTTCCTTGAGCCTGATGCTACCTTGTACATTGTCCCTGCCTCAGAGTTAAATTGTATAAGATGTGTACTGGAATGAAGAAGGTGCCTTAGATTCCGTTCTCATTAGCAATGTCCTTGTTTGTCGAGAATTCAACGCGTCTTCCTGACTTGGAATCCTGAGTCTCCCCATCGACAGCTTCACAGTCGTTTCTATTGGATGCTCTATCAAGCGACTGCCTCCTGGACCGGCTTACAACTTCCTCCTCTTTCTCGTCAACGAAAGATAAGAAAGTCTGAAGACGAACAGATGCAGAAGACAGGGAGAGCGCAGCGGAGGAGGAAGAAGCAGCAGCAGCGTGGGACACGTCAGCCTGCTGGTGGCGGCTAAACTTTCGGACAATTTTGAGGAAATACAGAAAGAGCGCTAGCAGGCAAGCCAATCCACAGATGAGGAAGAGTCCCCAGAAGCTTGAGAGGTGCAGCCTGTCCACTTGAAAGGTCGTGGTTTGCGAGCTGCACGCGCTGCTCATCAGCCATTTGTCGTGGATCCTCTGCAGATCCCCGTTCTCGGACAGCTTGAGAATGGCGGTCGACAAGTCGACTGCCAGCGGAGAGTCCTTGGGGAAGGCCTGCAGGCAACCACAGACAAACATGGATGACAAAAACAACCAGCAGTAGTTACACGGACAAAAGAGTAGTAGAGTACTTACGAATCCCCAGCCGTTCCTGGTGAACTCTGGACCTACGATGCTAAAGTCACACCGTGTCGAAAGGAACAATTCGAGATACGACTGTTCGTCAACAACAGCAGCAACGCCGCCTTTGTGAGGGCCAGCTTTCAGGGCCCTTTCGCATTCCTCGGGGCCCTTGAGCGGGACCATCCTGGATTCGTGGAAGCCAAGTTCTTCAACCAAGTAGTTCCGGGCGAATGAGCCTTGTTGGTAACCAATGGGGTCGTTGCTGGTTCTCAGGGTCTCGATTCCTTTGATGGGCGAAGAAAGCTGCTGCACTGTTAAGATTGAGGTCAGGCTGGCCGTGTAGCTCGAGTTGATTATCAGCACAACGAACAGCCATATGATTAGGACGACTCTGCCCAGGGTGCTCACAGTGTTCTCTCCTGTGCACACATGAGAAGATATGTTAATTAGGAATTGTTCATGCAGAGAAACTGGATGTTAATTAGGAATTGTTCACAGACTCACTGTGAGCGAAGAACAATGTTGAAAAGCTGAACCTGCAGAATCAAATTAAGGAACCGGTTAAGTCACTCGATTCACATTCATCTACAACTTAATCGGCTTCCAATTTACACATATCATCTCTAGTTCTGTCATTCAATAGAACTCACCATAAAATGGTGACGACTTGTCTTCTCGGCGGGCCCCTGAAGTCGTCGTTCAGCCGGTGCTCCAAGATCCAAATCACCGCCCCGACGACGAGGAAGAAGATACCCGTGACGGCCCACATCCCCGGGGAGAAAGGTCGCATAAACGCCCATGCATTGGAGCTCCTCGTCATCACCGGCGCCACCACCACGAGCCCAGACTCGATGTACGGCTGCGTGAAGTCGGCCATCTTGGTCCGGTTCGTGATGATGGCAACGTCGCCGACGATGCCGTCATAAACCCCCGCCGACATCAGGCGGACGAGCTCCGTCAAACTAGGGTTGTCGACCCCGTCACCGAACGGGACCAGCTTGTACGGCACGGCGTACGGCAATTGGCTGACGGCGGCCGTGAAAACGTCGATGCAGTACCCGGAATACGTATCGGTCCCGGGCACTTGACCGATGAATTCCCGGTAGCTGACCCGGTTTGGCACCCCGATCGCCAAATGTCTCCCGTTGTTTGGGAACACCCAACCCCGAGGCTTCTGGGTCGTCTTCCCGGGCCAGATAACCGGGCCCAGATGCTGGTCCGAGCTGGATTGGTTGCCCGGCTTCCGGTAGAGCGTTTCCGGCGGGTCGATCGAGAGACCCGATTGGTTCGACCAGTACCCGATCCTCTGATGTCCTGTCCCGATCACATTGATGACTTCGTATGCGGGGTGGATTAGGGTGTCATCCGGCGGAAGGAACTTGACCCGACCCGTCACCCCATTCATATCCACGTTTAAGATGCTTTCCAGTAGCTGTTCCCCGCCGTCCAACATTCTCATGGCATCTAGTCGCAAGTTTTCTCCCCCGAGCTTCGCTAACCTGTTGTATAAAAAAGAAAGCATGACAAAGTTAATCCTGAAAACTAGAAGTAGCTTAAGTCATTTTATTGGCTTCAAGGAGTTTACATAGTTAATAGAAAGTTGGCTGTTAATAGTTGGTTAAGACTATTTAGTAGGTGTGCTAATTGGTTAGGTTTCGGTTAATCCGTAAGCGATTTAGTGGTTAGGAGTTCACTACTAAGTAAAAAGTAAAAAGTGCATGCCGAAAATCGAACCGAAAGTCTTATCGGTTAGTTTGGTGGTTAACCACTTACCAATAACAACCTCATAGTATTTTTCTTTTTATATTTAGAAAATTTGTATAGTCTCATTTTTATTAATAACATATAATCATAAGAATTTAATTACAGTTCTATATTGTTAACATTAAATAATAATATAAGAAATAACATGAATACAATACAATATCTATAGTAAATTCATAACCTAAATCCTATTTCAAGCAAATAAAATTATATATAATTAAACGTTTTTATCCAATTAGCAAGTACCAACTATTACTAGCAAGATATCAAACAAAGGCACCTCAAGATTATCATCATTCACAAACGTCAAAGAAACAAATACTACTAGGGTGCGAGACTCTCTCGAACTGCAAAGGATAGTCAGGAAGGGTGATTATCGGGTTCTGACTCTTAAACATACTTTGGACTTAGGGTGGAAGTTTGTGTTGAAATAGGTGTGAATTGAAATTTTTGAAATTTTTACTTTGATCGGTTCTAAACCTTGGGACCTTTTCCCTTAGTCAAAGCAAAAAAATTACGTGGTTATACTTAGGGCTGTCAACCGGTCGGTTTCGGTTTAACCGAAAACTAAAAACCCGGTTATCGGTTAAACCTAGCCACCCTGCACACCTGCCGACGATCGACCGTGAGAGTGGTCACGGTTAGTGATAGAAGAAGGGAAGCAGGAGGAGTTCTCATGAAAGAAATTGCTTGGCAACTTGCTCTCCAATCCGTGCTAGAAGAAGAAGAGCAACAAAGGGTGCAGAAAGAAGTTGTGGAGGATGACGAAAGTGAAGCAGGAGGAGTTCTTGATCATTTCCCAGGGGTGATACCACATGAAGAAGAAAGGGGGGTTGAAGAAGCAATTGGCGTCCAGGCTGAGGACGGAGTTAAGGTGGAAGAGGCCTGCACTGGCCATGAGTTACATGTGATATCTCCACCAAACTTCAAGGAACTGCTTAGCAAGGACCCATTTGCAGTGTCTCTTTGCCAGACCAAGGCCACCTCGACATCGGTCCCTCTTGGTGGACGCGATGGTGGCCAATCGATACTGTCATATCTGGTTTGGGGCAATGAGACGAGAGAAGAGAATGAGAGGTCTCGAGGGTGGAGACTTCATCTGCATCAAGTACATGAGCCTTCATCACCTGCCACACCACATGCTCGTGACTTGAGACTCCACCTCATCGACGAGAACCTCAACTTCAAGGAGGTTCTAGCATGGACCGAAACTTAGGAGCCATCGTCCGGCTCACGACGTGAAAGAAGCGCTTGTTGGGAGGCAACCCAACCAGTCGGTTTGCATTTCTGTCTCTATTTCTCCTCGGTTGAGTCAGTTTGCTATTTGATTTTAGAGTCAATAACTCAACCTTTGTGAGATTTTGTGTGGTGTTTGTGTTCTGATTACTCTCTCTTTCTGGAATGCACCGCCTGACCCGTTCATCATCATTCACCCTTGATCTGGTAACTTCGTTCTACCCTCCTTATCTTTCCTCCATTGAGGACAATGTCGTGCTTAAGTGTGGGGGGATGTTCGATTATGTATGCGGGTGAATGTTTGGCTGTTTGTGTGCTTGGAGCCTAGTCCACTGTCCAAATTTTTAAATTTGAGGGCTCCAAGTACGTGTTTCCTTGCAATTGCCTGCTCAGTATGCTTTGAATTGACAGTCTTTATAGTGATATGCAACCTAGGGAGGTAGTGTAGCATTATGGAGGATGTTGATGCATTTAAGAAGTCTCATTTCTTCTTCATATTGAGTTGGTTGATTGAGTGAATTAGTGATCTTAGGACCCTTGAATTGTGTGGTGTTGTGGATTCTCTGCCTGTCATGGACTCTTGTATCATGTTTTAAGTTTAACAGGTGCTCGAAAATGTGCTTCAAAATAACGTCTCCCGTGCGAATAGGGCGAAAGTGTGTAAGGGGAGACGGGAATCCGTTCCCAATTTCCACCTACTACCTCCAGCCCCCTTACATGTCTTTCCCCCGCACGAGGCTCGAGACATCCGCTCCTGGCATGGCCGGTAAGAGCAGGTTGGGACCCTTGAAAAGAAAAGAAAAGAAAAATAACAGAAAACAAGCAAAACAGAAAAAAAGGGGTTCCAACCATCTTCAAGAACAAAATAGAGCACCTCGAAAAATGTGAGTCCATGATCCTTTGTTTTTGAGAATCTCTCCATCCACGATTCATTTGTCCTCTGTTCACTGTTAGCCATGATGCCGACTCGCCGAAGAAGCTATGAGATGACTTGTGCGTCGGTTGACCTCGTAAGTTGTTAAATGATCTAGGAAGTCCTCTACCTACGATCTGGGTTGTTTGTTGCTATAGAGGTCTGGAGAGTTGCATTGGTTTGAGTTAGGTTTGCTTGGGGACAAGCAAACGGTTAAGTGTGGGGGAGTTTGATAGACCGTTAGTTACACATGTTTTCACCCCTGTTCTTACACCGTTTGAGATGTGGTTTCTCGTGTTTTAGACCGATTTCACGCTAGGTTGTGCTTGTTTGTGATATTTCAGGTCCTGGCAAGTGAATGAAGGTTTAGGAGCGAGTTCGGGGTCGATTGGGCGAAGATCGGGCGCGAGACAAGTCACAAAGGAGGTCACACGGGCTGCCCTGATGATCACACGGCCGTGTGAAGGAGTAGTCTGGCCGTGCGAGTTTCGCCGAGAGCAAACACGGGCAGAGCAGGACATCCACACGGCCGTGTGGAATTCTGCGTGAGCAAACACGGGCAAAGAGGAAGTTCACACGGCCGTGCCACTCTGGCCGTGCAAAGAGCCTGGAATTCGAACTAATTGGAACGCAGCGTTTTGACTCACACGGGCAACTGGGTAAGCCACACGGCCGTGCCACCCTGCCCGTGTGAGTCGGGATTTTCTGCTTAAAACCCGATTTTCAGCCAAAGGAGAAGAGGAGAGCTGGGTTTTTGGATCCCAAACACCCAAGGGACGAACCAAAGAGAGAGAGAGCGATTTGAGGGCATTCTTGGAGTGGAATTGGAGGATTTCTTCGCCTTGGAAGCTCGAGGAACAAGCCCGGACTTGAAGACTGATCATCTGAAGATTCTTACTGCAGTCTCTCTCTTCTCTATGGAGTAACTTCCCTTCACTTAGGTTTTGAGGAACCCTAGCTATGTTTGTTTGATTGGATGATTGTATGAGTACTCTGACTGGATAATCTTGAGTTCATATTCAATCTATGCATGTTTTCATGATTCAATTCTGCTTTAGTCGAGATTATTGATTCTGCTTTGATCCTATGAGAGGGAATACCTGATTAGGTCAATAGAGCACCATAGATTGATAGTAGTGGATCGATTACTTTAGTCGAGGGTTGATTCACTGCTTTGTATCGATTGAGAACCTCTTTCGATAGAGGGAGTCTAGTTCAGAACGCCTTGATCAGTTGTTCTAGAGAAGGATACGTCCCTCTAGGCAATTGACTCAAGAGGGCCTTGTTCCTTTAGTCGAGACTCAAGGTTTAGTCAAGGATTCTCCGCATTGTGAATGAAAGTGAAACAGGTTAGAGATCATCAATCGTTAATCTGGCTAGTGGCTAGGGGGAATCATACCTAAGTGAGTTCCCAACCTGTAATTAGATTAACTTAACTGTAGTTTGCTAGAGTAGTTTTAGTTCTTTCATCTTGACCTGGTTTGCTAAATAATAAACTGAAGCTGAGTAATAGTAACTCTAGAGACCCGTGGATTCGATATTTATCACTTGAGCCACTATACTGCAGTCCCTTCCATTGGTTACACTTGGCCATTGTTAGGTGTTGTGTTTTAGAGCAGTCAGTTAGCCGGCCAACCGACCGGTCGGTTTCGGTTTTAGGCTCGGTTAGCCGGCCAACCGGAAATTACCTTTTCTTAAAAAAAAAAAAAAAAATCCGAAAATTCTGCACCACTCATTAGTCACTCCTTATCCCTCGGCCCTCTCACTTCCCGATTCTTCTTCTTCCTTCTCTCTCCCTACCTCTCTCAATTCTCTTCTCTCTCCCTAAAACCCTCCGCCCCCAGCAACCACCGCCGCCTCCCGTCACAACCACCGCCGCCTCCCGTCACCGTCATCCACATCCTCCCGTCACCGCCGCCTCCCGCCGCCTCGCGCCTTCAATCTCGCCTCCGTTTCCGCTCCACCTCCTCCGCAGGGGACGAGGAGCTCGGGGGCACGCCGCCGCACTTCTGACACGGGTTGACGACGAGTATTTGTCGGCAGGAAGGGCAGGATGAATGGTTGCCGAGCCAGGTGTCGATGCAGTCCACGTGGAAGCCGTGGCCGCACTGCGGGAGCACCCGGAACTCATCCCCGACCGCGAATTCGGCGAGGCAGATGGCGCAATCGGAGAATTTGGCCGCTGTGTCGGTGGAGAAGGTCTGCTTGGGGAGGGCGCGGAGGATCTTCTTCTTCACCCTCTTTCTGCTTCTTCTTCTTCTTCTTCTTCTTCTTCTTCTTCTTCTTCTTCCTCCTGTATTTGGGATTTTTTTTTATTTAAGATTTGGGAATGGGATGAATCTGGACATATTTTGGGGAAGGTGAAGTGGGTCTTGGTTGGCCCGGTTAGTCGGATAACCGCGGTTAATTACCGTCGGTTACTCGGTCAACCGACCCCATCCTTTTCCCATCTGACCACCGACCGTCAAGGTAACCGATCGGTTTTTGGTTAGCTGGTAACCGGCGGTTTTCGATTAAAACCGGCGGTTACCCGCTAACCGCAAACCGAAATGCCAGCCCTAGTTATACTAGTAGGTGGTAATCGATTTCTTATTAGTTAACCACTAAACAAAATACTGCCAACCAAAATCGAATCACTAAGAAATTATTAATTATTGCTTAACCACTAACTCTTGATATCGGTTCTTGTTATTGTTTCGTTTACCACCCCATAGTAATTAACGTATTAGTATTATTTTTAACTAATACAAAGTTAAGGTTAAGTTATGGAGCTTGTTTTAATAGGGTTCGTATTAGTGTTATATTTTAAACTAATAATGGAAGTTATGTTATTAGCCCCTCATTATTAACGTGTTGACGATAAATTTTAATTATATACAATATCGTTGTTAACGTTTGTAGGAAAAACTATTAATTGTATACAATAGCGCTATGAAGGTAATTAATAACGATATACAATTCATCATTAAATTATTGATGATATACAATAAGGTTTTAACATTTTGAAATGAATTATTAATGATATACAATTTCTATAACACTTGTGAATGAATTAATGATCATGTACAATAGAGGTATTAAAAGGAATTAGTAATAACATACAAAAAGTTTAGTAACGTTTGTGAATGAAATTATTGATGATATACAATATCGTTATTAAGATTTTGACAATTTTTTTTAATGATTTATAGTATCGTTGTTAACTTTGTGGAAAGAACTTTTGGTTTTATAAAATAGCGATAAAATGAATAATTGATGATAGGTAAGACAAGGGATCTCCCAATTCGTAATTTCTTAATAGGAGCCTCCTTTACTTGACCTGAGCTAAAATTTCGTTATTAATATTTGTAAAATGAATCATTGATGATATATAATAACGAAATTAACTTATCCATAGTCAGTAAGTGATGGTGGAAGGTGACTCAGAGGTGTTGATTCGTAGTCTAAGTCACTACTCGGTGGCTGGATCATTGGATGAGTCACTTTCTCTGCGAGTGTCGGCAGTTAATCTCCTCTTTGACCATTGGTGTAGATTTAGTGTGGTCCCATGAGTCACTAAGCGAGCTGGTCATAGAGTGGCACGTTAAAAATTGTTGATGTCTCCTATGGATTTAGCTTCCTTTGTATTTTACTATTTTTAGATGGCTTTGTTTCTAATATTTTCTCTTGGAAAAAATAACGATATGAACATTTTGAAAGAAATTATTCATAGTATACAATTTTGTGATTAACGTTTGCGAAAAATTATTAATATTGTACAATAGCGTTATTATGTTTGTGGAAATAATTATTAAAGATATACAATAACATTATTAACATTTTGAAATAAATTATTTATAATTTTCAAATTTGTTTTTGTCCAGTGGTTGTTGGCCCCAAGATACAATTTTGTTACTAACGTTTGTTGAAAGGAATTACTAATAGGATACAATAGCGTAATAAATTTGTGAGATTAATTATTGGTTATTAATTTGTATTTTTAAAATGGTAACTATTAATTTTAAATTTTTAAAATTTCGAATTTCATTAAATACTAAATCATAATATTTTAATGACACTTTTAACAGTTGAACCTCTCCTTTCTCTTTTCTTTTCCTAATGACTTGGTAAAATTTTAGGATTTTGCTACGATGACATGCATGTCACTGTGACATGGACTTTTCGGTCGACCTAATCCAACATGCGGTCGACCGAATGGACTAATTCATGTATGTGGGGTTCCGAGACGCGGTCGACCTCTTACATAATACGGTCGACCGCTTTGTGCACCTAACAGGTCGACCTCATTATGAAGAGGTCGACCGCCTTCACACCGTATCCATATTGGATATGGATTCCAACACCAGAAAGGTTCCACAATTGGACAAGGAAACGAATTGGGTCGACCCATTGACGTCCTAAATCTCTATAAATACGAATATAAGTCCCCTTCAACGCTTACAAGTCTGAATTAGGTTTTTTTTCCGATTAAGAGCCTTTGTGAAGAAGATCGTTCGCGGTTGCTGTTGTACGTGTTGGAAGTGATCGACCAGGTCTAAGGTGCGATCGACCTAATGTACCATTCGCCGTCTTCTTTTCTAATGCTTTATTTCCACCGGCTAATTTGATATATTGTTGGGTGCAGAATTTCATTCGGTCGACCGTGACATCAACCAGGTCGACCTGACGAGACAATTCTGCGTATTTGAATTTAGGCCACAACACTTGGACTTCTGTACTTGCGAGGTAACCCAATTGGTCGACCTAATGGGTTTCAAGGTCGACCGTTCCTGTTTTTTTGGTTATTCAACTTGAATGTCGACTTTGGCTTTGTTTGTATGACTATGTTGTGCTTGAAAAGGTCGACCGCGCCAGATATCTGGTCGACCTATCCTTTTTCGGTTTAATTTTGAACTTACTTTTTGTTGTTAATTGTTATTTTCCTGCTGGATAGGTCGACCTAGGAATAACAGAGGTCGACCTTAATGGTTGTGGTAGTCACTATTTGTCTTCCAGGTCGACCTAATACTTTGTCAGGTCGACCACGTCTTTGTTTTTTGGTCAATTGTAGAAATTTGTAGTTGAATTATGATTCAAATTTTTCTTTAAATTGTTTAGACAATGACGCATGATGAGAAACTGCATCAAGATTTGGGTGAAATCATGAAATTGTTGAAAGCCACACAAGAGAAGCTGGTGGTGTGTCAAACACAAGTCAATTACTTTCAGAAGTCCATGCGTGATAGAGTGGAGCAATTGTCAGTTCGACTGACAGATATGACTGGGATGATGCATGACGGGTTTGAGAGGCTAGAAGGTGCTATCAAAGATATAAGTGCAGAACGAATGGAGAATGGCGGAAGAAATGGTAAAGGAAAGAAATTTAACTTTGGTAAAGAGGAAGAAGACCATGATGACTCTGAAAATTGCTACCAGAGCATAGACGATTTATTGAAAGAGCACATTTTAAAGGTATCCAAGTATATTCATATGTGATTGAAGATATTAGTATTACTATCATTAGTGCTAATTTGTTTTGTTTATATGTTTGACAGAGTGAAACAACGAATGGCAGCAAGGGTTCCTCTCCTAAGTACAAGAGACCGCGATATGAAGGTGACTCCTACACCACTCCACAGAAGGATCAATTTGTAAGAAAAGGATTATTTAGTGATGATAGCGATGAAGATGAATCTAAGAGTCCTTTCGAAAAGCACGGGGTAAGTTTACGTTACATATTCATCTATAATGTGTGTTTGTGTTCATATGTTACTTTAATTTTAACTATGATTTGTAGGTCATGAAAGTGGAGGGTCTAGAAGGATTCACCAAAAATCTTCAAAATCCAGTTGAAGACTTGTATTATGTTGTTACTAAAGAGAAGGCTGGGGACAAGAATTGGGACAAGTAAGACGTTTTTTAGTACGTGTGGTCGACTGTTTAGGTCATGAGGTCGACCGTGACTGTGAACAGGTCGACCTGTACGTTGCAAATCACAATTGACATTTCTGTTATTTTGATTTTTGCAGTTTGACCGTTGTGGACTTTTTTCTGAAAACGTGCAACGACATTATTTGAGTTCGGTCATTAGCGAGAATAGCTGGGTTTGCTCATCAGTAAGTACTATACTACTACGACTTTCGTATGAATTGTGCACTATTTATGTTACGATTTATGATGATTTTGTGTTTGATTGTTGGATGGTAGGTAGTGGATTTCTGTGCAAGGGCACTAACAATGTCTGAAAAACATGATGTGAAAGAGCCAAATGTGTGGTATTTGCCAAATATGTTTTCGGTAAGAGCCGTAATGTCAAATTATTTGTCATAACCTAGTTATTTATATTGTACCATGTCAATTCATCTCAACTAAAACATGGTGCAGAAAATGCGCTAACATGAAGACCAGACAAATTCGTAACAAGTTGATGAATGATGGCGTGGTCTTTATGCCGAATGTCAGTGCATGCCAGAAGGTTAGTCTAGTCAATGTCCCTATATCATAAAATTTTTAAAGTGCATTTGTTTGTATTCGCTGTTTATAACATATAGTGAGTGTTTCGTTGCTAGATATTTATGCCAGTTCTTGACGATGAAGCATGTCATTGGTTTCTGTATCTCGTCAATGTCCAGCAAAAAACTACATTTTTGCTTGACAGTCTACCTTCAACTAGTGAGGCGAATGGTAGGCGTAAATCAGCATTATGCAAGAAATTGGTAAGTGTTTCCTATAATTTTCTGGCTGTTAAGCGTCACGTATTATGCTAGAAACTTATGATATTCGTTATTTGTGTGTAGTTGTCCAATTTGGATGATATTTTCAAACCGGAGCGCATGAGCAATGTAGGAGTACCAAATTTTGGAGATTTCAATTTTGATGAGCTACGAGTTCAATGAAAAAGGAATAGTACTGAGTGTGGTGTGCACGTCATGCAGTGGATGCGCTATGGATCCAAGGATCTTGATAGAGTGGTGAATATATCGTCAAACAAATAACTTGTTTAATTTACACTTTTTTTAGTTGTAACGAAATCTTACATGGCATAATGCAGATAGGAGAAGAACACAAATTACCGGCTCGAAAGGAGATTCTATGGTATCTGGCTACACATTTTGAAAACCTTGCACGAGAAAATCTTTTCAAGCATGTAGTAGATGAATGCATGGAACGAGGCAAAGAGAGACAGAGTTCAAACAAAAAAGCAAAGAAATGAAGTCGTTAAGTTACAATGTTGCATTATTTGGACCATACATTGAATTTGCATTTGCGAGATCGTTTCATTTTGGATTTTGAATGTTTATCGTTTATTAGATTTGTTATACAATTATGGATGTGACTGAATTTACGATTTCAATCGTCTAGAACAAGTGGTCGACCACATACTCAAAGCGGGCATACCCAAAGGCAGAGCACAGGTCGACCTCGTGACGCTTAAGGTCGACCTATGATACCGTAGCAAAGTCAAAAACCATGTAGAATATGGATGGAATCTCGTCTGTTTGGCCTTAATAAAATACGGTCGACCATTCGTGTCAAGAGGTCGACCTGTTTCACATTTATAAACTATGGTCGACCATTTCAGTAAAGAGGTCGACCTGTTTCACATTTACCCAAGACGCTCGACCATTTGTGCAAAGAGGTCGACCGTAATGAATCATGTCCTTGTACAATTAGGATTTTGTGTACTTGTCCTTGTCGAATTATGATTTATATATCTTTCACCAATTGGATAAGGAATTCGACTACATTATCTATAAATAGATGGGAGTCTTAATACTTTAATCGTACTTTGATTTATGCAATTTGTTGGAGTGAAGTTGTAATCTCATCGCTCTTATTGTGATCGGGTGTTGGTGGCGGTTTATTTTTATTCCGGTAGACCGTAACAATAAGTGGTCGACCTCATTGCTAAGGTATGTCTCGTATTGGCTTGTTAATGGTTGTATGTGGTTAAATTTTTCCCACCATCCGGTCGACCACCTCCACCATCCGGTCGACCGTACTTTTGTAATTATATGATTTGGTCGACCTTTCAGTAAATCCAGGTCGACCGCATGTTTGTTTTTTAGTAATAAGGTCGACCGTACAGTTCATTCAGGTCGACCTGACGAGAGCTAATTGCGTATGTTTTTGACATTAAGTTCGTATTCCGATCGTTGCAGGATGGATAACAGAGATGATACAGATGATAGAGATGATGATGAGGTTAACTTCGATGAGGAACCTAAGGATGCTCGAGAAGGAGCTATGGATGATTCAGATGATACAGATAATACGGATGATGAAGTGGTTGGGGATGATAATGAAACCGAGGGTGCTCAAGAAGAATTTATGGATGATGAAGAAGCTACTGAATATGAACAACAAATTCCTTCCATGGAGTTCCAAACATTAGAAGATGCAGAGAAATTTTACGATTCCTATGCTAAAGCGAAAGGATTTAGCGTTCGACGTAGAGATCTTCGGAGGAGTCGTCGAGGAGTAGCAATTGGGAGGACAATGGTATGTTCGAGAGAGGGGACTAGAGATAAGATGCATATAGATAAAGAAGGTCGGACTCGACAACATCGTAAGATGACAAGACATTCTTGCAAGGCATCGTATACTGTACGCTTTGATCGGGATAAGAAAATGTGGGTTGTTTCTAAGTTTGAGAGGAAGCACTCACATCGTTGCTGCAATGAAAAAGAAACTCAATTCCTTCGGTCTCATCGAAATGTGAGTGAAGGAGACAAGGCTCTGGCGATAGGGATGCGACGGTCAGGAATAAAACAACGCAACATTGTTCAGTTCATGAAGAATAAAGTTGGAGGATATGAGAATCTGGGGTACACTCCAAAGGATTTGGACAATGCTGTTCAGCAATCCCGAACAGTTGACGACAATCTAATAGGAGATGTTAACCGAACATTGGGTTACTTGCAAAGTAAACATACATCTGATGCGGGCAGTTTCTTCAAGTACACAACCAACGATGAAGGTGAATTAGGCAATCTCTTCTGGTCGGACTCCACATCTAGAGCAGATTACCATTTTTTTGGGGATGTCTTGGCGTTCGATGCATGCTACAAGCGCAACAAGTACAATCGACCATTTGTTATGATGGTTGGTGTAAGTCACCACCACCGTAACATCATATATGGTTTTTCCCAGTTGGATAACGAGACAATCCCCAACTATGTTTGGTTGTTGAATACTTTTCTGGAGTGTATGAACTCTAAGATGCCCACTTCACTGATCACAGACGGAGACAAGTCTATGCGTGGTGCCATTGCTACTGTTCTGGTTGGAGTGCCTCACCGTCTTTGTATTTGGCATATTGAGACAAATGCGACAACGGCCATTCATAATAAGGAGTTCGTTAGCGCATTCACTTACTTGGCGAAAGCACGAATATCGATTGAGGAGTTTGAGAGGCGTTGGGAGCATTTGATTAGTCAGCATGGTTTGTCTGCAAATAAGTGGTTGCAGGATTTGTACGCTGACAAATTACTGTGGGCAGAGGCATACTTGAAGGATATTTATTTCGGTGGACTCCAATCAACCTCGCGATGCGAGTCATGTAACCATTGGATAAATGGGTATGTGGGAACTCAATACAGCTTGCAACGTTTTTTCAGGCCATTGATGAAGCACTGGAGGGGATGCGTTTCACGGAGGTGCAGGATGATTATAATTCTAGGCACACGAGGTTGGTCTGCAAGCATGCCCTTCGCACTTGGGAAATGCAAGCTGAAAGTATCTACACTCATCGTACATTTGCTATCTTCAAGTCTGAACTAGAGAATGAAGCTTCTTATGTATTAGCGAAGAGAAGAACTGAATCAGATGGGACAGAGACATTCATACTGAAGAACTACATGAACCCAGATCGGATAAGGCGGTTAACATTTACTACGTCCAATCAAGATCTAAAATGCGAGTGTGCATTATTTGAATCTAAGGGGTTTCCATGCAGACACATGCTTACAGTAATAAAAAATATGGGATACACCGCACTACCCTCGTCGTGGTTCAAGCTTCGATGGACCCAAAATGCGAAGACACTAAATCGTCATCCTGGAGTTGGAGGTGATGTGGGAGAGAAAGTTGGTCGACTGATAAGACATGGAGGATTGGCTCTAAAGTGTGAGCGTTTATGTGACATCGCGTGTGGTAGTGAATCTGCTTTTAATCATGTCTCTAAGACGTTGGACGACCTTACTCAATGGGCAATTGAGTTCACGAGGGAGAGAACGGACAACACCACACCGGCAAACCCTCCAGCACCCCTTCGAAGTGTGAAAGATCCAAAAATTGGGAAGACCAAGGGGACATTCAAGTCAGCACGAACTGCATCGGGCAAAAGTTTAAGAAAGTGTTCGAAATGTGGGAAATATGGTCATTTTCTCCCTAAGTGCCCGAAACAAAGTCCCAAAAAAGGATCTTAAATTTCTTCTATTGTTTTTTAGGAGTTTATTTATTTTTTAATAACTGTGATTGCATTGTATTTTCTTCGAATTATCTTAATAATTTATAAGTTAATTGATTGTTGGTTGAAATAAACAATAGCAATAAACGGTCGACCTCATACAAATTTCGGTCGACCTGACCATACACGGTCGACCGAACATGTTAGTGCAGTCGACCGCGTATTTAATTCGGCCGACCAAACCGGTTTGTTTGCAACATCCACCCAAACCTCCCCCAACCCTCTATTTAAGAAACCCTCCCCCACTCATTCTGCACCACAATCAGAACCCTATCCCACCACATCCACTCATTCTTCCTCTCCTTTCCCTTCTTCATCTTCTTCTCCAATTTCCAAAAACTTCATTTTCCAAAAACTTCATCTTCCAAAAACTTCATCTTCTTCATCTTCCATTTCATTCTCATCACTTAGAAGAAGAACAAGGTATAACTTTCAGTCCTCTTTTTCATTTGATTCGATTCTTGTCTTCTTCTTTGGTAGATTAGATTGTTTTCAAAAAATCTAAAGATGGAAAAGAGGGATTCTTCCTTCTGTTCGCCAGAAGCGGTCGACCTTTTCATATTCGTGGTCGACCGCATCTGGCTTTCATTCGATTTTTTCGTTTGATGTATAGACTGAGGTCGACCTATGATGATATTGAGGTCGACCTGTGAAGTTTTGCAACGATTTATGGCATTATTATTTAGATCTATAGCTTGAAACGAGGGATTTTCCCTTCTGTTCGCCAGAAGCGGTCGACCTTTTCATATTCGTGGTCGACCGCATCTAGCTTTCATTCGATTTTTTCATTTGGTGTATAGACTGAGGTCGACCTATGATGATATTGAGGTCGACCTGTGAAGTTTTGCAACGATTTATGGCCTTATTATTTAGATCTATAGCTTGAAAAGAGGGATTTTCCCTTCTGTTCGCCAGAAGCGGTCGACCTTTTCATATTCGTGGTCGATCGCATCTGGCTTTCATTCGATTTTTTCTTTTGGTGTATAGACTGAGGTCGACCTGTGAAGTTTTGCAACGATTTATGGGCTTATTATTTTGATCTATAGCTTGAAAAGAGGGATTTTCCCTTCTGTTCGCCAGAAGCGGTCGACCTTTTCATATTCGTGGTCGACCGCATCTTGCTTTCATTCGATTTTTTCTTTTAGTGTATAGACTGAGGACGACCTGTGACATTTTGGTACGAGTATTTAACCTTATTCGGACTCGTTTCAATTTAGCCGAGGTCGACCTATGATGCTTCTGAGGTCGACCTATGAAGGCAAAAGTTCGAGTTGTGCCATTGTCTTTGAATTATTTGTGCGAAACTAACACTGGTCGACCTCTTCTAATTATGAGGTCGACCAGATCTGTTTTGCACTCAATTGGTACGAGCATTTGGGCCATTTCGTGCTCGTTTCAATTTAGCCGAGGTCGACCTATGATGCTTTTGAGGTCGACCTATGAAGGCAAAAGTTCGAGTTGTGCCATTGTCTTTGAATTATTTGTGCGAAACTAACACTGGTCGACCTCTTCTAATTATGAGGTCGACCGGATCTGTTTTGCACTCAATTGGTACGAGCATTTGGGCCATTTCGGGCTCGTTTCAATTTAGCCGAGGTCGACCTATGATGCTTCTGAGGTCGACCTATGAAGGCAAAAGTTCGAGTTGTGCCATTGTCTTTGAATTATTTGTGCGAAACTAACACTGGTCGACCTCTTCTAATTATGAGGTCGACCGGATCTGTTTTGCACTTAATTGGTACGAGCATTTGGGCCATTTCGGGCTCGTTTCAATTTAGCCGAGGTCGACCTATGATGCTTCTGAGGTCAAACTATGAAGGCAAAAGTTCGAGTTATTTGTGCTAAACTTGTTGAGGTCGACATGTGATGATATTGAGGTCGACCTCGGGCCATTTAAATCGATTGAAAGCCAAATGTTCATGGGGAGTGCAGTGCAGGACATTAGGCCACCTTGTAATGCACTCGAAGACACAAACATCTGCTGCTTTCACCGAGTTCTCCTTTGCTTGTCGGTGACCGGCATAGGGTTGCAAAGGATAACTCGGTGAAGGCAGCAGACGTTTGTGTCTTCGAGTGCATTCCAAGGTGGTCTAATGTCCTGAACTGCACTCCTGATGAAAGTCACATCTGGTTTTCAATCGATTTAAATTTTCCGAGGTCGACCTATGCTTCTTCTGAGGTCGACCTATGAAAGCAATTTTGTACTTGAATTGTTACGGGTTTATGTTGACCCATTCTCGTTTTAAATTAACTGAGGTCGACCTATGCTTCTTTTGAGGTCGACCCATTCTCGTTTTAAACTAACTGAGGTTGACCTATGATTCTTCTGAGGTCGACCCATTCTCGTTTTAAATTAACCGAGGTCGACCGCTTTATGGAGTGGTCGACCGCGTATTGTTCATTTCGAAAATGTGACTAACGTGTATTCTTGCTTGTTTGATCGCAGGATGTTTGCCGGCAAAAAGAAAAGAAAGGCACAAAAAGCTGCTGCCTCAAGTTCGGAATGGGAAGAGTTCAATCCCAATATGTTCCAGACCAAGGAGCAAAGTGAGAACTATGAAGAGAAGAGAATGCACAACCGCAGGGTGGCTCCGGGAAGGCCATTGACGACGGATGCGTATTCTCATTTCAAGAATTACGGGTTTCTGGGACCCTTCATTGAGCAGGAGTGGCTGAAGGTGATATCACTCAAATGACTCAATGTACCATACTACCCAAAACTGGTACAATACTTCTACAACAACATCGTCTACGAGCGCAATGCAAATGGATCCATTCACGCATTCAAATCCTATGTGAATGGGGTGGCGATGCGCATCAGCAAGAATGTGTTGGCGCAAGTACTTGAGGCTCCAAACGAGGGGAAGAGAATCCATTCTTACGGTGCTTGGAATGAAACGCATTTCACGAGAGCCAAGCAAATCCATACGCTATGTGGTCTTTATGAAGAGGAAGATGCTTAGGGGCGCAATAGGCCAACGAGTAACCACCTGACAGTTCAAGCCAGAGTTCTTCACCACATGCTTTCCTACAACATTCTGCCAAAGGGTGGACATCGGGAGACAGTCACCTACTTCGACATGGAGCTCCTCACCAACCTACTGTTAAACGAGTAGGTGAACTTGCCATACTTGATCTTTAACCACATGCTTACTGCTGCAGAGGGTTCAAACAGGAATCTTCCCTATGGGATGATCCTCACTGTGCTATTTGAGCATTTTAATGTGAATTTAAGTGAAGAGGTGGGGTTAAGAATCTCAAGGCAGGAGTTCTATACTGTTTCATCTATGAAAACGATGGGCTTTGAGCTGCGTAATGGTGAGTATGTCAGAGTAAACAATGCTCATGGTGGTGATGATGATGATGATGGTGATGAAGGAGCTCGAGACGAGCCAATGGCGGAGGCACAGAGTTCAACTCCACCGATCACCTTACAGCGTGTGTGGGAGCGCATGGATGGCATGTACGAGTACATGGGCCAGATGTCCACCCAGATGACTGGCATGCACGACTACATGGGGCAAATGACCGCCCAGATGAGCACCATGCAGGTGACCGTGAATGAGATGCGAGATGAGTGGCGATCTTTCAGCGGAAGATACATGCATCCCACCACATCCGACCACCATCATGCTAGCACCACCAATGAAGAAAATGTGGATGAGAGAGAGGGGGGAGATGAGTAGGAGAGAGGAGATTTTATATTGTGTGTTTTAGTGGTCAAAACGATTGTTGATTGTTATTCTGTTGTTTTTTTAGTTTTATTTTTATGTGTGAACAATTATGATTTCTGTTTTATTTTTAGTTGTTATGCTATGAATTGATGAGTCCTTGTTATAATTATTTATGACTAATTATGATGGTTTGAAACATAATTTATAGGATTAAAAGAACCACACAAATCGACATACATAAGCAAAAAAGACACGGGGCATAGGGTGACTTTCTTGTATTCGGCCGACCTCGTACCGGATTAGGTCGACCGCGAAACCAACACTTGATCTTCATTTTACGTCAAATGATTGGACACTTTGATAGAACACTTATCTTCATCTGGTCGACCTCTTTCCTTATCCGGTCGACCATTTTGTTAATGACTGCCATCAAGTGGTCGACCTATATACCTTAGGTGGTCGACCATGTAGTTTCTGACACCAACGAAATGGCCGACCGAGGTTTTATTCTGGTCGACCAAAAATAACAACTTAAACTAAGTGCGGTCAACCAGGTGGTCGTTGAGGTCGACCACAATGCTTTCTCGTACTGCCCAAATTAGTCAATTCGGTCGACCACCTTCAGGAATAGGTCGACCGAAAAGTACATGTCACCGTGACATGCATGTCATAGTAGGCATACCCAAAATTTTAAGAAATAAATAAGTTTTTTCACTTAATCACCGGATCTTAGCGGCTCTACTTCTCCGACGGGCGACGGACATTATATCAAGCACCTAGCGGGCATAAAGAAAACGTAATCGAACCTGGAATCCTCTGAAAAACTGATATTCCCCCCTTGGGCGAAGAACGCGTCCAGTGCTCGGGCCAGGATCCACACGGTGTCGTAAGCGTACAGCCCATAAGCACTGAGCCCCATGGCTCCGCCGGTCAAGTTAGCCCACCTGTTCACGAACTCGGCTTTGAGCTCCGAATCCGGTGTGTGCATCCGCAGCGTGAGCACTCCCTGTACATCCTCCACAGCCTCGGGAGCAAGATCGAGCTCGGTGTCGAGAATCGTGGAGAACCAATTGGTGGCTATCCAGACGTAGCCGGGGTTCATCATGCCCAGATACCGGGCGACGGCGAACACCATCGGCCCCCAGTAATCCGGCACGTGGACCAGCAGAATCCGCGACTCGCCCATCGCGGCCTGGACCAGGACGTCGGTGATCTCCTCCCTTGTGGCCTTGGTGCCCAGCGGCGCCTTGAACGAGATCCTGCATCTCCTGGCTGCCAGCTGGTCGCCCAGCGCGGAAATCCCGTTCCTGCCGTGGTCGTCGTCGCCGTAGATGGCGATCACCTCCCTCCACCCGTAGTGCTCCACGATGTCGGCGACGGCGGCCATCTGGTAGAGGTCGCTCTGAGAGGTCATGACGAAGAACGGGAACTGCAGCGAGTTGAGGGTCGGGTCGGTGGCGGAGAAGGAGAGCATCGGGACGCGGAGCTCGTTGGCGATGAACGACAGCACGTGAGCTGTCACCGACGACTGTGGGCCGATTACCGCCACCGTCTGCGTCTCCATCAATCTTAGTACTGCAATTAAAATTAGGGATTAGGAGGGTATAAAGAAAGGATTTGAAAAAAAAAAAAATTTGCAGAGGTTGATCGATTAAGATAGGCATTAATTAATAATTACCTTCAATGATGCCGAGGAATCCGCTGAAATTGGTGTCGTGCAACGATGCCAGCAGCTTGGTTCGGGGGAGAACGGTGGGGTCGGAGTTGACGTCGGCCACGGCTGCCTGGATTGCGATTTTGGAAACTTTACCAATGATGGAGCGGAAGGAGAGAACCACCCCGATATTGACGGACTCCGGCGGCGGCAGCGTGGAGGAGCAGACGGCGGCGGCGGCGAGAATTAGGCAGCAAAGCAAGAGTCGAATCTGCTGCATGGTGTGCTCTCTGTTTCCGACTTACTTCCCACAGCGAGCCGTACCGAACAGGGACATAATTTTCCGGTGATATATAATCAAATAGTTAATGGCCGTACAAATCGGTGACGAAGATTAGATGGGTGTGGTGGATCGATTCTGATAGTGGGGGAGTGGAAGATAACGTTTGAAGGAGGAACCGAGAATGGTTAGATTATCAGTGTACTGTGTTTGAAGGCTGCTTTCTGTCTCTTTCGCCATTGTTGGCTCACAATTTTGGGGTTTAGCTATGTCCCTGCTGTATTGTCATGGTGACCACCTTCTTCAGTTGCCTCCACTGTGTAATAATACCAAGATTTATTTAGCAAAATACCAAGACTGTTGATGTAGAAGGAGCGATATTATATGGAGCGGGAACAGTGGATTTCGGAATCATAACCCTCGGAGGCTTGCAAATTCATTGAACTTCTGCATTCCGAAATACTCGAGTTCATCGCTCAATTGGCTGACGGTTGTGAATTATGAACTGGGGCATACTCCATCAGCTGACAGATGGTTGATATATTTATGCCGATTAGTGGCGGAAGCAGAGTTTGAAAGTATATGCATCCTCTTTCCATAGTATAAATGTATAATAAATAAATAAATATTTAATAAATATAATTAAAACTAACAGTATCCAAATAATTCATTGATAGATATTAATGAAATACTAGACGAACACCATCATTATTTTCATAAGCACTAACAACACGTTTTCAAATTCTTAATTTATCCGACTAAGCAATCATTAGCAAAGTGGTTGCAATTTGACTTTGAAACTTGTTTTTTATGTAGCTCAAAGCTGAAAATGTTCTTTATACACTTGCAGTTGCAACGAGTAGAGTAAAAAATAACTACTGAAGACAGAGAGATCGATTTTTTAGTTTTGTGAATTTTGTTTATAGTGATAAATTAGTTTATATTAGTTTTTAAACTTAAAATAACTTGTAGTGTAGTGATAACTCACTTTTATATTACCTAAAGGTGATGAGTGTAATCCTTAATTGATATATATATATATATATGGGTATTTTATTTTACCCAAAAGTTACCTGTGTCCCGGGACACATCCAATAGGCCTTGGCTCCGCCTATGCGCCCGATCATTCCAATTCCACACAACAAACAACAAACAAGCGTATTTGGTTGTGGTTTTCTTTTTTGAAAGACGGGAACTCCTATTCCAACCGAACTAGAGGTACTAGTATAGACATTAAAGAAAATGGGGCAACAGATCAGCCGAAACAATCTATTCATTCGGGAGGCAACCCAACCGAGCATTGCGCGGAACCTAGTCAGCCAACAAGTTGAGACGCCTTGGCACGATCACAACCATAATACAAGGTGAAGCCCGGAGACAACAAATGATGCTCGCCAGAAACTCACAACAGTGCCAAGGCCAGGAAATTGTTTTAGAGCAATCGTCAATCTCTGTCAGTCAATCTTGATAATCCTGCGCTGCTATTGAAACTGCACTCAAAATAACATATGCTTCCGCCTGAATTGGTAAGGAACAAAAGAAAGTCTCCATCTTTTCGTCATACGCTTGACCATGAGAATTAGCAATAGTAATCCCATACGCCGCCACCTGAGACTCATACACAAATGAACCATCACAACTCACAAACTTATGAAAGAGGTTAGGCGGGGTGGTAAGGAGTAAGAACGAGTTTCTCCAGGCAAAGAGGTCCAACTAGCAACACGGTGATTTGAATGGTTAGACACATTGATCCTAGCATCTTGCAAACTCTGAAAATCACAGTTAGCTAAAATATCCGAAAAGGGCGGGAAAGTAGCCTTTCTATCATATACAAACCAATTACGTGCAATCCAGATGCTCCATAAGCAATAAATGATCTTCTTAATATGTTCAAGAGGAAATCCCTCTTGAGATTAAAGAACCAGTCTGCAAAGTGAGCATCCAGAGGAGGAATGAAGGTAGCACACCAAAGTTTCTCCATGTGTCTCTCGCACGCTGGCAGTGGAAGAAATAATGCATAATCGTCTCGTCCTATCTCTCGCAAATTTGACAAATCGGACTCTGAGTGCATTTCCAAGAGAAGAGGAGCGAATGCGCAAGTAAAGCTCTCTTGATGCTCTTCCAAATGAACCTGAGTTTGAGAGGGAGGGATAAGGACCAAAGCCATCTCCAATCATCCCTATCTGGTCTGATCCCATTGTTAATGACGGGGAGATTTCCATTGTCCCTAGATTCTCAGAGTGAGAGATAGCCAGAGCCCACACTATATGATCTCGTATTAGTAAACCTCCAAGTCCATGTATCACGAGCACCTAGTGGATCAATAGGGACTCTCATAATAGTTTGTGCCTCCTCCTCCTCAGGAACATAATTCCTCAAGGCTTCATCATCCCACTCCCAGGAGCTTGGATTGAATTAGTAACACTCTAGAAGGCTCCAACCCTAGGAAACCGAGTGGAAAGAGGGGAGGGAATCCACGAATCATAGTGGGAATATGATCCTTCATCTGCCACAATACATTTGAATAACCCAATTCTCAATTGCTTTTTAGTATCACAAAAATCGTTCTAAATCCGTGATCCCTTACGTCATTTTGAAGCTGACAATAAATCACCATTAGCATAGTAGAGACCCTTCATTAATCTTACCCATAAAGCATTCGGGTTCTCAAGCATACACAGAATATGTTTCCTTACAAGAGCAATATTAAACAAGTGGAAGTTCTTGAAACCCAATCCTAAATCCTCTTAGGAAGTTTAAGAGTACAAGCATTGCACTAGTGAATTGATTTTTTTTCAGCAAACCAAACCAGAAATAGCGTTTAAGAATCAAATCCATTCTGTTGGTTTGGGATAGATGGAGAAGGAAAACACTCATGATGTAAGTCTGTAATGTTTGAATAACTTCCTCAAGAAAAACTTATTGTCCCCCGATGATAGAAGAAGGTTCTTCAATGATTACCCTCTTCTTTCCATTCTTTCCCGTAAGAACAAGAATGACTCCTTTTAGATTTCCCCCACTCAGATGGAACCCCAAAGTACTTGTCATGACTGAAAGAAGGAGGGAATCTAAACTTGTGAGTCACCAAATTTCTAAGCTCCAGTTGGGTGTTCTTGCTTAAAAAGATTGAAGATTTTGATGAATTAATCTCTTGCCCTGTAACCGCCCTATAATGCTTCAGAATGTTAAGAATGTGATCACCTTCTCTGACAATGGTCTTTTTAAAGATAATTGTGCATCTGTAAATATACAGTGTGATAGTCTTGAGCAATTCTGGTTGAGTTTGATTCCCTAAATGTTCCCTCTTACCACTACTTGATCATTAAAAAAAGTAAAGCGCATTAGACATAAGAATGAACAAGAATGAGGAGTTAAGGTCACCTTGTCTAATTCCTTTTATTGGTTGGAAAGGTTCGTTTGGAATTTTATTAAGTAAAATAGAGAAGTTAACGGTGGCCCTACGACAAGCATTCACCCATCCTTTCTTTTGTCCGAAAAACCACAGGCCTTCAAAATTGAATCCAAACAATCCCAATCTAAAGATAATTAATCTCTTGCCCTGAAACTGCAACAACTGTCAGACCTGAATTGGGAAATCCTTTTCGGAGCTTGGACATTCGAAATGAGAGAAATGTGTGTGGCATTCTATCATCGAGGCATTTTTGACGTTTGAAAGAACTCCAACACTTCATTGTAGAAATCAAGGTCAACTTTATCCCAATACTTTGGGAAAAACATTCCAGCGAAACCGTCAGGACCGTGAGAGTTTGTAGGTCCAAGATTAAAGAGTGCCTTTTGATTTCTTCAATGGAAGGGTGCCTACACAATTCATCATTCATTTAATCCGAAACCAGATAGGGGAAGACATCTAAGGCTAAGATCAATGCAGCCAAAAGCGCAATTCTAAATAGAAGCGGAAAATGAGTAAAATCGTAAAGCGTAGAATTAAAGCGTAAGTTTTTTACGTATATTGTAAAATAACTAAAAATCTGTTAAGTTTGGCATATACTATGTAAAATATGAGCGCACATAATTTAGATAAGTTAATAAATACCTGCAATTCATGTCTAAAGTACAACAACTCATAGCATCTTAACTGTAAGTTCATAAACATAGATCGTAACAATAAGTCACAGTTCCCTCTATGCTAATGAATTTGGAAAGGGCCTGCTAGTGAATTAGATTACTTAACTGAAGCTAGAAATGCATCCAAGTACCTAGTATATATCTTTTACTCTGTTACAGAGTGGTATAAGATCCAACATAACCTTCTCCCAACAACTCGAGTTATTGGGACCAACTGGTTTATGACATGGTATAAGAGCCCAAACTTGTTCCAAATTAGTTGTTGCCGGTCCATCCTCGCCCGAACCTATTCCAGATGAGATTACATGCGGACCATGCACATCATGCTTCCACGTCATTTAGGACTCCTAGTCCTTCTCATATTGGCACAAGTTGTACCCTAGTTGATCGTGTTGCATTAGGGTATATAAACACTAGTATGGCTATAGCCGAAACCTATCAATGAGAAACATAATCTTCTGTGGACGTAAGCATCACACACAATGAGGAAGAACCACGTTAAAATCGTCTCTCTCACAATCTCTCTTTACGATTTATCATGGTATCAGAGCTGTAGGTCCATCCCTAGTGTTTTCCGCCGTCGTTCCCCATGAGTCTCAAAGATGAGGATGTTGTTTTGTTCGACGGTGCCACTATCAAAGCCGAAAAGGGTCTGCCTTCGGTTTATTTGTTGTCTAATTCTGATAGTCTCGACAACATGCTAGTTGGATACGTATTGACGACATCCAATTATGGAGGGTGGGTTCTTGACATGAAAGATGCTCTCATCGCCAAGAACAAGTTTAGTTTCGTGGATGAAAGTTTTCCTAAGCCTAAAAATTTGTGTTTTACAATGGCGCAACTAGAGCATTTGAAGACATTCTTCAATTCTGCTCAAAAGGTGATTGATGAACCCGCGACGCATATGGCAACACAATTTGGGCACTCGGCCAAGCGCATTCAAGCAGACAATGGACTCGTGTTTAATACTCCTGTGCTTCGAGATTACTATGATCGTGAAGGCATCTTACTACATACATCTTGCACAAATACGCCCCCATCAAAACGAGGCGGTAGAGCGCAAGCACAGACATATCCTTGAAACGACACAGGCATTGCGTTTTCAAGCCAGTTTGCTCATTTGGTCTTGGGGTGAGTGTGTACTCACCGCGGTATACCTCATCAATGAACTTCCAACTCACGCCACTGGCAAGACATCGTTCAAGATGCTTTTTTGGAAGCAAGCTACTTATTATCATTTGCGGGTTTTTCGTTGTTTGGTTTACTACAAGGATACTTGTGCTCACCTCGATAAGTTTGTTGAACGAGGACGCGCTGGACTCTTCCTGGGTTATGCTATCAGCCAGAAAGGTTACCGGATCTATGACCTCGACACTCATCGTTTGGTCACCTCTCGTGATGCCTGCTTTCACGATACCCTTTTTCCCATGCAAGATGATATTAGGAACACGTTGCATTGGATACCACGTCCCCTCTCTTCCTCTTCGGTCGTTGTTGAGTCTAGTTCTGACTCGTCCGTAGCTGTTGCATCTCCTCATGCCCTGAATATTGCGTCTGGTGCTCCAGATGAGCCGAGTACGTCAGCATCTCCTTCGGCGGACCCATCCTCATCCGACTCAGCGCCTGGTGGTCTGACTGAGCCTGTTAGGCTTGCCGAGCATGTTGCCCCATCCTCTCCTATCCAACCAACAGAGTCTTGGTCCTTTCCTCTCTTAGACTCGCCTTCATTGGATCAACACTCTTTCTCCATGGAAATCGAGGCCTCTGGTTCTTCACCTGGGCAGCTCACTCCCCAAGTCCCTCACCAAGGTGATAGAGTGCACTTTCGTCCCAAGTATTTGGCTGATTATGACACTTGCTATTCGACTACTGCGGGGGAAGTACCACTCATTATGTCTGTTATCCCCTTGCTGCTTATGTCGATTACACTAAATTTAAACCTTCTTTCCGTGCTTTTCTTGTAGCACAGAATCATCATGATGAGCCACACACTTTTTGCCAGGATGTTCTCAAGAAGGTTTGGTGTGATGCCATGACTCAAGAAATACACGCACAGGAAGAGAATGGGACTTGGAGCCTCATCCGATTGTCGCCTGGAAAGCGAGTCATCATCCCCAAATAGGTTTACAAGATCAAGTTTTTACCTGGTGGTACTATCGAGCTCCATAAGGAGCGCATCGTTGCCAAAGGATATACGTAGATTGAGGAATTGGATTTTCATGATGTTTTTGCTCTGTAGCAAAATTTGTGACCGTCCGTTGTCTTATTGCGGTCCCTGTCAGTCGAGGATTGCATCTACATCAACTTTATGTCAACAATGCTTTTATTCATGGGGATCTTGATAAAGAAATTTACATGGAGATTCTTGAAGGTTTTCGCGAGCCTGGTGATACACGGGTATGTCGTCTGCATAAGTCTCTCTACGGTTTACGACCAGCATCGCGCCAATGGTACCGAAAATTCACCACTACATTGTGTGAGCTGGGTTTTCAGTCTTCCCCAGCAGACACGACTCTCTTTATCTACCACCGGGGGAGTGTTTTTGTTGTGGCGTTAATCTACATGGATGATGTTCTCTTGGTTGGGACATATTTTTTGTTTATATCTCGAGTCAAGGCTTTCCTCCATCATCGATTCACCATCAAGGATCTTGGCCTCATGCTTTTTTTTATTGGCATTGAACTCGCCCATATGACTGATGGGGTTGCTCTTAGCCAACGCAAATACGCTCTGGATATCCTTGAGGACGCAGGGGTTGAAGGCTCACACCCGAGTGATTTTCCCATCGAGCAGAACCATCAACATACACGTCCCTGTGATGAGCGCCTATTTGATCCTTCTCCTTATCGACGACTTCTGGGCATCTTCTTTATCTCACCGTCACTCATCCAGACATCACTTATGCGATGAGCATCTTAAGCCAGTTTGTTCATGGTCCTAGTCAAATTCACATGACTGTAGCTTTTTGGGTTCTGCGTTATCTAAAGACCACGCTAGGCCAGGGTTTTTTCCCCCAAGACTAGCTCTCTTCGTCTAGTTGCTTACTGTGATGCAGATTTGGGTGGCTGTTAGACTACTTGTCGTTCTACCACTGAATAATTTGTAAGTCTTGGAGGCACACCAGTATCTTGGCGCACGAAGAAACAACGTGTGGTGGCTCGTTCATCAGTTGAGGCTGAGTATCGGGCTATGGCGAGCACAGTCGGTGAGGTGCTTCGGATTCAATGGCTGTTGCAAGAGCTTGGAATTTTGTAGCCCGTTCCAACGCCTCTTCACTGCGATAATCAAGCTGCCATACACATCGTCAACAATCCAGTTTTCCACGAGCGCACTAAGCACGTCGAATGGATTGTCCTTTTGTTCGGGAGCCCGTTCAGTCTGGCCATGTCATGCTTGTTAAGATTCATACTGATCGTCAACTGGCCGACATTTTCACTAAAGGGCTTGGTGCCGAGCGTTTTCGTAGTTTGTTATCCAAGCTGAGTGTGCGTGATCTTCACCGCTGAGCTTGCGGGGGAGTATTGAGCCGAGAAGCTGTTGTTGGTCCATCCTCGCCCGAACCTGTTCCAGATGAGCCACATGCGGCCCATGCACATCATGCTTCCACATCATTTAGGACTCCTAGTCCTTCTCGTATTGGGACAATTGTACCCTAGTTTATCGTGTTGCATTAGGGTATATAAACACTTGTACGACTATAGCCGAAACCTATCAATGGGAATGTAATCTTCTGTGGACGTAAGCCTCACACACCGTGAGGAAAAACCACGATAAAATCGTTTCTCTCGCAATCTCTCTTTACGATTTATCAATCTCAAATGTATCATATTATTGATGAGTTACCTTTAAAATATACTTTTTATACTTAATTTCATGAAAAGAATACTCATTAAGTGAACTAAAAGCGTATAAGTGTAAAGCATTTTGGTGAACTAGAAACGTAAAAGCACAAGCCTTTAAGCTTTAAAACGCAATTTAGTTCGATTTTATATGGAAACGAAAGCGTTTTGGTGATCTAAAAGCGTAAAACTATAAGCTTTTAAGTTTTAAAACTTGATTTTGACTGCATTGACGAAGCTGTCAATGTTGTTAGTCTTTGTGAATAAGGATTAGTAAAAGCTCGTAATAAGATCAACAATATAATTTGACTAGGAAATTTCATTACCATCATCATCTTTCATCGATGCAATCTTGTTTCTCAGCTTTCGGTGTATAGTAGAAGCGTGAAACAATTTAGTATTTTGATTGCCTTCCCTTAACCCAACTCTCGATCCTTTACTCGATTAGAGCTCCTCATCCTTCTAGCTGATTGCGAGTTCATTCAACAATTCTTTCACCTCAATCACAATGTTTTCAATTCTGTCGAACTTCAAAATATCATATGATCTTCTTTGGATCTCCATGGTGTGAACAAGCAATCTCGTGTATTGACAGAGAGGGAAGAAGGCATATGCTTTCAATTTCTCTTTTGATAAAAAGAAAACCAAACGACACAAATAAAATATTATCATTAAACCACATTACCGAATATTTATGTAATATCATTTTTTATATTTGTAACTTGATTTTATTATTAACCCACATATTACGGAATATTTATATAACACTGTTTTATAATATCTACGTAAATTACAAATAATTACTTAAAACATACAAAGCAATAGTTATTTTCTAGGGTTAAAGACACATTTGGTCACTGAGATTACAAAATCGGGACATGTTTAGTCACTAGAAAAAGTTAATATCAAATTTGGTCACTACAATTACTAAAATTGGACGCATTTAGTCACTCACCGTTAGTCTCCGTCCAACTCCGTTAATGAAGTCCGTTAAGTGCTGATGTGGCAAACATAATTGCCTAATCAGCCGGATATAACCCAACAAAAATAAAACCCTACCCGCCACGTCATTATAACCCGCCACCTCATTAAAACCAACCCAACCCAACCCATGACCCAACCCTACCCAACCCTTCTTCCTCCCACCTCGGCACCTCCCACCTCCTTCTTTCCCCAAAACCACCGCCGCCGCCGCTCTCCTCCTTCCTCCCACCTCCTCCCGCAAACCAGTTCTGGCCCGACCCGCCCTACGGCGAGACGAGGACGGGGAGGTTGTAGCCGTCGACGAGGCTGACGTCGAAGAAATCCTAGCCGCCGTAGCCGTCGAGCTTGAATTCGGCGAGCGTGGCGGGGGGTGCGGCGCCGGCGCCGAAGCACTCGACCTGGCCGGAGCCGCAGTCGCCGGTGATGCAAGAGAATTTGCCCATGGAGTCCTCGGAGCAGTGGGTCCGGCCCCAGAGGCGGGCGCCCCAGGAGGCCGGCGGGGAGATGGTCCGGGTCTCGCCCTTCCGGAGCGCGAATCCGGTGGTGGGCAGCGGCGCCACGTCGGCGTTGGAGAGAATGCCCGGCCAGACCGTGTAGTCGCACTGGTTGGTGATTGTGATGGTTGTGGAAACGACCCCGATTGGGAAGAAATTAGCAGTACCCAGGATGAAGAGGAGTAGCAATTGAGGAATTAGAGGAGCCGCCATTAAATCAATGGAAAAGAAAAGAAGAATAAGAGTTGAAATAAGATTTTTTTGGAATTGGGAATGACAGAGGAAGAAGATGAAGGAAGGGCGGCAGATTAATGGCGGAGAGATCTTCTCCCCGCCCAGCGAATTTGGATGGGATGGGGAAAACCTTAAATTGGGTTCGGCGGGACTTCAACAGGAGGAATCTTGACGATTACCCTTCAGCAGGTCGAATAGGTTTGTGGGAGGAGGTGGGAGGAAGGAGGAGAGCGGCGGCGGTGGTTTTGGGGAAAGAAGGAGGTGGGAGGTGCCGAGGTGGGAGGAAGAAGGGTTGGGTAGGGTTGGGTTGGTTTTAATGAGGTGGTGGGTTATAATGACGTGGCGGGTCGGGTTTTATTTTTGTTGGGTTATATCCGGCTGATTAGGCAATTTTGTTTGCCACATCAGCACTTAACGGACTTCATTAACAGAGTTGGACAGAGACTAACGGCGAGTGACTAAATGCGTCCAATTTTAGTAATTGTAGTGACCAAATTTGATATTAACTTTTTCTAGTGACTAAACATGTCCCGATTTTTTAATCTCAGTGACCAAATGTGTCTTTAACCCTTATTTTCTATTATCAATTAAACCATGTAAGTCCGACAATACATAAAATTACAAATAATTACTTAAACCATACAAAGCAATAGTTATTTTTTATTTATCAATCAAACCAACATATTATGTAAGTTTGATAATATATAAAACTTATGAAATAATAGTTATTTTATATATCAATTAAACAAAGTTACTACGTAATTTTTTCATAAGATAAGGTTGAATGAAGGAATAATAAAATTGCTTTATTATTAACTAAATTAATGTCCATACCATGAATTTGAATTACACAAAATCTCTGTAGTGTTAGTTTTTTTTTTACTTAGCGATTTCATATAATGTGATACTTTTCATAACTTAATCTCTTTATTATTGACTAAAATATTTATTATCTCAACAATTTTCATTACATAAAGATGTCGTAAGGTTATTTAACCTTTGCATAAAAATTTAATCACATTTCATATTCTCTATAATATGATTTTATTATTAGCCTACACATTACAGAAGATTTACATAACAACGTTCTATAATAGTTACATAAATCACAAATACATTCTTTAAACATTATGGAGTGATAAATATTTCTTATATATCTATTAAAAATTATTAAATAAGTCTTTCGTAATGATTAAGAAAATACTTAAGTTTATCTGTGAATATTTATTCTTATGTATTAATTAAATAAAAATATTATGTAAATATTTCTTAATGATTAAGACAACATGTAAAGTTTATGGTGTATCTTACACAATAATTTTATGAATTATTTATTTTTAATTTGTTTCTTACCGTCGAAAAATACGGGCAAAAAAATATTGTGAATTCACACCGAATGTGAATTCCTGGTTTGGTTATTTTCACCGTTCACCCATTACTATCATCGTGATTCAAGTGTATCTACTGTGAATCTATGATCATATAAAAGTCCATTAGGTACAAAACTAGCCCTCGTCTAGCGTATCTCATTACTCTCATCTCTTTTCTTTGGGTAACAAAAGAATTGAAAAGAAAAACTCTCAGTGAAATCAAAACTCTACAATACTCCACTTGTATGGCTGGGTGAATAGACTGATGGCTACTGTTGCTCCCAAGAAAATACAGGGGGAAAATGAGCATTGATCACTATAGTAATCCCAAAAAAATATCAATCTCTCTCTTACGTTTTGTATTGTATTGTGTATGGTTCTAGTCCTCTCTTTTTAACACTCCACTAACTTCTTACAATTTATTGATGTCTAATTTGTGTATTATACTCACTCACTTGTCACAAATTTCTAGTCCTTGCACCTAGCAATGTAGTGTTTTGGAGTATGTCAAAGAGGACCATCGTACATCCTTGTCAACTAGAAAACAACAATTTCGCCATTATATGGTTATATTTGTTCATGTTTTTCTATACGTTATTTAGGACACCTTTAAGAAGATCCAAACCCTCAGCCGAGATGCTTCTCCTCCGATGGATCCTAGGGATCTCGATTTTGGGAGGTGGATCCGACGAGAAACATACAACAACAACGGTTAAGTTGTCGCAAGAGTTGCGTTGTAAGGCCTCCTTAACCAAAGCCTTGGAGCACCTCGCGGGATCGTTGTGCTGCATAAGCTCCTTCCGCACCATGGTCACTGCGCACTGGCTGCTCATCACGTCCCACAATCCATCACATCCCAGGATCAAGAACTCGTCCTCTTCCGTCAGCTCCATCTCTTCTAGCTCAGGCTCCGCGCTCAGTGGGCTCTTGCCCCCCTTCCCACTCGCACCCTTGATGTGCCAATCTCCCAGAGCGCGAGCCACCGAGAGCTGCCCGTTTAGGTAGCCGTCGTATATCACCCCTCCCAATCTCTCTATCCTCTGCCTTTCTGACGTGCAATTGGGTTTGTGGTCCTTCGATAGCTCGATTGCTCTCCCTCGCTTCCCCAACACTGCTCGCGAATCTCCAGCATTCGCGATCAACATCCTCCTGCACCATCCACCAAACTAGACATCACCATCCTACTAGGGAGGTTTCCTTTGGATTGAATAAAAGCATGTTATCAACCATATCACTATATTTTTCAGAGTGATGATACTGGTTTAGTATTTTGAGTACTGGCTACTACAATGGCATGTTATAGTAGAGTCGCATTTTAACCCAATTAAGATTTAAGAATGCGAGTTGTTTTCAATTACTTAACAGTTAGTTAACAAATCTATGTGACCATTGATCAATTACCATGTATCCGTATAGAAATGGTCTGCTAAACTTGAGCATAATACAAGGAGTAACAGAAACATCATTCTCATTAACATGAACAAAATAACAAATGCAATTTAAGTGAATACGCAATTAAGTTGGTTGCTTATTACCTGCCGAGAATAAGAGCAGTGAGGGCGGTGGTGCCAGAGGAAGTGTCGACAGTTTTGGCATCGGCGAGCGCATGGTCGGCCTTCACAAACGCATTCCTCACCGCCTTCTTCGTCCCACTTGGGAACTGCGAGTCTTCCAATATGAATTCCAGCATGTTCTTCCTTGCAAACGACGCCGCGTCCACCCCTCCATGCCCATCAAAGATCTGCAGCATCAAGTAACAACAACATCATCATTACAGCTGTAATGACGGATTGAGTAATCAATTGGCAGGATTAGTAAACACACCCCATAAAATGCTGCGGATGGTGAAGGCAGCTCCTTGTACTTATGGCTGCTGTCGCTGTCGTTACTTGCTGCAGAAGTAGTAGACCCAAAGAGATGGTGGATATGTTGCTGCAGATCATCGACGCAAATGAACTCGTCTTCCATGAACTGTTTGGGGCCTTTCTCCGACCAACTTCCTGAACGAAACCATGGCTCGAACGAGGACTGCGTCTTGTCATTTGATGTTGATGATGAACCTGGAGATTTCAACCCGCCCATTCCCATATCTGATTCCTACGTCAAAGGCAACATAATAATACATACCACTACAAATATCCTCTTACAAACTAAAAAAAAATGCACATTTTTGTAAGGCAAAAAAACCATATGCGGGGAAGTAAGTAATAGAGAAATTAGCAAGCTCACAGAATCAGGCAAGAAAACAGAGCTGCTACAGTGGCGCATAGCGGATACATTTCTGGGCGGCTTTCCTACACTACTGAACTGGTTCATGTTCCCCAAAGTGTCACCCTTTTCGGCCTCCGGCGACGTCTCAGGGGAACCAAATCCCCCCTTGGTGCTGCCGCTGGTACTGCACTGATCGGTGCCTTTGCTTCCATCCGGTAGCCTGGGAATCTGGCCAGAAGGAGGAGGTGGGAGTGGAAGATCAGGCGGTGGAGAAGAAGTCGTCGCTTGCCCTGTTACACCCATCATCGCCATCCCCAAATGCCCATTCCCTTTCGTTAAATTTGGGCTTTAAGAAGATGCAACAAACATCAAGATTAGCTAGTTATGAGCTGGAGGCACGCACCCATACCGACTGGCAAACACGCCATTATCTTATTTTTCAATGAAGAATTGTTTTTGCTTTCTAGCTTGGTGAATCCCAAGAGATCAAAATCTTTTGGGTGTCCCCTGGACGGCATTGGGAATGGATGATGAGATCCATCAACAATTGAATAAGATTTCGTGAATTACACACAAAAAAAAAAACGTGATCAACTCTGTTCCTAGAGGAAGAAAAGAAAAACAGAGGACGACGACTATGGCGGATCAGTTCAGTGAAAAGAGGGCGACGAAACGGGAAAGATGGAGTTTCGGAAGTTAAGAACACAAATTGAGAAAACCCATTAAAGACGGGGAGGAAGGAAGAAGGGAGAGGGGTGAAAAGAAGAAGAATGGAAGTTAGGAGGTGAGATGCTACCGTAGCTTGGTAGTAGGAGATGGCGGACCGTTGAGAGGAAAGAGAAAAAATATAAGGTTTGGTCTTTCCCTCGTGATGAAGGGGATGGGTGGAGGGTTCCAAGTTACCCGGTTCCGCCATTGTCGGGCATCCGAAGAAATTGCTTACTATGCTTTGTTGTCGAGCTACCAGCATTTGATAGATTGATAACGCAGAGATATAAATGGAAGGTGAGAGCGTGTTGTGGAGAAGGGTGAAAGGAAAGGAAATAGAACGTGTGAGAGAGTGAAAGACAATTAACAAAATAAGCAAAATAAACGATTTTAATTTTTTTTTTTTACCTTTTTTCATTATATTTCAATCTAGAGTTAAACTACCGATAATATTGTTCGTTTTCGGCTTCTCTAACAAATTGTTAGAAACCCAGTTTGGGTGATTTATGTATTTGGACTAGTTTGTCGTTTTATTTATGTTTGATTGGTTTTGAATATTATTTTATGGTTTTTGGCGCATTTGGTTTTTTTTATTATAAAAGATTAACTTGTATCGATTAAAAAAGATAGTAAACACATTACCCCCTGGTATACAACCAGGACAGAAAATAAAAAGAACGACACATAGTCGGCTATAAATAGTCTTTCTAACCACCAAGTGGGCTACTTCATTGCTTACTTGACCTACAAATCCTACGCTAGCTAAGACCATTATGGATTGCCAACAAACAAAGAACTTCCTCGAGAATGGCTCCAAAGTGATAATCTTTTTTATCGGCCTGGTTTATCTTGTCAATGACCACCTTTGCGTCCCCTTCAAAACGAACATGTGAGAGGCCACAATCTAGTCAACATTGGATAGCCTTGCGGACCACTAATAGTTCTACTATTGGTGGATCATCAATAATTTCAATATGTACTCCCCTAGCCAAGGCAATCAAACCACTCCGGTCTTTTGAAACCATTCCTCCCGCCGAATGTGATCCATTCCTTGTTGCACCATGTCACATGCAAGTGAATAAGACAGGGTCTGAAGCGTTCAAGCACTCAATATGGAGGGGAGGAGCTGAGGTCACTCAGTCAGTTCGTAAACCGATCCATTCGTGGATTTGTTGATGATACTGACGCATCAATGATATAACCTGAAATTGTTTCCTTTCAAAGACAACCCAAATTATGAATTTCCATATCCGCTAGAGGGTCGCGACAACATTCATACTCTGATGGGGTTCATTGAGTAGTCGCATTAACTTCTTGAGAGAGAGAGAGAGATAGATAGAGAGAGAGAGAGAGAGAGAGTGTGTGTGTGTGTGTGTGTGTGTGTGTGTGTGTGTTTGTGGGAAGTTCTAGCAAGGGAGTCCTCTATATACTGAGGAGGCAGTGGGATTGCTTTGATTGCTCGTAACCTCTGGCAGGAACAACTGATTGAGCATCTCCCTCATTCCATCTTCCTTCTCCTTGCATTATTAATTCTGCTACTATTGGATCACTTACCTCCTGAATCACCTGGGGTAGCAAGGTGGGGCGTGCGGATGCAATCTGGGAACCCAACTGGAATTCTTAATGGAAGCTGAACGACCATTTCCGATCGGCCAAGGCACCCTTGCTGGAGCAAATGGTGATCATAGATGATACTTTGTCAGCCCCATGAGGGCCATGAACGCGTCGTAGCCGTGAGGAAAGATCCAGTTGGGAAATACTTTTCGTTGTAGACCTGGGCCAGGAGGGACTGGGGTTCATTAAGGATTCTCCACCTGATATTAGTCAAGAGTGCCTAATTAAAATGCTCAAATCAGCGAAAAACCAACCCCCATCATGCTTGATCTTGCACATATTTTTCCAAGACATCCCCGACAATATCCCAAAAGGATCGGAAGAATTTGCTAGCGAAACCATCCGAGTCAGTTGCTTGTGTGGACCCAATTGAAAAGACCGTTTGCTTAGTTTCAAGATATCTCATTCATAGCATTCGATATTGTCCTATCAATCGGGAGGTCAGCCACACATGAACAAAGTCTGGAAAGAATTAATAGCAATGTCTGCCTTCCCTTGTTCCTCCTTTATCCAGTTCCCATTATCATCTAGGGGTGGCAGTTCGGTTACCGATTATTGGTTAACCGACCGGTTAAACCAATAACTGTCCGGTTAAACCGATAACCATCTGGTTATCCACTAACCGGTAACCGAAGAAACCGAACTTTGATCGGTTATCGGAGGCTGGACGAAATGGTTTGTGTTCTTAAAAGTGGTTCGGTTAACTAATAACCGAGATAATCGAGAAACCAAAGTCTACACCGAACCCTAGATTTCTACTGCCAGTAAATTTTCTCTGCCACCCATTGGCAACTATGATCAGTCTCCTGATCGCGAACCTTATCCCAGTTGATGGGGTGGACTGATTTCACCTAATCTATCTATGCCTGGAGGGTCTTCATATTCCGTAAGGAATTTGTTGTGCCCGCCCTACTCCAGTCATACAAGAGATGGCAGAGGCGTTTCAGGCGCACCCAGAGCCTATACAGTAGGGATCTGTGAACATTTTCATTCCCACACATAGGTTACCATTGCTCGAACCTCCAGGTTATCTACCCAACAAACATCAAAACAGAAAAGTGGACGACTATTAAGAGTGTAGGGTTTATCTGGACGAGTGTAGACTTTTTCTCGGTTATTGATTCAATTTATTGTGTGGTTGACAAAACAAATTGTTCATTTTTATTCATTGTGGTCTATTTGGACCAGAATGTACCGCATCAGACCCCACAGGGGTGGTCTAGTCTGGACCGTACAGTACGTGGTTTGGTCTCTAGTCTATACTCCAGCCTTTCGGTCTAGACCATAGACCGTACATGTGGTATGTTCTGGACCTGACCGCACCATTTTCCAGCCTTAGAATCGGTCAAACGGAAATTGACCAGAAGCGGCCAGCAGGGGTGATTCAGGCCGACTAGGCCATTGGAAGGGCATGGGAGGGACTTTTGAGGCAATGTAGCCTCCCCTGGCAACCACAAAGGCTGGCCGACATCATTCTTGCTAGAAGTGGGATAAGGATTAGGAGCTAGGAATGGAAGTTGGAGTGATGAGGAGGACTGGGGTTTTGAAAGTTAATTTAGGAGGTGGCAGGATCACGACAACGGAGAGGAAGGTCACCGGGGCGGTCATGGCATTGGCAGGTTTGGTGGCTATAATTCTATGTATGAGGGTGAGGATGAACTCATATTTAGAACTAAGCCCTAGATCATTGAGCTTCTAAAATTCAACGGTCATGAGGATGTAGGGTTCTATATTTATGATACATATAGGAGGTTTAAGAATCACCCCACTCGAGAGGAGAGAAAGGCATATCTTGCGTCATTCTACTTGGAGGGAGATGCCCTCTAGTGGATGGACCGTTCATATGCATAGGCAGAGATGTTGATCACATGGCCGCGATTTAAGGAGCAGTTGTAGTACTAGTTTGGGAAATCGGAAGGGTGGCCGCTAGAGTAGCTGGCTAAGTTGAGATAGACAGGCAGTGCGGCGAAGCTTCGATCAGAATTATAGAGGTTAAGAAATATGTGCAAAGGTATGCCGGAGGAGAATTTGGTTGTCTTTGTCTTGTAGGTTTGAGGCAGGAGTAGGTGACAACGGTGAAGGTGTTCGAACACTGTCCCTTGAGGATGGCCTTCCGAATAGAAGTGCGCAAAGAAGAGGAGCCCGACACGAGTTCAGAAGGCCGCCAGAGGTAGTACAGGAGCTAGCGGTAAGATGGGAGTTGCGACCGCAGCTCCAGCCAGAGCAGTGCCAGCAGCAACGGCTGTAATGTCACCAAGAGGGCGACAATGACCTAAATTACCTCATCAAGATTTTTGCGAAGCTCACACTAGCAGAGATGGAGCAGAAGTGCAGAGATGGACTATGCTTCAACTGCGACGGGAGGTATACGGTTCGACACCTGTGCGCCAAGGGTCACTTGATGCTACTCCTATGCAACTTGGAGGATGAAACCTAGGAGCTCGCGACAAAGGAGGCAAAGGGGAACTCGTGTGTGCAAGTCACCTTGAGGGCAACATTGATTTCGAGAGGGATGGATTGTTAGAAAGTAGAAATCCACTTTTTGAGTGATTTTGGTATTCGGACTTGTTTGTCGTTTTATTTGTGTTCGGGTGATTTTGGATATTATTTTGTGATTTTTGGGCACATTTGGGTTATTTGGTTATTTTTGTTAGGAGGTATTATTCTGGGTAGTTTGTGGGAATTATTTGGGTTATATATTCTGTAACTAGTGGGTATTTTCTCATTAGACAAATACATAACAAAATTCTCTAAACTCTAATCTCTCTTTTCTCTCTCTCTACCCGGTGAAACCTCTCACTTTCTTCCCTCATCATCGTCGTTGGCCACCCCTTGGTCGCCGACCCTCTTCCCCCTCAATCCCCCTCTCTTTCCCACATATATATCCCTAATAAATCCCTAATCTCCAATTCTCTATAGATCCTAATCTCAGAACCCTAGACTAAAACGCTGGCTTCTAACACAAATACTTTGTGAAACATACTCCATCATTATAGAGCTAAAATTTTGTTTTACATTTGTCATTAGAAATTTAAAATTGCATAAATGATCACTAGCTTTGAGTTTTCGTTTCACTCGCCATTATTTTTGTCAAATTTGTTCTACGTGGTGGTCAATTTTAATAGTTGATAATTAAATGAGTGATGCGCATTGTTATAATGGACCCAACAGTTTTTAATAGTTTGACATGAAACCAGATGAACCATCCCAGTTTGCCTGGTCCACTAGTTCACAATTTAACCACAAACGATTAAGAAAAAAATACTTTAACATAAACTAAGATCATCCATCCTCAGTCACATTTATGCTTCTTTTCTTCATTTTTCAATCTCCTTGTCAGTTATATGTAGTCCACCAGGGATTGTCACCCTGATTACTGACTTGAAGTTAATAAAAAAAAATTGATTGCTTTTTATGATAAGTATGGATACTTTGTTAATTTTTTTTTTTGTGATAGATGATAGGGGTGGCTATACGGTCCGGTCCTGTTAAGTTGGACTGAATTGATCCGGTCCCGGTCCGGTCATTTTGAGAATATAAGGACCAAAGATTGGATTGAGTACAGTCCGGTCTTGAACCGGTTTGGTCCCAATTCAGTCTTGATTTTAGATTGAACTTGTGGGGATTTTAGTGGTCTGAGGGGGGATTTGAGTGGCCTAAGGCCTGAAAGGGTAAGGAGGTTAAATTTTTGGGTGTTGGGCTCTCTTATCCGGTCTTTATCAAGTTTTCGATCCGGTCCCAAACGATTTTTTACCTCAAATCTTGGCCCAAAGATTGGATCGGAATGTTTGTTATCCAGTCTCGGTCCGGTCTTAGTCTGGGTTATACGGTCCAGTTTTGGGTAAAACCAAAAAGCTCGGAACAAATAGCCAGCCCTAATAGATGATATGAATTTGAATTAGTTTATGGTTAGTGATAATTTCACTCCTAAATTAGTGTATTACATGTGTTTTATGCTACAATACATGAACGTTTCTATCAACAATTTACCAACGGTTCTATAATGGTTAATCGTTGAACCATTATTTTCAATTAACCTCTGAAAATCAAATGAAATCAATCGGCTAAATAACAACGTGAGAATTAACCTAGGGTATCGAAACCCGTGGAATACGACCTTGGTCGCAATTTTTGGTTATACTTGGCTCGAAATGGGGTAGTTAGTCAGGCCATGTAAACAATTGACATGACCTGCACGAGGGAATCGACCAGAAGGCCAACGATTTCCTGTCGTCTATCTCAACCGCCGAGAGCTCCGACCATGCCGCTGACCTTGATATGCTCTTGGAGAAAGTTGTCGAGTGAGGCGATGAAGAATTTGGATTTTTGGATTCTCAGAGTATAGGGGTGGGCAACGTCCCGTCGAGTTTGAAATGGGTACCCAGTCCAATTGGGAGAGGAAACTCCATCCCATGTCCCAAACCTGTACGGATTAACGAGTATCTATTACCCGTGCGAGACGAATAACGGATACCCACGGGTAGCCCATACTAGGACTTACATGATTCACTGTAAATACCACACAGCCGGAAATTGTTGGTGAATGAGAGAAGGCTACTATTTGGAACGTCAAATCAAACCCGGGAAGCGAACCCAGAGAAGTAGACACTGTTCCTCATAATACAGGTGAATTCTAGAATGAGATGACAAGAAACTTGCAAACAATGTCAACCCGTTTAGAGTACTCATCTTTTCCCAGATTATGTTTGGTTGATCCAACCTAAATATAATCGGATTCTGACTGCAACCGGAATAAATAACCAAAATATCATCATGATGCTCGGTCATAAATTTCCCCTTCCACCAATTCTTAGCAAAGAAGTTCTCAGGACATTTAGGTGGCGGCACAACAAGAACATTCCAAGTACGTTCAGTCGGGTTGAAAACACCTAACCAACCTGTAAGACTCAAGTAGTAAAAGACTCCATCAAAGAAAAAAATTTGTTCCATATACTACTAATTAACAAAAGGCAACTGTTCTTGGTAATTAACAGTAACTCATTCAGTTTCCCCAGGTAGACAAGTGCTGATAGCAACAAAGTAGGATTGGGTGGGTAGTACGGGTACCCGTATATCCATACAACACAATTTTGACCCAGATCGACCGTGCCAGACAATTTTGGGTTACCATCTAACAATGAGGTCCGCTGAATTGAATCTTCTCCAATCACCCAAAAAGTTCAACAACTTTTATATTACGAAAAACTTTTCAAAATTATCATATTACTCGAGAAATCTTACACTGGTAGTTTGTCGATTTGTCTTACACTTGTAGTTTGATAGTAGATTTACACTATTATTCATTATGCATGAGATTATCATTTGAGATCACGAACCCACAACCCATTAGACGTTCGCCCTGTGGCTATGGGAGAGTGCATTGGGTGCTAACATCTCAAGTTTTAGCACCATACTAACACTTACTATAAGGGTACTATAATAATTATCCCTTCTCTATTCCCCTTCCATTTACGTTTCTTTTCTATGTTTCATTTACAAATTACAGTATTGATACATGAACTTAATATATATTAATATTTAGTAGCTAAAATTAAAAAAATTACATTTGAGTCGTAAAAAATCAATGAAAATTTACATTTTAGTACCTGGAAATTTTATTTCTTACATTTTGGTACCTAAATATTTTAAAATTTACAAACAGGTCCACTGCTAAGAAACTTCTAGCCTGCTTTGAAAAACTTATGACCTACTTTGAGGCTCAGACCTACTATGAGGAAGTTCTGGCCTACTTTGATGTGGTTCTCACCTACTTTGAGGAGGGTCCGGCCTACTTTGATGTTCTGACCTACTTTGTGGAGGTTCTGGCCTACTTTGAGAAGTTTCTTGCCTATTTCGGTGGCCCTTCTCCCTTCCTCACATTTAATGCAAAAAAGATGTTGGTCCCTCACTTCCATGACCCATTTTATCATAATACCAAACTTGCTCATCTTTCTCATTCTCTCTCATTAATTGTGGTCAACTCATTCAGGGCCGACATATGATATTCAGAGGCCCTGCTTGAAAATAAATAATGCGACCCTAAATTTTTTTAGGCTTAGAACTACCAGATTCAAATTTTCTACATGACATAATTAAAAATTGTTACCAAAGATTAATGATTCAAGTAGGCAAGGATCATTAGGAAATCAACTAGCACTAATCAAAATTTTCCAAGGCAAATCCCTGGAAAAAAAAAGTGGTTAGAATGTTAGGACACACTTGGGCCAAAAAAAAAACAGATAAAGAACACAAATTTCAAATTTGGCCATTCCAAATTTGGCTCATTGCCTCTCCAATACCATTGCCAGCCAAAAAAAAATCACAAAAAATACTCCCTCAACCTCCAAGCAGAAGCAGGAGTAACAGAGCATCAGGAGAACAGAGTCTCCAATTCCAATTTCCAAACTCCATTCGCCATTCCCATTCAACCATTTCCCAAGACAGCCAGGGACAGGAAATTCTTACTGATTTCCGAACCACGGCGGAGAGACGAAAGTCGCCAAGATGGAACTGGGATTCTCGGAACCAAGGGAAGAAGGCGAGCGGGAGCGTCGGAGCGGAAGCACCGAACCAGTCGGAATAGTGATTAATGAATTTATTTCGGCTAATCGACTGCTTCAGGCTTTAGCAAGGAAGGGAATGATTTGTTCAAACAAAGAAATGAAAATCGAAGGCTGGGGGTGGATGCTTCACCTTCTTGGCCGAGTATTTAAGGGTGATTGAGGATTGATATATTGAGTTGGAGTGAGAAGAGAAACGTTGGTGGCTTAGTGACGTTGGTTTCTTTTTGGGAAGGTGAGAATTTTGGGGAAACCATTAATCATTGATGATTTTGGGATTGGGAGGTTACGAGAATTGAGGAAGAGAAGCAAATAAGGAGGCTGGAGGGCGAGATACATGTTGAACAGGGGACTCTTCGGCTACCGATGGAATTAGGATTAATTATTTTTTTATATATGTATAAGTACATGGGCCAACATTGTGAGGCCCCAAATATTATGAGGCCCTGTGCTGTGGGTCAGACCAACACAGGGTCTGGATCGGGCCTGAATTCATCCAAATAATAAAGTCATCCAAACGAAATGTTCATATTGACTTAAGCTAATATTAGCACCATACTAACAAAAAAAGTCTTTACATGCTGGCTTTTCCCTATGGCTATTGCCTATTGCCTAAGTGATTGAAGCAATCATAATTTATTTATGGATTGGCCGGATCACCAAACCCCTTACTATACTTATATACTGATAACCATAATTATCCCTAACCCAAATAGCAACAGTAGCCGACTCTCTCTCAACTAATTATTAGAATATATAAAGCGCCTATTTTGCTTAAGGGGTCCAGTTGGGAGTGGGCATGTCCACGATAAGTTCTATGCACCTCTTTCCCTAATTACTCGCCATGTTCCCCATATAGCCCTATTTTTTTCTTGAGTCTCACCTACGTCGTTTCCCTGGAGGCTGGGTTTACTCCTAAGTTTCCCCGAAGGTTGGTGGGTTTTCTTCTGACTTCTTGATCAGTGTGTATTCCCAAATCATGCATGCTTCTCATCCTCGATTCTTCTTCCCGTCGATTCGAATTGAGGGGTAGAATATGCTAAGTAATCTCCTTCGTCAAGAGTTTGATCACTCTATTTTGGACCAATGAGATTGTGTAATTTGAAGAGGGTAACCGGGGGGCTCTTTTTCCTCTCTAAAGCTGACCAAGGAGATTCGATTGACCGCTATGTTTTGTGGGGGTAACCAAAAAAATAAGGTAATTAAATGGAAGAAGTAACCAGATTTGGCCAAGTAGTTCAATTGCATGCAACCTAAATTTTTCTTCTTCTACATTGAGAATTCTCAATGCTGGCGGAATGGAAGGGGCTCTTAAAGCCAACATAGACACTTTCGGATGCTATCATTAAGCTGCGGAGATTGTAAGAGTGTAGAAGATGTTGTGTAATCCAGTAGGATGCGGATGAGTCCACCTTAAGTTTCTGAGCAAGCATCCATCTCACTTCCTTCCTCCTCCCTACAGGCAAGATCTGCATAATGCGCCTTTTGGGGCAGAGAATAATAGAAAGGGGGAAAATCGACAATAGCAAATCACACTGAAATATGCCAGAGAAGATGAAGCAGCCGCAGTGAGGATTCATTCCAGTTACAAAGAAAGTGAAGATATAATCCAGACATCGGATTCTGTTGGATCAAGAAGGAGGAGGAGGATTGAAGTGCATTTTTAACTCCCGTCTTTAATCCCTTCGTTGATTTGTGAAACCTGCCGCTGTCAATTTATTTGGTTGTTGGAGAAATTTTATTCTTATTCATTTTATTTGTTTGCCCCAAACTCTAACTGATGTCCATTTGTCTATCGGTTCCCTTCTCCAATTTGCATGAGATACACGTTGTATAGCAGGGATGCCACCTGACCTCCACTAACTTTATATTTATGTTTATCAAATTTTTGTGATTAATCATGTATATAGTTAGTTCTTCTCCAATTGATTTCAAAATTCATGGCTTTGTTTAGTTGTGTACCCAAACCAATTGCATAGGGTAAATATGCTCCTTTACCAAAATGGGAGAAGTTAATATATAGGATTTGAAAAGCTAGCTTTCTCAAGACTTTACTTTAACATATTTTGGTAGGCTTTCAATTATCAAGTTCAGTTGATTTGGCAATCACGTAAGTAGAGGTGGCAATTAGGATCCAAATTCATGAATTCACAATTCATTCACCAAATTATCCACATAATCCAATCCATTTAAATTTAATACATTTGATCCAAATCCAATTGGATTGATGGATTCATGGATTGATCCATGAATCCAAATGACCGATTATGGTTTAGTACCTATAATTTTTATATTTTACATTTTGGTCCCTAAAGTTTATATTTTTATACAAAAAATATAATTGGAAAATTACATTTTGGTGCCAAAAAATTTTCATTATGACATTTTTGTACCTAAACTTTTCGAAATTTTACAAAATGGTCAAGACTTGAATGTCATTTGGTTTCATGGATCAATTCACCAAGCCACTTCATCTAATCCATTTGAAATCCTTAGATTGTGTGTTCTCTTTGCTTTCTATTTCTTAGTAAAACGTGAAACTTCCTAAGCCATGAGTCATGACAACACTTTTTAAGCACCAATTGTACTTCCAAATATTTCACTTCAAATTTGTCAAAAACCTTAGTATTGACCTTAGTATAATAGTAATTTAACTATTCATGCTTTAGTTTTATAATCCTCCAACGTCCCATCTTCTTAATTTAGCTTCCTATTAATTAGTTTTCTAGCATTAATTAACTAAAAAATATTCTATATAAAAAACATCCCGCCGCAAAGCGCGGGCCATTTAGCTAGTACTAATAATAACAACAATAATACTAATAATAACTATATTCCATCAAATCTTGGTGTATATGTGGCCATGTACGTATATGGGCTATCAAACATGGTTTATTAATAGTGTTTTATTGGTTATCCGATTTTTCGGTTTTGACACGGTTTTAATATGACCGGATTCATTTAGGTTTTTATTGCTATTGACGAGATTAATAACGGGATTGGATTGTTTACATCTGGTCTCGATCTTAAACGGTCTGGTTTCCGATTAAACCGAAAAATATGGACTAAATAGCGAGCCTTATACCCAAATATTCGTTTCTCGTTGCCCACCCCTATAAGAATAGAAAGAGGTGTGATTTGGGGATGGCGATATGGAGGATTTTGATGTCCGATGGCGCCTCTGAGTTCAGGCGGGCTGGGTCGTTTGGTTAAGTTCAATCTTTTATTAATAATTTTGGTGATATGGATTGTTGACTGGAGCAAACTAACAGAATTTTGGATGGAGAATGACAGAATGATTGTTTTGGTATATGCTCAAACTTGTGTTATTGAATTGTTACAAATAGAAGATTTGTGACTGTTTTGTACTAAGTGCAAAGATTTGTAACCAATTATGCTAATTACGGATACTAATTACAAGATAATGAAAACTATGAGATGGTTGAAACTTATTACTAAATGCACAAGCGCATAATTAGGGATGACAATGGGTGGGGTTGGGCTGGATTTTGCCAAACCCAATCCCAATACTCATGGGTATACTCAAACCCAACCCAATCCGTTGGGTATTCATGGTAAAAAATTCTTAGCAACAATTTCCTGTCAAAATAAAAGTCTAACTCCCATCTGCCCATACAAATTATCCATACAAAAAACATCAATCTAGTACATACAAGCAAACCACAAATTATCCATACAAATTGTTAACATTAAAGATAAATATCCGCAAACAACACGATTAATAGAACGCTTCTTCCTCCGTGAGAACTTGAAAACTGGCATCTTAGTTTCACTCTCTACTCCATAATCAACTTCATTCTACACAATTAGTAGTGGTTGGGTATGAGTACGGGTACGTGATGAAACAGATTGGATACGGATAAACCTCAACCCAAATTAATTCGTAAAAGAATAGAACGGGTTTAACCCAAACTCGATCCGCAATCCGTCATAATAGATTTTATCCGCTTTGACCAAGGTTGTCAACCCGAGGGTCGACCCGCGGGTTGACCCACTTTAACCCTGACCCGGTGAGAAAAACGGGCCGCACGCACCCACCGGGTCAACCGCTACAAGGTATCGGGTTGGAGGTCAAATTGTGTCATTTTTTCTTTGATTTGCGAAATGTGCCTATTTTCTGAATTTTCTTTTCGCCTAACTCTATCTTTGGAATCCTAAGTTGAATATTTGAATATATATGTTATATAAGTGTGTGTAAATTTTCAATATATGTTGGATCTACATGTTATTTTGATGGAATATTATATGTTATAACTCATATGTTAGATGAGATTTGCTATAATTTATCAGGATAAATACAATATAATGACTATTTCCATATTTTCCGGGCTAAATCGGGTGACCCATTAACCCTTGACCCACTAGCTTCACCGGGTCTGGGTCAACCCGCGGGTTGACAACTTTGGCTTTGACTAGGTTGAATCGGGTAGGGTACCCGTGAATAGGATTATGTTGCTATCCTACGCACAATTGGACTCATTGAGTTCTCTCTTTCACTGCAGAGTGCCTAGTGTCGACGATGAAACGGAGCAGAAGCGAAAGAGAAAGAGGCACCTAACCCAACGCCCATCAAGCTCCTCTGCTCCAAATTAAACCAAGCGGTGTGCAATGGCGATCACTGCCCATACGCACAATCTATTATCAGCGTCTTCAAAGCATACAACTGCCACTCTACCGTTTGCTCTTCTCCGACGAACCAACCATTCTGGTTCTTCCCTTTCCATTCCCAGTCACGAACACTTATCGGACCTCATTCTAAACCAGAAATCGCCATCCCAAGCTCTCCAAACATTCCAATGGGCCTCGAAGCTTCCCGGTTTCGTTCACTCCCTGGCCACTTATCGCGCCCTGATCCACAAGCTCTGCACTTTCCGCCGTTTCGACGATGTCTACCAACTGCTCGACGAAATGCCTGCTTCCATAGGCACTCCCCCGGACGATTCCATCTTCATTACAGTCGCCCGAGGCCTTGGGCGGGCTGCCCAGATCCACCGTGTCATCGAAGTTCCCGACTTGGCCTCCAAGCTTCACGCCAAGCCCCCATCTTTGAAGCTCTGCAATTCCGTGCTTGATGTCCTCGTGAAGCACGACATCGATTTGGCTCGAAAGTTCTACAGGAACAAGATGATGAAGCGTGGAGTCGAGGGTGATGACTACACTTTCGGGATTCTAATGAAAGGTCTTTGCTTGACGAATAGAATTGGCGATGGCTTCAAGCTTCTGCAGCTCATCAAGTCTGCTGGTGCGAAGCCCAACTCGGTCGTTTACAATACTCTGCTTCACGCCCTTTGCAAGAATGGTAACGTTGGGAGGGCCAGGAGTCTGATGAGTGAGATGGAGAAACCCAATGATGTGACATTCAACCTTCTCATATCTGCCTACTGCAAAGAGGATAACTTAGTTCAGGCACTTGTGTTGCTGGAGAGGAGTTTCAGCTTGGGGTTTATACCTGACATTGTTGCAGTCACCAAGGCAGTGGAACTTCTCTGCAATCGTGGTCGTCTTGCTGAGGCTGCCGACATATTGGAAAGATTCGAGACCAAAGGAGGCACAGTTGATCTGGTAGCGTGTAACACTTTGGTTAAGGGCCTCTGCAAATCTGGAAAAGTGAAAGCAGCTTGTGGGTTCTTAAAGGGGATGGAACTTAAGGGTTGCCTTCCCAATGTTGAGACCTACAACTTGTTGATCACTGGTTTTCTTGATTGTAAAATGCTGGACTCCGCCCTCGACATGTTTAACGAGATGAAGGTGGCCGGGATCGATTGGAATCTTGACACATTTGATGAACTTATAAAAGGTTTGTTCTCTGAAGGGAGGCTCAAAGCTGGTTTCAAGATCTTTGACCTGATGGAAGATAGCAAAGGAGGTTGTGGGGGTCGAATTAGTCCTTACAACAGCGTGTTGTATGGGTTTTACAGGAAAGATATGTGGGATGAAGCTCTTGAGTTCCTGGTGAAGATGGAGAGCCTGTTTCCGAGAGCTGTTGAAAAGAGCTTGAGGGTATTGCGGTATTGCGAAAAGGGTGCAGTCGAGGATGCAAAGATGGTTTATGACCAAATGGTCAATGAATGTGGGTTGCCTAGTGCTCTCGTGTATGACTGCTTAATCCATGGATTTTGCCAGGAGCGCAATGTGCAGAAGGCATTTGACATCATGAATGCTATGATTGAACATGATTATTACCCTGTTGCGTCAACTTTTAACACTGTGATTTGCGAGCTCTGTAGGCAGGGAAAGGAAGCTAGCGCCATGAGGCTTCTCAGGGACATGGCTGACCGAGGCTTTGCACCTGATGCTGGCAGTTATAGTCAGGTAATCTATGTGCTTTGTGAGAAGGGGAGTTTTCAGAAAGCTGGGAGTTTGGTTTCACAAATGGTGGAGAGGAAGATTGATCCTGACTGGCAATCTATGCTTGTTTGGCTAAGTCGGGATGAGGTTTGGCAGAGCAACCATTCTACTTTGGCTGTAAATAATCTCACGTAGTAGAGAAATAATAAGATCTAGAGGTGAGTATACATGGTCCGATCTCACTCGGATCAAATCGATACAAGTTCCAAATGTAAGATAAAGGAGAGGAATACATTGGGAAGAATTGCTACATACACACGTACTCTGGATTACAACATTATATATGACAAGTTGACAACACATGAAACGGGAAAGATTGGAGGTTTTCTCTTTTTCTTTTCTTTTTTCCTGACAATGAATAGGGGAAATTTTTCCTGAACTAACCAATCTCATCAAAATCTAGCTCCGGCAAAATCCAATCAACTACTAGCAGGAACAAATATGGCATATAAACCCAGAAGTAGTTCCTTCAATTATGGTATAACACAACAGCATATGCAAGGATGAAGAAACGAACTCAATCAAGCACACGGCAAACCCAATTCACAGACTTGTTCCAAAGTTCGTTCTGCTCTTCAGAAGGCCTTCCACTCATCAGAACTTCTTTTCGACGGTGTCGAACCACCATCCAAGGACGACCTAAATGGTCCACTAGACCCAAATGGATCTGAATCGAATGATGAGAAACCATGGTCCTTGGACTCATGCCCAGAATCGAACCCAGAGTCATGACCACCACCAAACGAATCAAACCTCGAAAACCCTCGACCTTGATCAGAATCCCCCGAATCCTTGAAAGAGTCGTACCTTGACGGGAATCCTTGGCTGTGGTCGGAGTCCCTGAATGAATCAAACCTCGACGGGAATCCTTGACTCTGGTCGGAGTCTCTGAACGAATCGAACCTCGAGAACCCATTGCCAAGATCCGAGTCCCCAGATTCTCTGAATGAATCAAACCTTGATGGTAACCCATACCCTTGGTCAGAGTCTCTCGTGCTTCTGACTGAATCAAACCTTGCAAGAGAAGGGCCTGCTGAAGATGTGAACGAGCTACTACTTTCATTCAAATTGAACGAATCGAACCTGGAGAAGCTGTCAAAGGAGTGATCTTCTGACCCAAAATTGTTGGCGGGTGTGCCTGGGACAGAATCAGCAAATGAGGAGAATGCGCTTTTCCTCCCTAGGTCATAAGCAGGGGTGCTTGGAACAGAATCAGCTAACCCAAATGAGCTCATTCCGTGCTGATTATGGGCAGGGGTACTAGGAACTGAATCGAACATGATAGAGCTTTTCCCTTGATTGTATGCAGGGGTTCCAGGCACAGAATCGAACCCAAACGAGCTCTTGCCTTGGTTATATGAAGCAGGGGTTCCAGGTACGGAATCAAACCCAAACGAGCTCTTTCCTTGGTTATAAGCAGGAGTGCTTGGAACAGAATCAAAAGTATAGGAGTTATAATTCCCTTGGTTATTATAAGCAGGGGAGCTAGGAACAGAATCAAACATGAACGGGCTCTTTCCCTGGACAGCTCCTGTCTTTATTGGATTCAGACCAAAGTCACCAATGTCATATATAGAACTGTCTGGATGGCTTTCAAGATCGGCTTCCTGCAGGACAACTCGAGAGAAATTTATCAAGGACAAAAGAAAACAACAAAATACAAATTTAGCTGTTGCTAGAAACTATGCTACTTTTTTCAAGTCATAATAGAAATGAAAAAAAAAAGTGCCAGTGGGGTGTAAAATGATGGTAAATTTATGAAATATGAGATACTGTTTGGAAGTAAAAACAATTGATGGGATGATATATGATTCGTTTAATTATAAAGTTATTCTCGTTAACAATAGATTTTTATATCATAAGGGGAAAAGTAGGAAATACAATATTTATTATTGGGATGGCTTATAAATTTAGAATATTTATGAGGTATAGGAGAATAGTATTTTGAAAAGTTAGATAGAAAAAGTGCGTTTGTTTTAGCTTTTAAACAAAAAAATTCTGAAGTTTGTTATGGTTTAGCCAAACAAACACTCTGCCAGCCTAACCACTAACACTATCCTTGCGGAACTTCAACATTAGTCATCAACCAAACACGACTCAGCTTTTCATTTTGCATGATGCAAACACGAGGGCTCGAGCTTAGATATAGGTACCCCAAAACAGAATATCCTACACATACCTTGCCACTGAGAGATTCAGCTCCCCAAATTGATTCACTATCATAATGGCTGTCAAATCTACCCCAAGCAGGTTCATCCACACTTTTGTCACCAGAAAATACACTAGCAGTATCAGCCACGTCACTGCAGAAAGCCAGACTATGAGTGAGTTCAACAACATTAAATTAGAACATAAGCAGAACCCATAGAGAAGAATATTTAGAACCAAGCACCAAGCAAAACCATACGCTGGCATTCCCCTAGCATGGGGTGAACTGTCAGCACCAGCACTCCCTTTGACTTCATGAGTTTCGTTTTCTGCTCCACTCTTCTGAGTTGGACTCTCTGGAGGACTTCTTGCCCCCTTACCATTCTCACTTTGACCATTTGCTACTGATTCTTTATCAGAAACCGATTCACCACCACCAGAAATCTTCTCCAACTTGGCTTCAGCATTTGATGGAGAAACGCTAAAACCACCTTCAGAGGCTGTTGTTTTCTCCTTTCGAACTGATTTTGGTTTTGGAGGAGCCACAACATTCTGTGCCTCTGTAGTCAGTTCTTTGACAAACAGAAATCCTGGAAGGGGAAAGTAACTAATCATCAGAAGCCAAAACAAAATGAAAGGACTAATCTTACATTGTGAATAATGCTACAATACAGAACAAAGCTCATTTATATACTAATCGGATTTCATGTACATACCTTCATCTTCAAACTTATCCCAGTCTTCATCCCAATCAGCCGCTCCTTCTTGTATTCCAGGCTGCCAGCCTGAAAAGGAGCATTATGCACGCAATCAATCACATACCACCTCAGAAAATTCAAATGGAATACACTGCTTTACAATTCTTAGCAGTTAACACACTAAAATGACCAAACAGGACGAGTTCAAGACTGAACCCACATGGCATGAAGTTCAAGCAATTACACAACAAAATCCATAAAGGAAAGGGTTAGCAAGGTCAGAGACATACCAAATGGAAGTTCAACCAGCGACATAGGTTTAGAACGTAATCCATATTGTTTGCAGCGTTCATTCAAACTCTTCACTAGTTCTTCTAGACTAGAATGGATATGGTCGGCTCGCTCCTGCAAAAGCAGGGAAACTAAGATGGCAGCAATTTCTTACATTCCCTCACTGATAAGCCACTGTTACAAGTACCTTAAGTGCACCCTCAGCAGTCCCCCCTTCTTCAATTTTAACAATTGCACGATAGATTTCCATTTTCTTCTCCTACAATTGATAAGCAGGCACGTTACTTAAGACATGATCGAGAAAAACATCATCCAAGCAGAGAATGTGAGCTACTATTGCAACTCAATCAAAGTTCACCAGTTACCTGAATGTCGCGAAAGGTAGCCTCCTCAATGGTTAATCTAGAGGCTACATCTCCAGCCTGCTTGTATTTCTCTTCATACTTCTTGGCTAATGCTTCAACCTGAAGTGAGTTTCATAATTTCAGTCCAACAATCAATTATAGCAAACAGGAGCAAGGCTAATGCAGAAAAAAGTACCTCGTGTTTATCTGCAGCCACCCTTTCTATGACCTCGTTAAGGCGATTATCACAGCGGCTCTTATATAAAATCTAATGAAAAAAATACAAAAGACAAACATTAGGTGCTCAGTTACATGATAGCCAAAGCTCAAAGGATAGCATAAACTGCACTGATCATTCAACCATGTGAACGACAAGCTTATGGGAAGAAACTTGCTATCTAACAGAAGTAACACCTAGCAAAAGACTCAGCATGCAATTTTAGCAAATACAATCTCCTTAGACAACTCAAAAGGAATTTAAGCATTTACTTCCACCTAAAACTTGAAACAGCCAAACTTTATTGATAGGAAACTAAATCTATCTTAACATGTACTTACCAGTTCTTGCATCTTAGCACGATAGAAGTCAATCTTCTGTCTGGATTCTGAAATTTCCTTTTCCAGCTCTTCAACCTTCATTTCAAAGAAAGAAGATTCAAATGTATACTTGTTCGTAAAAATATAAAATTGACAGACTGTTCAAGTCAGGCCACAAGACCATTACTTGACAATTAAGGTTTGTCATCTGATGCACAATAGAACCAAAGAATCAACCATCACAGTTAACAAGTTATGAGAAGAACAAGTACCTGTTTATCTGCCTGATATGCCTCTTGGAATTTCGAGTTCAAAGAGTCCTGCTCCTCTTGGCTAAGTTGATCCACAAGATGCTTTTCCAGCACTGGAACTTTGGGCTTTGGCTGAGTAGGCTGTTTTTCTTCAGCATGAGGAGCAGAGGGTGGGCGTGGTGGCCTTGGTGCGCCAGCATGCGTTGGACGCGCACCAGGCATCACTTGTGGTTGTCGAGGACCTGTAAATATTCATTTCACCAGCTTGGTACTAAAAGATAGAAGGCACCTTTTCAATAAATTAGGATAGTAATCTTAAATGGTCTTCACTTTATCTAATTAATGTGATTTTGAAAACAATCTTTGAAAGAGATTTTTTCTAAATAGAGGCGCAAGCTAGGTCAATAAATAGAAATTCTTGATCTTGTCAAAAGCCAACTTCTAGGTTTCTATAAATGAATCTCCAGATTCCAAACAGGAGCTTCACAATGACATTCAAAATGTAGATAAAATACAATTTATCAGTAACAATATCGGTATTGATTTTTAACGTATTGTATTAATTTATCAACAAACTATATGCAAAATTTATCAAACCAAGCTTCTCTATAGCTCCAGCTAAAAGCTCTTGTAAGAGAAGTATCATACGCCCATGCAGTTCACGGCTATCCTATATTTCAACTTCCTACTCAATTAAATTATAGAAAACTTGGTATGATTCTAGTTCTAAGAGGAATACTCTGCTTATATTATGAATTATCATAAATTTATGACCTACTGTGGATCTAAGGAGCTGAATATAACAAATAAAAAGCAGTTTTGCTTCGAGTTTTTTTTTGTGTGTGATAATTATCCTCGATTGAGGCCCTATGTTTACAATAGCCTATATTGTTTGTGACGACAGAGGCGCCTATATATGGGGCCTTTCTAAACAAGAATGGAGGTTCTTCTCTGTTCAATCAGTTTTAAAAAACCATTAATACTATTCCTGGCAAGGAGTTACAACCTGAATAACTAAAGAAAATCCACAAGTAAAGCATATATCTCATCTGAACATAAAAAACAAAGAAGTACCAGGGCCAGGTCCCCAAGCGCCACCAGCATGGGAAGCAGCAGGGCGGCTAGTAGCAGACAACAGAGCTTCATCAGAAATGACCGAGCTTGGAAGGCTAACAGGAAGAGGACGACCTTCTCTGTATCGTTCCATCAAATAGAGTGCAACACAAAACTCCTTTGCAGAAAGCATGCTATCATTGTCTTGATCAGATAAATCCCAGACCTGTTTCAAGACCTCTGAAATAACATCCAACAATAGAATCAATGACAGAACATGCCCCAGCGGAAAAGGAAAAACGATGAACAAACATGTTCGCTCTCTGTCAAAATAATGAGCAGTGAGAGCTTCTATAAGCTTCAATCTAGATACCAACTATGCTTCGGCATTTAGAAACATAATGATATGAGTTTAATAATAACTGAAGCCTACATTTGATCAAGATCATCCCATTTTATGGGGAAACAAGACTATCCTCAGCATGATGAACTTATAGCATATTAGTTCTATAGATTATGCCTCGTATAATATTCTTGAGAGGAAGGCCTCACACCAGACCAAATAACATAAACTTTCAGAAGCAATCAGTCACCTTCTGTGCACTACCTACAAAATCCAGTAACCATGTTTTCACAAGTTGTAACATATCATTAGTCAATGGAACAAACAAATGTTCTCAAAATCCATAACATGAGGTTTGATCTTATGCACGAAAAAAGTCGACCGTATAAGCTCTTTTATGAGACACAAAATTATATGGGATAAGAAAAGAAAAACAGAAATAAGTCCCACTTGGAAGCTACCTCTTGGAAGCCTCCAGCTTAAGAAGAGATTGCGTGCCTGTTCACCAGTGATCTTTCCATCTCTATCCGTATCTACTTGTAGAAACACTTTCAAATACTTCTGGATATCAGCTTGGATCATCCTTGGCCAGGCATTGTGCGATTGACCAGAACCCACATTTCCTTCTGCAACAGGAAACACGCCCAAGGGACGTGCATTAGTAACTTGACCTGAAACTGTTTGGTTTGGTTTTCCTGTTTGCTGACCACCAACAACTTGCTGAGAAACATTATTCGGCGACGATTCAACGGCACTTGGCTTAACTGAAGACGCTGAAGAAACACCAGAGCTGTTGGCAGAAGAGGAAGATGATGAAGAGATCTTAAATCCATTCTCCGAAACGTTCAATGCTTTAGGCTCTATAGATACAGGTGGCTTCGAGAATGTGGCTGTGCCTTGAAATTGTGGTTGAGAAGAAGGTAACTGCCCAGTGGGCACCAGTGGTCTAGGTTGAACAGAGGTTGTCATCCCAGAAGCTGATAACATGACTCCATCTTGTCTTGCACTCGAATTGGTCCCTCGATTTGGAGTTAGAGATGTTGGCGCACCCGTGCTTCCACTTAGCCAATTGGTTGAGTTACCTGAAACTAATGGGCGAGCGGCAGGCGGGTTAGTAATACCTTGGCCAGGAACAGGCTGTTGTTGGTGGGACATAGAGTTGGGAGGCACGCCCTGCTGTGGTCTCATAAACTGGTTTTGCTGAGATGGGAAGTATTGCCGGTTCATCTGTGCATTTGCAGGCAGCTGAGCTGGTCTGATCCCAGCATTCTGAGATACAGCTGATGTTGAGCCAACAAACTGTGAAACAGGGGCTGCCGCTTTAGGAGCAGGTGTGGCAGCAAGATTAATCTGAGGAGCTGGGATTTTAGAAGATGCCGCACCATACAATGCAGCCCTCACTAAATCAGGGGTCAGGTCCCGTTTACTTTGAGCCACAGTAACAAGTTTGAGAGCATTATAGAATTCTTGTCGGCCAAGGTATCCAGCTTTTCTCTGGTCAGCATACATCCACACCTGCCCAGAATGTCAGAAAATGCATATGCTCAGTCTAATATATCAATGAAAGGAAATTCATCAGACTAGCAAAATGGTAACAATTCTTATAGAAAGCTCTTTTGCACACTTTTGAAAGGAGAACCTGCCTTCACTTCACTTCCGAGATTAAAAAAAATAGTTCACAACTAAAAGATGGATCAGGACGCCATAACATGGATAACTAGCAACAAAACATAGAGTAACAACACTCAGCAAACACTAATGAATTGCTGGAGGGACTGCATGACCTCATAACTTTGTATGAGTTCGTTTTATAATTCGATCGTTTGGTGGACAAAGGATAAGCAAATGAAAGCCAGTCAAGACCTAGTCAGTCCAGAAGCGAGCAACTCAGAACCATAACCGTAGGGACTGATTCCGAAAAATTACAGTAGTCAAGTAGAGACATCGATGACAATTAAGCAAGCGCCTGCAATCAGTAAAAGGGTAATTGCCGCATAGAGCACAGTGCTAAACAGGTGAAATTGTCCGGTTGTCAGGAAACTGGCAATCGCTACCAAGATTACTGGACTAAGGAAGCTTTTTCGAGGCCACATTATTAAGTAGCAATTTACCCAAAAAGAAGGGGGAAACGGCAGAACTGCTGAATTCAAGAAACAGTCAAACCAAGAATACAAGCCATAGCTGAGGCAGAGAGGGAAGAGAGAAATTGGGGGAAGCAAGTACCTGGGCAAGAACTTGCTTGGGCAGGCCGGAACCTTGGAAGAAAGCAACGGCTTCAGCACCACTGATCTGACCGTCACCATCCAAATCTGCTCGCCGGAAATATGAATCGAACAGATCAACACCCGCGTTCTGCCCCGCCATTCCCCAAATCTAATTCCGCCCAACTAGAGCTCAAAAATTCTCAATTGGAGATCACTTGTGGACGCGAGATCCCTCTCTCTAATCCCTATCTTAGCGTCGCGAAATCTATTTGGATTCGATTAAATTTCCCCAGCGATTCTGCTTTGCTTTTGGACGGGAAACCGCAGGCCAACCCCAGACCAGAGAGAGAGAACCACCGTGAGAGACAGAGACAGAGACAGACAGAGAGAGGAGATCGGGGAGGAAGATGGGCATGGATCATTCCACGCTAGCAGAAAAGAAAGAGAGAAAACGCAATAAAGATATGAATCAGAGCCCACGCACACTCCGGCCCATTAAAAGACGACAATTTAAAGCCGTTGGATTTTAGAGCCTCCTGCTGTTTTGTGGATCAAGAATAGTTACATGAACTAACCATTCTCATTGTTGTTGTTTTATTAAAACTTAAAAAGCAGTGCAAGAGTGCGCTAATCTACACTACTTATAATACGTTTTTTTAAAGGTTTTGTCGACGGCGATTTTCGATGGTGTACAATGGAGAGAGGCGGCGCGGGAGGATGAGATGACGAAGATGGAAAGGGAAAGTGCCCTAACCATCTATTTTCGATGTACTTTTCAGGGGGGTTGGGTCTCGGGTTTGGATTTAGGGTCAATTAATTGGGTTGGTCCGCGGGTTGGGCAAGAATGGCTGACAGGGTGGGTAAGGCTGAGCTGGTGGGTCGGGTCGTCATTTTTTAATGTTAAAATATGCTGACTGTGTCTTTCTGTTAACCACGTCATCACTTAACGGTCGTCATTAACGGAGTCTAACGGAGGTTAATGGAAAGTGACCGAACTTGGACTGTTCAACTTATTCGAGTGACTATAAATGGAATAAATCAATTTGAGTGGCAAACGTGAAATTTTTTAGCAATTCGAGTGACCAAACTTGCAATTAAGCCTTTTATTAAAAGAGCAGTGCAAAGGTGCTCTAATCTACACTACTTATAACCAGCGTGGCCACCGCCATTTGGCCGGAGGAAGGTGAGGTATGAAATTTGATAATGTAATGGGATGTATAGCTTATTGTTGTATAGTTTTTTGGGAAACACGTGATAAAAATAGTAAATTTTAGTAGGATAAAGACATGAATGATGCAAGGAATCAAAAATTAGCCTTATGAACCAAAATCAAGTACCTGTTACCTTGTGAAACAATATTGTTTCTGGTAATATGATGAGGTGGAGTAAGTTTTATAAAAACCGAATTCCAGAAAATCAAATAAAAAATTGCCTATCTCGCCGGTTTTCGGGAAATGAGCATCTCACAATCGTTGCTAGCTTTTACTTGGCCTGTTGGCCGATTAATTTGCTTTATAAAACTTTCATCTTGTCATCATTGTGCTTTCTAGTTTTTTGTCAAGCCATGATAAAATCTAAAGAATTCAAGAATGAACAACACGATTTGGGATAGGAACCACCCTTCCTGTATCCGTAGAAAATGGTGGTAAACACGGACTCACCTGCCAAACTGGTTTGGATTGAGATTTTTACCGGTATCAGGAAATCATGTGATTATAAATTACACTTGATCAAAACAGGTCAAAACTAGAAATTCAGCCTATTTGACCGACCCATGCCAAACTCTAATTATTCTTTACTTTTAAACTTTCTATTTGAAAATAAAAAATAATGAAAGAAAAGAGATGACTGCAATTCGCCATTTGCACATCACTGATTCGGGAATAAAACTATAAAATTTTGAAAAGAAACTGAAAATGTTTAGGATCGTTTTAATGTTAAAAATAACCAAATAGATCTTTCTATTTAGTTTTTTTTACTAACAAATACCAAACGATTCCCCATAATATACACTATAATTTAATCATTATGATATCAAATAATTACATAATATATATTTGAAATGATAAAAATTGGACTAATTGGGTTGGTCGAGGTTGAACCATTGAATAACTTAAAGATACATTATATTTTAGCCACTAAGATATAAAATAATAGCATAATATATATTATGCTAGAGAAAATAGCTTGTTTTAGAATGACAAACCCATGATGTTCATTTGTTTTACTTGATGGCCAAATCTCGTGTAGGTCGGGCCTATTCAACTCTTTTATTTTATGATTAGCGGTTAGCCCATTAGAATCCATGTATTAGTTTATTGTTAAATTTTTTTCTTTTTAGCAATAAAAAGGAGTATTGTTTTTGTCTTTTCATATATATTTTACCACCACGGAGAAATAAAGGACTTAAAGAAAAAATTGACACTCCTGGACCCGTTTAAATCCGCACGTGTACGGTAAGTTGGCTCGTTCCACAGAGGAAAAAGAAAAAAATTGACACTCCCTATTCTAACCTTCCTACAAACGCTTTTAGAGCAGGGAATTTGAAATGAGGGAAGGGTTTTTTCCACTCTGCGATTATATATTTTTAATTTAAAAAAGATACAACAAATGTACTTATGTGATTGGTTATGATCTTTGTTTTTCTTTAAAGTGGTCCTACTTTCACTCTGGATGTAGAAAATTTGAAATGGGGCTTTAACTTTTCTCATTTGATTTTTATTTATTTTATAGATACATACGTGAACGTCTACCTCCGACCACCCTTTTCAACCCATGCAACCTTTGATTCCGCCGTGGCGATGCCACCTGGAATTGTAATCATCCTTGAATTCCTCGACTGCACATCTGAACCAAATCCCAACCTCCTCAATCATAAACCTAGCTTCTCCGCTTGCTTTCGTTTGCATTCCATAAAAATTGTCACAAATGTTTAAAATGTAAAAAAAAAAAATGTAACACAAGTATTTGCCATAAAACAAAATAGTTATTGTATGTCTTTTCATTCATATAGCTATCCAAAATGAACAGTTAGCTTGCTTTATATAAGAGAGAGTCTTACGAGCTGATTAGGTGTATGATATTTTTATTTTACCATTTTGGTACAAGTTCAAACCAATGCGATCATTTAAAGAGTGCTAATAAAATATAAGGTTCTATTGTCCTATGATTGTTCAATATAAGACTGCTATTAAAGAGTAGTGGACATATATCTCTTTGTATATGAACCAAAAATATTGAAATATGTGTATGTAGACAGGAAGAGAGAATCATCAATAACCTAAATTATGGTTGCATACTGTTTCAGCCAAGAAACAAGGGAGCTCCGGATCTGTGAAAGGGCGGGGGTGGCCCCTTTTATCTACACTCCAACGATCAACATTAGTATAGTGATAGAGAAACATGGAGAACATGTATAGAGAGAGATAGTGTATAGAGAGAAGTGATATGCCAAAGTGAGAAGAGGAGAAGAAGAGATCCCTTACTTGAAAGACATAGGAGCATATTTATAGGTAAAGTCTTGTGATATTTTGTTGGACTTCAGTTGGGCCTTGTGGTGTTTCGTGGGCTTGGGTCCATATGTGCTTAGCAGACCATATTTATTGTTCGGTTGGGCTAATGTCATATTTGCACCCCAACAATTGTCCCCCAGTTAGGTATTCAGTGGTACACTGGATGCCTAACTAGAAGTTTTCATGTTGTAAAACTTTTGTAGTCTCTATACCTGGCGTATAATGTGCCTGCGCGACTGCACCTCTTTATATTCTGTTGTTGACTCACGTCCTCTAACACCGTGCAAACTGAACAATCCATAATAAAGACTATGGAAAGAATGAACAATATAACATAATATGACTCATAACATGGTTAGAGATATAACTCAAGTACTGACAAAAATACTTATTGCACTTCTCGTGTCTAACAAGGTTACGTCATTTTCGGCGTATAATTGAAGATTGTTTGCCTTAGAAAAATCTTGAATGTGCATGCGCATGTTATCCCCAATTGTCCCCCAGTTAGGTGCCCAGTGGTACACTGGACAACTAACTAAAGTCCCCCCACTCGTCAAGTTTCTCGTAAGATCATTTGGTGTTTTGTCCCCCAATTCATGACCCCATTACCATATTAATTACACAAAGAAAATATCACAAATATACAATGTGACGCAACATAATTTGATTCATACAATAACTATGAATATAACTTGAGTAGAGATGGAAAATACTTAGCTTATTCCTTGAGACGTCTCTTTAGAGGTTAGAAGTGCAGCATCTTAGTAATATGTCATTGGCGCTCGAATTCGCCAATCATCTTTGCCACTAAAAGCTTCTTCCTCTAAGTGAGTCGTTTGAGGCTTGAGCTCATACATATAAGGTGGATCTTAATTCCACCGTTGAGTTGGTCTGGCAACACTAGCACTCCTTTCATAAAATAATATCACAAAGCTGGAATTGAAACACCAAAGAAATAATTCATAGGCGCATTGGTATGATGATGTCCCAATGTCTATGAAATTGTTTAGGTTGAGCAGGTGGCCAATAATAAAGCTCCCGTCACGCAATTAAACTTCAACAATAACATAATATGACATATTCATATGGCGATAATAATGCGTCATTGCTCTTGTCGTTGATTTCGCAATCCCACTTATCGCATTTTTTGATCATAACTACAGCCACTCCAAAGGCGCTAGTGGGGCAGGGGCACACTCCAAGCCCAAAGAGAGATGAGCAATGAGCATCTTTGGGTTATAACGCCTTATGTTGATACATTAGACGTATGCTTGTACGTATGCCCCGCTCTTGTAATAGTTGACATATAAAGGACAGCCTTGAGATTTTATGACTAGGCGCCCATAAGCACTTGGTACTTACACTTAGAGACCTTATATGTACCACGAGCATTGTGAATTTCTTTATGGAGAGATGTTAATATTTTTGGCACTTTAAGTACTTCGGGCGCTTCAGGTATTACGAGTGCTTTACCTCTCCCTTAGAGATCTTTTAAGTATTATTGGCGCTAGATTTGGGCGCGGAGAGTTTCGATTGATGGGCGCTATAATATTGAGGGCGCTTTAGGTAGTAAATGCGCTTTACTTCCGTGGGCGCGGAGAATATTTACAATCCAGGGCGCTATAATTTTGTGGGCGCGGAGAGTACT